GGGTATAAAAGTAGAGAAGAAATAAGGAAAGAGATAAACCAGAAAGTAAGGAATGAAATAAGGAAGTATAGAAGAACTAAATATAGAAATAGAAGAAAGTTGGCAATGGATAGGAGAGGTAATTCCAAGAGACCAGTATAGGAGACCGGCTCGAGGAAGAATGAGCGCTCCGAGTCCGGGCCCTGCCTCGAGCGCCCCCCACCATCCGCCTGCTCCCACTCGCCGCCTGCTCCTGCTCACCGAGTCCTGCGCTAAAAATTTGCGCGCACACAATTTTGGGCAACTTCCAGTACTTCTAAATATGCTTGGCCATAATTTCCGTTTTCTAAGTGTTAATATTTTACTTTATTGATTTAATTAATTATTCTAATGTTCTAAACATCTAATTTATTATTATTTCAATTTGAACGTAATTTATTTTCGATATTCTACAATTTCAATTTCATTTTTATATACTCCGTATATTCTGCGAAATTTTTATTTAGCCTGAACTTTATATTTTGAATAAATTTTGAAAATAAATCAAGATCCAATAATATTTAGTAAAAATTGAGGTGCTACATGGGTGTCAAGTTGGAACTGCACTTTCTTAAAAATGTCTTAAAAATATTTCTACAATAGACTTTTTCAATAGTTCTTGAAAAGTTCTATAGTTCCCGGTCTCGTTCTAAGGCTTGCTTTGGGAACCCGGGATGAGTAGCGGAGAACCTCTGCCCGCCAAGCTACAAGTTCGTGTTCACGTTTAACTCGGCTACGACGGGATTCGCATTGTCGACGAAGGCGGTGATCACAAAATCCTTATTCCAGACTCTCCGTTATCTACAGTTGTTGGTGACGACTGAGGGAGAACTACGCCTCCGCTGTTGGCGCCAGCAATGCTTCCGGTCGCTGGTGGCAGTGGTCATCTGCCTGAATTTGATTTAGAACCATTATGGTTTTTTATTTAAAATTCCTAAAAATTTAAAGGAAAAAAGCCAATTTCTCGGCCGTTTCCGGGACATAACTCAGGTGGTACGTCGATGCCAAAATAAAATTGGTTTTAAACCGTCGACCGACTGGCAATCTTCCTACTCTCTGGATTTACCGTCTAAACTGTTAGTTAACTGAGAAGTTATCGGTCATAGTGCGCACTGTCTTTATCTTCGTGTCAACTGGGTCTCACAGCGTTTACAGAAGGATTTGAGAGACTGCTCATCTTAGTATTAAGATATTTCCAAATTGATGGACGCCAGTGGCCGCCATTGTGGCTCCGTTTGATTTACCTACGCTGATCCTCGCAGCGGAGAAATACATCTGTAAATAAAAAGATGAATATAGATTTTGTGTGAAAAGTCAGTAATTGAATACACAAAATACCTGATTTTTATTCGCTCTGAATTGTACTAGAGAAATAAGTTAAAATGGGTGGTGGAGATCTTGTAAGTTATGATGCAAATTTTAACCGATTGTAATTATATGTCAGGTTCACACCGTTTTTATTGCAATTTAATTAAATTGTAATGATTGTGTGCTTAATGTTTTAATTAGAATCTTAAAAAGTCGTGGCACCCGTCCACTATGAAAAACATGGAGAAGGTATGGAAGGCGGAACAGCAGGATCATCAAGAGAAGAAAAGAATTGCAGAACTGAAACGGGAGATAGAAATGGAAAAGGATCGTGAGGATATGACAAAGTATGCTATGGATCAAGGTGTCATCGAGAAGAAGGATGAGAAGAAGTTGGACTGGATGTACAAAGGGCCAAATCAATCTATAAACCGTGAAGATTATCTTCTTGGAAAGGCAATTGACAAACCCTTTGAGCAATTGGCTCAAGCTGAAAAGGATGGAGATCAAAATCGCATGATTAAAAATCATGTGGAATATGGTAATAATTTTAGTATTTGCTTAAAATTAAATTCAGTTTCACGTTTGTTGTGTATTTATGAATTTTTCTTCTAGAATGTATCCCACCATCATTACGGTTCTTCTCTGGCAGTGAACAGGTTGATCTGGCAAGAAAACTTCAAGAAGATCCATTGTATGCTATCAAGAAGAAAGAAATGGAAACCCGGACACAACTGCTTAAGAATCCAGTTAAACTGAAGCAACTGAAACAATTGGTTCGTATAATCTGTTCTGTATGATTCAAATATTCTGTCTATACTGGTTGAGTAAATATCAATGTTGTATTTATATATAGTTAGAGCAACAGGCAAAGGAAAGTAAAGCTGAAAAGTCTAAAAAGAAAAATAAGAAAAAGAATAAGCATGGCTCTGATAATAGTGACAGTGATGACAAGCTTGATATTTTATTAGCTGCAAAGTACAAGAAACTTAAGGATAAAATCAGCAAGGAGGACTTAATAAAGTCCATGAAGAAGAGGAAAAAGGAAAAGAAGCGAAAAAGCAAGGATGAAAGTAGTGACAGCGAAGTAGAAAAAAAAGACCCAGGAAAACAAAATAATAGGCATAAACACAGTAAAATAGACGTTAGTACAAAAAATCAAAAGCAAAAAAAGTACAATAAAAGAAAACCTAGAGAGAGTAGTAGTAGCAGTGACAGCAGTAGTAGCAGTGAAGAGGAAAAGGATCCTGAACCGAAGCGCAAACACAAGGACTCAAGAAACCTTCATGAAAGACATTCTGACTTGAAGCAAAAAATTAGTGACAGAAGTCGAGGCAGAAGTCCACAGACTAGATCGTATGGTCCCAGAAAGGAAGAAAGTATAATCTCACGAAAGAATTCCAATCATTTTGTCGAAGAAAGTGATGAGGATCGCCATGCTAAACATTCTTCAAGGAAAAACTATGGTTTGGTGGTATGTTCCATTATATTATTCTAACCTATAAAAATCTCTAGAAAATGATATTATACAATATTTCCAGAGGGCTGATGGATCTAAACTATCACCTTCAACAAAATCAAGTAAATCTGCCAGAAGGGACAGTTCCACGGATAAAAAGAAACCTAGGAAAGAGGAGCAACGATGGGTTCCTCCAAAGCGACAAAAGTTAACTGAAGAGGAAAAGGAACGTAGACGCCAGGAAATGATGGCTAATGCTTCTTGGAGGGACAAGGAAAGAGAATGGAATGTGAAGCGTTATCGCGAAGAAGACAAGAAAGAACAGACAGACAAATCCTATAACAAAGACTTTATCAGGTAAGACTGAAGATCCTGTAAAAATGTTCCGTATTATTATATTGTTACGTTATAAATAAAGAAAGACTATTTTTTGTGCCTTTAGGAAGCAACTAGCAGTCGCTGCTGACGTGGGTACCGTAGAGTCTCGAATTCGTTCAAATATCAATAATATTCAACGTTCTGGTCGGGCAATGGATACGAATTTCGCAAAAAGATAAAAAAACTTGCTTTATACTCTGCAAGATAATTGTAAATTCTATTTTCATCCTTCTCCTTGTAAATACTACGATATTTAAATCGGTTTTGTAATGTTTATCTACAGTATGAAATATACATTGAATTAAAAAAGAAAAGCAATACTGAACTGTCATCGATTATAATATATCCATTGATGCTTGAAATGAAAGGGAAATTGGAATTGCTGGATCCAGCAAACTTTTATTTACATCATTTACTCTCATAATAATTATACTTATACATAATCACTGTTTATAATAAATAGAATCGATATCGTTCTTTTACTATCCCCATTTGAAGATTTAACGGATAGCGCCATCCTCCATGTAAATATCAAATCTTTTTTCTAATGGGAAAGGAATGAGAGGATTCAAAAAATTGATTGGTGTAAACTCAACTTCGGAGGAAGTTAAGTAGTGTAAGTATGCCTCGTCATCTAGACGAAGTTTCTCTTGTACCTCTGGCCTGGAGACAATAACTCACATTTAAAACCCAAAGTTAAGATCAATCTTAGATAAATATGCAAAAGTATATATAAAGAAAACTGATCTTAAATCCGTATTCTTAAAATGATTTAACAAATATAAGGATAGGGAGTGCTGGGCTCTGTTAAGAATGCGAGTGGGACGAGGATTTGTAATGGTTTACTCGCAATATTCAATGTAAATAATATATACGTATTTTAGTATTAATGAATTAGTGGAGTTATATACAGACATCAACGGCCTAGCAAGAGCAGGAATCCTTGCCACCTTGCTGGTCATTGGATACTCCCTGTAAATTAGTACGGCCAGGTTGGCTTGGGTTATGTTGAACACCAGATTCCGCAGCATTCAGATCCAATCTGTGTAGGATGATTAAGATAAATAGTAATGAAGAAATATTCTTTGCTACTTAAATATCAATTTCAAATATTCTAGTACTCACCGGCCGTCTTGTATGCTCTGGAATATCTTTTTCGCCGTCTCGAGGAAGGCTTCCTCCACATTGTGTCCCCTAAAGAGTATTTTACCTTGACAATACTGTACAGTTAAATATAAACGAGAACAAAATAATTCACACTTACGTTTTTGCACTAGCTTCAACGAACATCAGTCCGTTATCATCAGCAAACTGTTTGGCTTCCTCATAAGTGACATCACGCTGTCCTTCCAGATCGCTCTTGTTTCCAATCAAAAATATCACCTGCAATATAACAATCATCGTATCACTAGCACAGGTAGACTTTTGGGTCATCGAATAATTGTTATACGTACAGTGCTTGGATTCGTCAGATTCCGCGTATCTGTGAGCCAGCTACTCAAATGATTGTAAGTTGAACGGCGCGTGATGTCATAAACCATTAACGCACCGGCTGCTCCACGATAGTAAGACCTGCAGAATAGTTCACAAAAGAAATTTGAGCCATATTGATAAAACATACTAAATCAGCTATGATATAGAATGAATACTGTCATTGCATATTGATACTTTATCTTTTCAATTAACCAACAGCTATTCGCTATCTATGGATGTTCTTATACAAGTATCCACAAAAAAAGAATATACAAATATGCTTAAAAACATTATAATTTCACTAAAAAAACACAACTACTTAGTCAAAATAATTGCTATTGACACTTGTAAACATTGTTTGACAGCTACGAACCTAGTCACTGCTCTGAATCTTTCTTGTCCAGCGGTATCCCATATTTGTAGCTTAATCTTCTGCCCAGCAACTTCAATGATCCTTGTACCAAACTCCACACCAATAGTATGCGGACAATCAGCCATGACTATAAAAAGACAAAATATAAAAACCAAAAACTCCTACACAATAGAAATCAAGTACTCACATTTCTTTTCAGTGAACTGATGAAGTAGGCAAGACTTCCCGACTCCCATATCGCCAATAATAATGTACTTAAAGATGTACGAATAGTTGTACGGTCCCGCAGACATTTTGTACCTACCGAAAAACAGAAAAAAGTTCAGAAAACAATGGTTTTCGCGCAACCCGTAATAGCACAATATATAATTGAGACAGGTATTCCTGGTGAGTCAGTATTTTTAATAAGGGGGCGATTGAAGCAGATAAAACATTGACATGTCAAAGCGACAGTCTCGTTCTCTCTTTCTCTCTCTCTCTCTCTCACACTCATTTATTCCCTCACCTTTGTGTTTCTTTTTTTTGAAGGAACTCCGAAAGAAACTCAAAAATAGGCGAGTGGCACGAACTTTTCTTGCGTGCGCTGACTAGATGCGTAGAACTGTTCACTGTTCCATGGAATGTCTAATGGGTGTTGTTTGAGAGTAAATTGTTGAGGAAACTTGTATATCGCAGGGCAATATGGCAGATCACTGTGGCCAACAACGATGGCGCCCGTTAAACGTCAAACCACCTGTCACCTTTATCATTCACAAAGTATATCACGAAAAACGCAATGCGCAATGCGTTAAAGTCAATTTTCTACGTATTCCCTCCTGGCAATGATTCTGCAGCAACGAGGATCAGACAAGGCCGATAGCAATATTGACTCGTAATCAAAAACCCGGTGGGAGATTCAAAATGAGACAAAGCAGAGTCTAAATTTCTGATAAATTTGAATACACCGATATATATTGAATGTATTAAATAATTGATTGTTAGTACTTGTTATATTTAAGCCTTCTTTTCTCACAGGTTTCTTGAAACGATCGATTTTAATGTATACCTAATTGTAAGACTTCTGGGCAGTCTCGATGTGAACGTCACTTCCGCCCAGCGTATTCACTGGACAAATTTCGTATGAAGGAAGAAATTTGTCGGTGCTCTTCGATTGACCCAGGAAAACTTTCTGGTGTATTCGTGCGAACGGATCCGGTGGTAATATCCAATGAGATTGCAGTACTATTGGAAATGAATGTAATGAAAATCCCTAAAATATCAAAAATTCTTATATGGGACCGTCTAGTATTCGATACTCCTTGGTATTCGGATGAGCTCGTCAGATTTCGTCATTTCCGTTATCTGGGACGCGCAAACGGTCCTGCGTCCAGATAAATGAGATAAAAAAAAGAGACGTAAGTGAAACTAAAAGACGGCCGGGCCGAAACGTAAAGGGATATGACTCCTAGGGAAGAAGTATGCGCGTCCTCTACTCGATAAAGAGATATTAAACGTAATAAATGGTAGTTTCAAATAAATGGTGCAGTGTCGTAAGATGCCCGTGAGCGTTCTCGTGGGTGTAGTAAAGTCGGCGAGTGCGAGATGCCAGGAAGACAGAGTAACTGACTCCAGTGCGGATAATACGTGAATTCGTGAGGTGCTTAATTTTTTTTTACTAGGTAACAAATAATCGAAAGAAAGATTAAGTTAAATCATTATAATCTATTGTTCATGAACATTGTGGAAATTATCTATAAATGTGAATTTAAGTGTGGAAATCGATTGGTTTTTCAAGAGAGAAAGAGAAAAAGAAGTATCGTGAAGCCTCGGGCTTCGCTCATGTTATGTCAACGTAAACCTGCGGCAGCACTGCCGCCTCTTTAGTAATTAACCAAACAAAATGGACACCGAGATAACGATTAAGCGAGTCTCCTGCGATTGTTTTAATTGAGGATTCGACGACAAAATGGGAGCAGCCCACGTTCAATCGTGAGTCCTTTCGATCGTTACTCAACCTAGATTTATAATAGCGTAGAATTATTGCGCGTGCGGCCTGAGTACTACTCACCAAATTATTTCGGTATTTTCAACCAATGTTATTATTCTTACGCTACATTTACAACATGATACATTTTTAAACACTGCATTATGTATCAACTCATTCTCAAATATGTCAGGTGTTCCTTCGGCATTTCCTGCAAACTTTAAGTACTAACTATCTCGAACCTGCGCGACCATCGACCTCGCGATTATTATCCCCCCATCCACGGTAGAAGCGTCCAACCATTTTTTTTGTTCTCCTTTCCAGAAAACTCGAGATCCTTCCTGAGAGAGTTCTCGTGCAAAAAAAAAACAAATAAAAAATTGAAATTCATAATCCACCTTATGCATTATCAATGGTCTCGACACGTTACCATGTTTTCAAGGTTTCCTCTACAAAGGTTAACGTCTTCCTGATATTTATGCTCTTTTAACTCATTTCCCATTGAGGTAATCGAAAGCCACCATCTCTCGACATGAGAAGATAAATAAGCATAGATAATATTACTATCAAGTAATTATGTAGATCTAAAACTTCTGACATTTATCTGTATACCATGTAGCCTCCAGCAAGTTCGTTTACAGGTTAGCACGCGGGTGCACCGAACTTCGGTTACTATCTTTTCTTTTTCTTCTGCATTTCGTTTAGATACCCCGTGGTTCTTTGACCAATAAAAGAGCGAGATAGGTAATAAAATAAATAAATAATAATAGACAAACCGGCATATCTGATTCGCGTCTAATCGAAATCTCGTTTAAATATTTATCATAAACACTACTAAGTAGTATCTATGGTAGTTAGTTTCCGTGCATTAATATTAAAAAATTGCATAGACTTTATGCATGCAAAATATTTAAGGACGCAGATGTACGTCGTCTTCGTCTAGTTGATACTCCACAAAAGTCCTAACCGCTATGTATATTCTGTATAGTAGAATCATACGTGCATCCAAGTGTACAGTCGACTCCGGAATCACAGGACGCGATTGGTTAATCAAGTATCCTGTAGCGCAATGCTGCTTTATAAGGTAAAATCTGATTGGTTCTCTTTCTGGTGTAATTCGGACCCCGCCTTGCTATCGCCAATTGCTCCGGCCGTCTTTACCGCGATACCGAATACTTTATATATCGCTATTGTGTGTGACCCGAGTATGCGTGCTTGCCTTGCCAGCCGCCTGCCCGTTTGCCTCTGATGCTTTTCAAGATGTATGGAACGACAGTGCCGTATCATCTTTAACCGGAACTAGACACTATCTTTCTTCCTAATGATGCAGCATCGTCACCTTTTGTGTTCTTTCGTCATGAACTAGACAAATGTCCTTTAGAATTCCGACCTCACTGATCGGAATGTTTGCGCTTTACGTAGGAACACCAAAAGTTTGTATTTGGTTTCTGAATTTATTTAATCGTTAGAAACTGGATAACTCGATTGTACTATTTTGATTTTCATTAAGGGTAATGAGGTCTGTATTGATTTTTAGGACGGAGATGGAAGACATTGGTTTGGTAATAATTAGGGGAAAAAAATGTCCTGAAGGATGGGTAACTGTTTGAGTAATACGTCCCTGTTTGACTACGTAGCTACATACGAATACTACTTTAGGTGCAGTGGGTAGGGTGGGGGTTTGGTGAGAGCCGAAGTTGGCACGGTGGGGGAAATGGGAAAAAGACAGATGGAGACAGTCGTGCAAGTGAAGCAGTAGTACGAGAGAGACAGAGCGCGGCAAAGTGAAAGAGAGAGGGCAAGTAAATGAGAGAGTGAGCAAAGGAGAGAAGGTAGAATGATTCGGGTGCCTGTGGACACGCTCGTACCTCGACTGTGCCGCGGCAGCCGCTGAGATAATTGTCGTGTAAACGCGCCATTACCGAGGGCTGCTTTTCCGGGAAAGTTCCGTCGCGGCTTTGTCTAATATAAAGGAAAGAGAGCCCTTTGGACCCGACAAGAGGCTCGTCGTGAGATAAACTTCGATTGGAAACGGTGTGATATGTGAAAAAGTGACGCCACGGTGAATATCGAGCGTCGCGACGGTCGCCGAGCCGAAACTCTCCTCGGATGCCCAAGCGGAAATCTTTCTCGGTAATGGCGTACGCTCTGGCGACGTACCCTTGTTTTTTTACACGACCTGCTGAACCGGTCTTGACGAAAACCCCATACCCTGCGAGCCACTCGCGCTTCTCCTTTTAATGGCGCCTCACGAGGATTACGGGAATTCGTGCCGCCGCCGCCACGCCGTCCTGTGAGCATTTATTCTTTACTTTACGTACTCTTACGCTCTCTCTCTTTCTCTTTCGCCCTCCCACCCTCTGTCTTTCTCTTGTTCACCGTTCTCTCTCCCCCTCTTCTCCCCCTTTTTTATGTGTGCATGCATATACACATATATATCCCTCCTGCTTTCTCTCTTTCTGGCTAGTTCGTACCCTCGCTCCCTTTTATATGAACGCTTTATTTCGTTCCTTTAGTCTCTTGGACATTTTTCACCGCAGCGTCTGCGTCTACCGTTTTTCGCGTTTACTGAATTCCTGTCGTACGGAAGCGTCATCACCTGGCGTTTATAATATCAGTGGTACTCTGTAATAATATTTCTTGAGGATATTCAAGGTGCTGTGTGGTTTCTTTACAAGGTATTTGGTATTATGTATAGTATATTGTATAGTGCTTCGTTTAGGTTAACCTGGGATCATGAAGACACTTGGAGTTCCTTCCAAACGGGAAAGGTTATAGCGATTATGATATATAAAGCCATAAGCGTATAGCTTTTCCCCTTTGGTGTGAATTTAGTGCAACTGTGTACATCAGTACCGTAAGAAGTTTTGGGATGTGCTTCGACACTTTAAAAGAACATCGGTGGAGTTGTATTTGTTACATACTGTTTCAGAGAGGAGAGAGACGAATCGACGATGGGTACGCCAGCGGTGCTAGGAAAGGTTGTACAGTTCCCTCTTGAGCCTGAGACAGAGGTGAAGAGTCGTGCAGCATAAAGACATGGACTCGTACGACCTATTTGGCGAAGATGTCAGTGGCTCAATGCTCGATGCTCTTCCTGATCTTGGGGGGAACGATCACTTTGATCCAGCAGGCCCAGCGAGCGGCACGGTAGTGTCCAGAGATGGTGCGAATCCGGGACCCAATGGAGGAGGGAGTTACATCAACCAGTCCTATAGCATCTCTCAAGAATCTCCTCTCCAAAAATTGAGCACGTTTGGTGGTAGCGAATTCGGTGGAAGTGGCCAATTGCAGAGTAACCAGCCGCAACGCGGAATGTTCAATCAGAATCTGGGTACGTTTGACGCAGGGGCACCACAGCGTGCGATGGTCCCTGCTGCGTTTCAGAATCAAGCGCGAGGCATGGCACCCCAGCACAGGGGTCCTCATCCAAGTGCTGGGGGCCAATATCCTGGATATTCGGACAACATGTACTCAATGGAGCAGCAGCATCCAATGGCAAGAGCGAATATGAGCATGGATCCAACCATGCAAGGCTGGCCAGCAGGTGCAGGCTCCTATCCCCAGATGCAGAGGCACTATAATCAAATGGCGCCTCAGCCTGGAGCTTATCGGCAGCATATGCCACAGTATTCTCACCAGCAGGATCAAGCTGGCATAAGTCAGAAGATACAGCAGCAACAGCAACAGCAGCAGCAGCATTTCACTGCCCAACAGGGTATAATGGGGAACATGGGGGTTCCTCATCAGGGTATGCAGCCTGGTGCTGCTGGCGGTGTATACCAACATATGGTAGGCCAGCAGCAGCACTACCAGCAAGGCAACCCCGCAGCAATGTATCAGAATAGTGGAGGTTACGCAGGCTTTGCTTCAGCAATGCATGCTCAGCAGCAGCAGCAACAAAGCCAACCACAACCTCAAAGAATGCCCCATCATCATCCGTCCCATCAAACTCATCCAACGCATCCTACGCATCAACAGTATCCACAGCATACGCAACACCCTAGCACACAGCAACCAATGGATCCTCAGTATCCTCACCATACCGCACCCATGTTCAATCAGCCACAACATCCAGGACCTGGTGCGCAGTTTGGAACTACGAAGCATGCAACCAGTCCACAATACAGGGCAACTTTTCCCCAGCTCTCGCCGCAAATGTCTCCCAGACCACAAATGTCTCCGAGGCCCCCAGCGGTGCAGCAGCAAATGTCTCCGAGGCCGATAATGTCTCCTGCGAAGCCAAGCACGCTCTCGCCTCATCCTCATGTGCAGCTACCGCATCAGCCGACACAGCCAACCTCGAACGTCTCTGTCTCGCCGTGTCCGCCGACGTCAATGCCAATGAATCCTTCTGGTGCGACTCAGCAGAGTACATTGCAGGCGCTCGAACAAATGGTCATACCTGGAGTAGCGGTGCCAAATCCTAATGTACCCACGCAGGATTACAATCAGTTCCAGCCGCGACCTCCTATGCCTCATCCGCCTAATATATTAACACAATCGTCAACAGCACAAAGCTCAATGCCACCTGTGACTGGGCCCAGGATGCCCATGCCTGCGCAATGGTCGCATACGCCACAGCAACCGCAGCAACCATCGCAGCCACAACAGCCACCACCTTCGCTGCCACAGCAGCAGCAGCAGCAACAGCAACAACAGCCTCAAATAAGACCGAACCTCAATGTAAACGTAAATGACGGTAGGCCACCAATGATGGAACCACCACCGCCAACGTCTTCGGAACAAGCTCCTTTGTTTCCAGTAAATGGACCAGATAGTATGAACGTGGTGGAAACAACAACGAGGGAACCTGCGGAAACGACACAGGCATCGATTAATCCACCACAAGCAGAGAGCATGGAAACACCTGAACAGACAGGGGCTAAGAAGATAGAAATGATGCAACCAGGGGGAAGTCCCGTTCAGAATAATTCTCAAGTAAATCTGAACGTAGAATCGGTACCCCCTGTGCAGCCTTCTCAAATAGAACCGGTGCAAAGTCTACCGGCTTCCAGTACTAGTGGGAATGTAGAAGTTAGTAGTACACCGTTGATGGTGCAACAACAATCTATTACAGTGTCGAATGCCGTATCGAGTATTGAGTCGAATGTATCGGAAGTAAAAAGCAGCGAGCAATCTGCAGAGATGAGTTCGGTTCATCACCAAGGAACTATTGTGGGACCCTCGCCACCGCACGGACAGCCACCTCTTGTTGCTCAACAACAACAAGGACAGCAGCCACTAATGTGTAGTCAACCGTCTGTTCAGATGGGTCAATCTACAGTTCAGCCGCAGCAGCAGCAACCTCTGACTCAATCTCAACAACCTCAGCAATCTCAAATCACTCAACAGACACAACAGGGCCAAATGAATCAGCAACCTCAACAGAGTCAAATGGGACAACAACCTCAGCAGATGCAGATGAGTCAGACTCAGCAGGCACAGCCTTCCCAGCCGCAGCAACAGCAACCCATTGGACAGGGTCCTCAAACAACAATGTCACCTGTACAACAACAGCAACAAATGGGTCAAGCACTTCAATCACAAATAGGACAGTCTCCGCAACAACAAATGGGACAACCTCCACCTCAATCCCAGCAACAAATACCACAGCCTTCTCAGCAACAATTAGGTCAAGCTTCGCAACAACAACAAATGGGTCAAGCGTCCCACCCGCAAATGGCCCAAGCTCCTCAACCACAGATTAATCAAACTCAACAGCCTCAGATTGCTCAAGCTCAAACACCCCAACCTCAGATTGGCTCTACACAGCCCCCTCAAGCTCAACAGCCTCAATTGGGCCCCACTCAACAAGCACAGTCGCACATGGGGCCCCAACAGGTGGGTATGATGCCACAGAGTAGTCCCATGTTGCCACCTCAAATTCCTCATCAACCACAAATGCAGCCACAGATACCTAATCAAACGTCACAGCTACAGGCGCAACCAAACCAAGTGCAGTCTGGACATGTACCTCCGCAGCAAATCCCGACAGTTGGACAAACTGGTAACATGGTGATGCCTCCTCATCAGACTGCAGTTCCCTTGCCAAATAACCAGCCACCACTCCCTGTCCAAGGGTTTGGCGAATACACAAATATACAAAAACCTAATAACATGTATCAGAATGATATGATTGTGGGCTCTGGTCAGCAGTACCATACTGGTGCCGATATAATTGGTGGTAATACTATATCTAGTATGTATGGTATGCCACCTGGTACTACGCCAAATGCAGTAGGTCCCGGTTTCAATAATACCTGCGCACCAGTAACTCATCATCAGGAACGTGCTGCACTCCAGCAACAATTACAGGAACTCTATTGCATGCCACCTGCTCCGGAAAACCAAGAGAAGATCGTCAGTCTTCAGGAAAGATTACAGGCACTTCAGCAACACGAAACTAACGACCAGTGCAATGGAGGGCCCCAGTGTATTCTTCAGACTCCCATGTTTACAACAGCAGCTGTTGTAGACAGTCCCCAAGTGTCTAGCACGACAGGACGCGGAAGAAGCAAAGGTAAAGAATTATATCGGTATGGTTGATCGTAGAAATGATTTGCTATAGTAAAGAGCTTCCTTTTAGATTATGTATACTTTCCAGTATAATGGCGGTATTGTTCTTTATATTACAGGTACACCTCGGGCAAAGAAAAGTAGAAAGAAGGCGGACAAGGAAGCCGTTGCTCCGATGATTCCAGTTCAACCAATGTCTCAACCTGAGCAGCCATTGTCCGACAATCTTGTAACACCGGGAGACAGTAGTAACATTGTTGACAGCGCTGCAGATTCTGAGGATCTGAAACCAACTTCTGGTGATATGGAGGAAGAATGGAATAAAAGTAGAAAGTCTCGACCACCACGAAAACCACGTAAGCCAAAAGAGCCTAAGGATCCAAAAATTAAGAAGGAAGCGAAGGCACCGAAGGAGGCTAAGAGTCCTAAGGGACGAAAGAAGAATAAAGAGGCTAAGGAGACTAAACGCGGTAGAAAGAAGACGAATCAATCTGAATCTGCCGATGACGAAGCTGTTCAGGAAGGCGAGGATACCGCGGTATCGGATTCTGTGCCTGTCCAGGATGCTGAAGTGAAACCAAGTGACCAACCTGCTCAAGACGATCAAGCTCAGGCGGACTCTTCAACCGCAGAGCCTATAGTAACAGAATCCAAGGATGAGGCTGAAGAAAAAGCCGAATCCGAAGAGGTTCTCGATGAGGAGAAAAAGGAAAGTTCCGTCCAGGAAACAGCAACCGTTGAAGCTTCCACTCCTGTCAAGAAAAAAGCAGCAGGACGTAAGAAATCCGTAGGAAAGGCCAGCGCTGGACGTACTCCCAGGAGTAACAAGTGAGTCTTTATTAATAAGCTAAACTCGAGTAAAACTTTACACAACGATTAATCTCTAGGAAACGGAAGAGTCGTATCGCTCCGGATTCTGATGGTGAGGAACTCGCCGCTACTCCACCACCATCTCCAGAGGCTGGCGACGATCTTAATAAAAGACGATCAGCCAGGAATACTCATAGGAAGAAATACGTCGACGACGTAATGTTAAGGTTCTCTGACGACGAAGTACCCCTTCAGGATGCCCAGAGTTCCAAGAAGTCTGAAGGGTCTGGGGCCTCGAAACCCGCTGCGGTGAAACGCGAAAACGAGGGCGGTGACGTGGGACCAAACAAGCCAAATTTTGTCTACATTGTACGAATTTATTATTATTATTCTCGTACATTGGACAATCCAAAGTATTATTTGACATAATAAAATTCACTTATTAACTTTATATATTTACTATAATATCTTTGCTTTTCTCACTGTTCTCCAGAACACTACGGACGAGGACTCCATGGTAGTGCAACATATTTTATGCACTCGGATCGGCAAGCGAGAAGTCAAACCAGACCCAGTAGCAGAAGTAAAGCCTGAGCCGAAGGAAGACAATGCTGAAAGTAGTATGGACACTAAAGAGGAGGTCGAGGAATCTACGGAGAAGCCAATGGAGAAGGAGAAGGAGAAGGAAGAAGGTGACGAAGAAATCAAGGAAGAAACACCCAAGGAGACAGAGGAAAAGGAGGAAGAGACTCCAAAGGATGAACCAATCAAGGAGAAGGAAAAAGTGGAGAAAGAAAGTGAAGATGTGGAAGCAGACACAGAGAATGAAGAGATTGAGAAAAAAGAAGCCGTAGAGGAGGAGGAGGAGGAGGTGGTGGTCAAGAAGGAGGATGATGATGAAGGGGAAAGCAAAGATAACGAGGAAATCGAGAAGAGCGAAAAGACAGAAAATTCCGAAACGACCGAAATAATCACCCCCGAAGTTAAACCTCAGGTAATCGAGGTCGAAGAATACCTAGTGAAGTACAGAAATTTTTCATACCTCCATTGCGAGTGGAGAACCGAAGAGGAATTGTACAAAGGTGATAAAAGAATTCAAGCAAAGCTAAAGCGTTTCAAGCAGAAGCAGCAACAAAATACAAACATCTTTGAGAACCCCGAGGACGATCCATTCAATCCTGACTTCGTGGAGGTCGACAGAGTCCTGGATGAGGCCACGCATACGGACCCAACTTCAGGTGAGACTGTTCGTCACTTTCTTGTCAAGTGGCGATCGTTACAGTACGAGGATTCTACTTGGGAACTAGAAGAGGACGTTGACCCAGAGAAAATAGCTTCTTTTCACAAATTCAATAAGCTTCCTCCAAAGGATCAATGGAAACCAAAAAAGAAGCCAAATGCTACGGGCTGGGTAAAACTCGAAGAATCTCCAATTTACAAGAACAATAATAGTTTAAGACCATACCAGTTGGAGGGTCTCAATTGGCTTCTCTTCTCCTGGTACAACAATCACAACTGTATCCTTGCCGACGAGATGGGACTTGGTAAAACAATTCAATCCCTGACCTTCGTGGATGCTGTATACAAATATGGAATACGTGGACCTTTCTTAATAATCGCACCGCTCTCCACAATTCCAAATTGGCAAAGAGAATTTGAGGGATGGACCGACATGAACGTCGTGGTCTATCACGGATCTGCAGCTAGTAGAACAATGCTTCAGGAATATGAAGTGTATTATAAAAATGATAAGGGACAACAGATCAAGGACCTAGTCAAATTCAATGTCCTGATCACAACCTTTGAAATAATTATAACTGATTTTAATGAACTACGTGGGTACAATTGGAGACTCTGTGTCATCGATGAAGCGCATCGTTTAAAGAATCGTAACTGCAAGCTCTTGGAGGGATTGCGACAACTCAATCTAGAGCATCGAGTTCTTCTCTCAGGAACACCCTTGCAGAATAACGTCAATGAGCTCTTTTCTTTACTGAACTTCCTGGAACCAACACAGTTCTCCAGCAGCGAAGCCTTCCTCAAGGAATTTGGTAACCTGAGTAGCGAAGGTGAAGTTCAAAAGCTTCAGCTACTTCTCAAACCCATGATGCTAAGAAGACTAAAGGAAGATGTCGAAAAGTCTCTAGCTCCTAAGGAAGAGACTGTAGTCGAGGTCGAATTAACTAATATTCAGAAGAAGTATTATCGTGGCATCCTCGAGAGGAACTTCTCATTCCTTGCCAAAGGCACCACATCCGCCAACATTCCCAATCTCATGAACACCATGATGGAACTTCGAAAATGTTGTATTCATCCATTCCTACTTAATGGAGCCGAGGATCAAATTCAGTTGGACTACAAATCAACGGAAAAGGAAGATTCTGAAGCGTACTTTCATGCCCTTGTTAATAGTTCTGGTAAAATGGTTTTAATTGACAAATTACTACCGAAATTAAAAGCCAGTGGTCACAGGGTTTTGGTATTCAGTCAAATGGTCAAGTGTTTAGATTTATTGGAGGACTACTTGCTTTATAAGAAGTACGTTTTATCTTGTTCGCATCGTATTTAATCTCAGTAATATATCCGCCATTTCATCCCCAGTATTATTATATTTTGGTTTATTTCTTTTTTAGATATCCTTATGAAAGAATCGATGGCCGTATTCGTGGGAATTTAAGGCAGGCAGCTATTGATCGTTACAGTAAACCAGACTCGGATCGATTTGTGTTTCTATTATGTACCAAAGCTGGTGGTCTTGGTATTAATTTGACAGCAGCTGACACAGTCATTATTTATGACAGCGACTGGAACCCTCAGAATGACTTACAGGTAAAGTATTTGCATTGTAACGATCGTATAATGTCATCCAACGTTATCGATCGTGACGTAACAATTTATATTTTCTTACAAAGGCTCAAGCAAGATGCCACAGAATTGGCCAACAAAAGATGGTTAAAGTGTATCGACTCCTTTGTCGAAATACATACGAGAGAGAAATGTTTGACAAAGCTTCCCTGAAACTCGGATTGGATAAAGCCATCCTTCAGTCAATGAATACCAGCCAGGGTGGTAAGGATCCCGGTAACAAACAATTAACTAAAAAGGAAATTGAGGATCTATTAAAGAAAGGTGCCTATGGCGCCATCATGGATGACGATAACGCGGGTGATAAATTTTGTGAGGAGGACATCGAGCAGATTCTCGAAAGAAGAACACAGGTATGATGAAAGAGAGATGAATTTGTTTGTCTATATATAGCATACACTATTCTTCTAAACGAACAATTGTCATTCCCAGATCATCACCATTGAAGCTGAAAAAGGATCGACATTTTCAAAAGCTAGTTTTGCCTGCTCCTCCAATAGGTCGGATATCAATATCGATGATCCTGATTTCTGGAAGAAATGGGCAAAGAAGGCAGAGATCGACACTACGGAAAAGAAGGAAGAGGACGAGCTAGTGATATCCGAGCCACGTAGAAGAACTCAAATAAAACGTTACGGGCATGACGAGTCCGTAGTAGATATGTCAGAGCTCGACAGTTCTGATGACAATAGTGACGACGACACTAGTGGTGGATTAACCGGTAGAGGTATGTCCACGTTATGTGCATGCATGGTACATAATTTTATTATTGTTTTATCCGACTACAAACCATGTATTTGTCACTCAGCCATTGTATAGCCATAATACATTTTGCTTTGTATACTTATAACGTGTTCGATGCCAAACAATTGTTCAATATCGCAAGGTCGTTAATTACCGTTCATAATACATACGTCTGCCTTTGTTTAATCAATAGGAAAGAAGCGAAGGGACAAATTCGGCAAGAAGAGCAGAAGGTTCTACGACGAGTACGTTCCACGGGAAGGCGAGGTGGTATACGGTAGCTGGGCCAGGAGTGAATGTTTCAAAGTGGAACGTGGTCTCTTGACCTTTGGCTGGGGTCGTTGGGAGGAAATCCTTCAGCACAGTCAATTCCGACGTGGATGGCGCGAGATCGATGTCGAGGATTGCGCCAGAGTCATACTTCTTTATTGTCTCCGTTATTATCGTGGCGACGAGAAGATACGGAACTTTATCTGGGACCTAATAACACCCTTAGAAAACGGTGAGAAGGTCAAGACGATTTCGATAAACACCACTAGTAGGAACAGCAGACAGAAGAAGAAAGGACGCGTGCGAGAAGGTCGTGAAACCAGAGGATCCACTGCGAACGGTGGACCCAGCGATCCGAATCATTGGAGTCACGCCGAGAAGTACGACGGCGACATCTTCCTCGAGAGCAATTACAAGAAACACCTTAGTCGACATGCCAACAAGTACGTGGATCAAAAAGATTCGATAAATCAAGCTCGCAGTCATCAGTAAAACTAAGTAAATTTCATTAATCGATTCGTCAATAATTTCAGAGTCCTTTTGAGGGTTCGTATGCTGTACTACATAAAGCATGAGATCATCGGGGATCTGGTTCAACACATATCGGATGGCGTTCACGTCAGGTTAGTAGACTCGATTAGAATCGTAACTCCTTGTCCGTGATTCATCACGAGCGTCATGCACTCACATACAAGCTTACACAGTGCTTATAGTTGCATGTGCAATGTACTTGTTTACTCTGGGTCCTGTACTTGTACGCGGAATGCTCCTAGAGCCGGCCAAGACTATGTTTACCACCCTATGTTTAAACCTTCGACCTACGCAGTGGCTAAGTAACGACCTTCGTTGTCGATTCTTCGCTACTAATTTTAATATATATGCATATATAGTATATATATATATATATATATAAATGCCTTAATATATATACCTACATAAATATATACATACATACATACCATACATTGTCCACCCTCGAGATTCTCCTATCATCCGAGTATTCGACTGGCCTGCAACGCGAGGTCGACGACCTCTGCGTCCTCCATGTGTGGTAAGACGTAGAGTACGAAAAAAAGCAGTGCACTGTGATCAAGAGGGCAACGGAACGTACTATTCTTTTTATTCCTTGTAAAAATAAAAAGAAAAAGTCAAAAATGATTTTCGATCCTAGAGACTCGGCGATATCAGGTCATTATTAATTATTGGTATCGATAGGTAATGGAAGTTTGTCGTGGGAGTACGTAGGAGGATATTGAATTGATATAAAATTAAAAATAATAATTTATTAATCAATTATACAATCGATTCGATGCCTCTGGCAAACATGAGCGAGAGACATCCTAGAACGTAGGCCTCGCTATTGTTGCTACCGTACGGATTAACTTACTGAGGGGTATCTGTAATCGTCGAGTCTTTGGAGGCAAAATTCCAAAATGAAATTTAAGGGATTAGCGAGAACGATTGGCACGTATGAATTGGCAAATTGTAAATGGAACCGCCCTACAGTGCGTTGCGGATAAACCCCCCGCAGCTGGCGGAGCCTCCAGCGAAATGGTGGGACTCGACGGCAGACAAGTCCCTAATAATCGGATGCTACAAACACGGCTACGAGAATTACGAGCAGATGAGGGCCGATCCCGCGCTTTCTTTCATTTCAAGCTGTCCTCTCCCTCCCCAGACTCAGACTCAGACTACCCAGGTTAAGTGAGTACCCATTTCTTTTTACGTATTTTCTTGGTCAATGAGTATCTTGGCATCCATATACGAAGCCACGTCTTTGCTACGAGGTTTTAAAACTTATCAGAGACTCATAACAACGGCTGCGTCATTTTGCATTGATAATGTATTGTCATTTAATTTTTCCTTTTACGCTACTTATTATCACGAGCTTCGTATATCTATGTCGATTCGCTCTTCTTCGTCATCTTCATCTTCTATCTTTGTCGTTACTACTACTATCATTATTGTCATTTTCTCTCTCTCTCTCTCTCTCTTTCTATTTTTCTTTTTCATTCCCCTCTCTCTCTCTCTCTCTCTCTCTCTCTCTCTCTCTCTCTCTCTCTCTCTCTCTCTCTCTCTCTCTCTCTCTCTCTCTCTCTCTCTCTCTCTCTCTCTCTCTCTCTCTCTCTCTCTCTCTCTCTCTCTCTCTCTCTCTCTCTCTCTCTCTCTCTCTCTCTCTCTCTCTCTTTTCTCATCATACGCTATCGCTGATTTTTTTTTACTTTGACTTAACACTACTCGCACGCTTTAATACGTCTGCTCCACGTTTTACGTTCTCTATGGCAAATGCCTACAAGTTTATATACTTATAATCGACACGAAGGAAGCTGGCCAAGCTTTGGAATGGCTCGATATTTTAATACCTTGCTCTTATCCAAGCTCTTCCTACGATACTTGCAGTACCCATGTTTCTGGCTTCCTTGTCGAGACACTAAACCACGATGAAGTTTCTTTTTCATATCCTTGTGATTCTAATTTATAGTATTTTAATGGTATTCATCCCGAGTATACTCTGGGGAGTTTGCTCGAGGGGAGTTCATTTTGTCTTAAGAATTTTTTAAGGGCGTCGACTTTTTTTTTAAATCTGAAAGTCATCACGGAATTCTTGAGGTTTTGGATTTTTTTGACTCATGTCATTTCCCTGTGAGAATGGAACATCATATCATACAGAGGGTTCGAGGAAAAAGCTTGCTTATCGGTTGTGTTGAGAATAAAAGAGATTACACTGTGCCAATAGAGTTCACAAGCGAGTCTTTTTTTTGTATTTCTTTACTTTTCTCTCACGGAAGAAAGGAGTTAAAGAAACGAAAGTATAGTCTTTGCAGAAGTCTTGTTTTCTTTGATTTTTTTTTCTTGTCGAATCGATAAGGTATTTTGTATTATTGTGCATATATTATGTGCACGAGGTGCTTCCTGACTCGTGTACTTATAATTCGAATTCTTGCACGACAATTTCAGCAACAGGGAGGAAAACAGCATGGAAATCGAGACCGAGGATGGCGAGACTTCGATCTTGGCCAAGGAGTCGAAGGACTCGGAGAAATTCGGCAGGGAGACTCCTGCGGATTCGCCAGCTATTTCCAGCAAGGCGGACACTCCTGTTCCTGAAGCAAGCAGCAGCCACGACGGTACCGAGGGGTTACCGGAGGATGACAAAACCTGGCCGTCGGTCGTCGATCTGAACACACGTCTGCGCAGAGTTATCACTTCCTATCAGCGTAGTGTGAAAAAGGAGGAAACTAAGACAGTTGCTCAAAAGGGAAAACCGAATGAACCGGAAGTCGGAAATCATTCTGCTACTTCCACTACTGATCCGCCATTAAACATGCAAGGATGGGATTTGCAACAATTGGCAATGTACCTACTGGTAAGTTGTGTTGGATCATACAATGTGTTGATATCGTATGGAGTCATTGCAAATGAGTTATGTTTTTAACGCTCCTGTGGTTGGATTGAATTTTTTCAGAAAATGGAACGTAGGGAAAAGATGGAGGCTATGGTGAAGGAACGTGAACGTACGCGCATTGAGGAACAGCGTGCAAAATGGTCGCGTAGGGAGGAAAGTGAATTTTTACGTGTCGTTTCGACCTACGGTGTTAATTATGATAGGAAGAAGGCTCAGTATGACTGGACGAAATTTAAAAGTATCGCCAGGTTTGATAAGAAGACGGATAATGATCTGACTGATTATTACATGTCCTTCAGGGCGATGTGCAAGAAGGCTTGTAATTCGAAACTCACCGAGGAAGACGGTAAGTTTGTCATTTCATTTTTTAGAAAGTCGTACTGAGTTTTGGATGACTGGACACTTTGATGATGTAATATTTGTTATTTATAGTTGTTACTCTATACTTATTTAGTCTGCATTTGGAATGTTTTTAGATATTGCTGTGGATCATTTGAGTCCTAGCAAGGCCAGGCAGATCCTTGATAGAGTGGATCTCCTTAGTAAGATTCGCGAGGAAATACTTTCCCATCCTCATCTAGAGGAACGACTTTCTCTTTGTCAACCATCCGGGGATACTCCCGATTGGTGGCAACCTGGAAAACATGATAAGGAACTTCTCTTGGGAGCTGCTAAACACGGTCTTGGTAGAACGGATATTACTATACTGAACGATCCTGATTTTTCTTTCCACAAGATCCTGGGTAAAAGTATATTCAGTGGCGTGCATGCTACCAAGTTACCTGAGAAGGTGGAGCGCGCTATAAAGATTGAAAGTCGTGAAGACATTTTGAAATTTGACAAGGACGAAATTTTAGTGAAACTAGAAAAGGGTGAAGGTACCTTGAAGATAGAGAAAGTCGGGGTTAAAAAGGACAAAGATGTAGTCATGGAGAAGAAACCAGAGACCTCAAATGTGGAAAAGAGCCAGGTCGAGTTGACCATAGTCAAAACAGAAGCTAAGACGGAAGACAAGGGTACCAATGCCTTTACAATTACAACAGTGGCCAAACCAAAGTCACCCGAACCGGAAAAACCTCTTACAGCAAAGGTTGAGTCGGAGGTACCCGAGAATCCTCCTACGGAACCGGAACCCGAACCTGTTAAAGCAGAAGAGGATATCGTTCAGGAAGAAAAGAGTGAAGAGAAGCAAGTGGAAGAATCTGAACCAAAAGAGAATGGTCCAGCGGAGAAGGAAACTAAGGAGGAGGACCCTGAGGAGAAAGAAAAGGAGCCAGAAAAACCAAAGGAAGAAGAAGAGAAAGAAGAAGAAAAACCGAAGGAAGAAAAGGAATCTGAATGTACAGAGAAAGTCAAAGAAATGACAACCCAGACAGAAATCAAAGAAGAGACTGAAACAAAGAGTACAGAGAACAAAGAAACAGAGGCTACTGAAACTCCTATGGAAGTGGTGGTGACACCGGAAAGGAACGAGGAACCGGAAGTCACTAGCGATGTCAAATCAGAGCCTCCCGTAGAAGATGCTCCGGTGAAAGAAGAGGAATCTCAAGAAGACAAAGCTACTGAAATCGACAAGGATAAAGTCAAAGCTGCTAAAATTGAAGACAAGTGCAGTGTCCAAGCTGCAGAACTCAAGGCGATGTTCCCCGATCTAGAAGTTATTCAACCGCTTTCGCGGTTAACGCAGATAGACACCTTCGTTCTTCGCGACAAAACCATAGATTACACTGAACCGACTGTAGCACAATTATTGGCTCATAGTTATCAAGCTTCTATAAAATGGCCGAAGGAACACGCCATTGAAGCTAGATTGATGCACATTGTGCACGCGATCGAGCACAAGGAATGGCCGGTTTCCATAAACTTTAGTGCAGGCGATGAGACTGAAATTATTCCTGAAAAGGAGAGTGAGGTTATCACGATAACTACGGATCACGGAGTCCCCAGGTCTTTGACGGCTAGCAATAATATCTCTGTCTCGAAGAAGCGTAAGAGACACATTGCCATTGACGTGGAAACCGAGAGGGCGAAACTTCATGCACTCTTGAACAGTAGTCACATCACTGCACAGCCTCTTACGTCCTTGAGCAAACCAACTGTATTACCTGCAGCTACTTGGGAAATAAACGAGGAATCCCAATCAGAGGAATCACGAAGGTCCACTCCAGTACAGCCACCACCTGCTCACCAACAAGCTAGGACGCCTGCGATACCTTTTGATCCAAAGTATACCATACCTGGAAAAACAACGATAATACCGGGAACATCCAGCACCTTGACTCCAATAGATCTGTCTCCTGGGTAAGTAGAAATATTATTCAATCAGATGTATGTACGATTATCTTCAACATTGTAATATACTTAACTATTTTACTTGTTTTTCATTTCATTTAGATTTCCTAAAACAACGACAACTGAGACGAATAAAGACATGATGAACGAAGTGCAGGATTTCTCAATGCCAAACAAAAGTAAGCAAATAAGTAGCAACAAGGGCAAGCTGGACAGCATGTTAGACAAGCTAATGAAGAGGAAAAATTGTCCGACTGACGAGCCGGTGATTGGGAAGGAAAAGAAACGCAGAAAACTGGATGAAATTGTATTAGGTCTGAGTGCAGCCAAAGAACAACAGAGCAGCCATTACCCGGAACACAGTAAAAAGAGCACGATAACACCAAATGTGACTGTGACACCGACCTCGGCACCTATCGGTCTTCCGAATCCGCCATCAACTTCCCAGAAACCGTTCTCCATAACCGTGACCTCGATACCGTCCTCGAGGGCATCAGGATCCTCTTCGAATTTACCTCCACCGTCCTTGCACTCACACAAGGATTCTTTCTCTGCATTGATCGCTCAGGCGGAGCAGCAGAATCGTGAATTGAAGAAGCAACAGCAGCAGCACCAACAACAGCAACAACATCAACAGCACCAGCAGCACCAGCAGCAACAACAACAGCAAGCATTTAATTCTGCACATTCGTCCAGTAGCAGTCATCGTAAGAGTTATGAAGCAATGATTGCGGATATTAACAAAGTTGCTGAGTATTCTTCGAAGATCGGATCTTATTCTCACGAAGCTAAGGTAAATAAGTGGCTTGCCGAACAAACTGTCATGTCAGAGCAACTTGGCGCTGAGTACCTGAATGCACCTCGCCGAAGAAGACCCAGAGTCGATCCATCCTTGCTGGATTGGAAGAAACTCACGGGAGAGGAGAACGTCGCTGTTATTAATAGGCTGACTGGAAAGAAGGTAAGTTTTTATTCTTATGTGAATCCTGAGGTTAGGTGTTAGGTCTTAGAGTTTGGGATTTCTGTACTGTAGGTTACTGGAAGTAAGGCTCCACAGCTCAAAAGACTTGGACAGTGGCTCATTGAGAATCCTATGTTCGATGTCGATCCCAAGTGGGCCGAACTTGTCAAGGAGAGAGGAAACCTTCCCCACGATCTACAGAAGAGGCTACCTGGTGCTGATAGAAGCAGCAACAAGGGCAAAAGTCCTGGGCGACCGCCAATGATGCCAAGTCCCACGAATCAGCCGTCCGTGAGTCAGGCTAACCTGGCAGCTACTTCGATAGCTTCAGGATTGAATTTCCCATCCTTAGGAAATCTAAATAATTCACTACTCTCGGGACTTTCTTTAGGAAACTTTGATCCTAAAAATAATCCTTTATTAATGCCCTTTGGGGGGTTGCCCAATCTCGGCGCACTAGGTGGCTTGGGCAATCTTGGTAATTTGAGTAACATGAGTCTCACGAATTCACTGTTCGCCAATTTGGCTGGTCTTGGCTTGCCTTCCTTAGCCGGTATGGAGGCTGCACTTAGTGCAACCGCGACAAGCACAGTGGACACGAACGTCGTATCCTCGGCGGGTAGTAAAAATACCAATTCGACGAGCACCAGCTCTAGCAAGTCTCGCAGTAAGATGGAACCACCAAGTAGCAAATCGTCAGCGCCTTCTACTTCGACTTCTTCATCCTTACCAACGACGACGCCCTTCCCATTCTTTTTCCCAAGTCCAGGACTTCTTTACACTCCTTTGGGACTTGGCGGGCTTAACCCCTTCTCGATGCAACCTGGAGGTGTATCTTCGGCTTACGAGAGTCTCGCTCAATGCGGATTATTGAATCCTCCAACTTCCACAGCGAGCACATCATCCTCAAGAAAAACGTCAAGTGCGTCTACTAGTTCTAGACAAAGAGGTGGAGATAACCTGGACTCTAACAAGAGAAAGGAGGCTGAAAAGAAGTCCAGGTACACGATGGACCCTGCAGTGGCTCTACAGCAGTATTCAGACATGGCCTTTCACGAAGAACGAAAACGTGCAGAATCCGAAAAAAAGGAGACCATAGAACTAAGCGACTTCGCCGACCTAACTGCCAGACTTGAGAGAAAGAGTAAAGAGCAAGAAATGAAGGAGGCCCTGGAGCAGCTAAGCCGAACCAGCGCCGAACTATTAACGAGGAATCTCGAAGATCTTCAAAGGCCTTCTAAGAGAGCCAGGAGTTCTGATCACGTCATAGAGCAACAGGTACCGCCCTCGTTGGAGGTTACTCTGGAGCCTGTAACAAAGAAACCACGAGAAGCTGAAAGCACTGCTGCCACTACCACAACGACTACCACTACAAGTACGACCGCGACTGCTAAGAGTTCGGAATCTGCCATCGACATGGAAATAATCAGGCCACTCTCAGCAAGTAGCGGCAAACACCCGGATGAGACAACTTCACTAAACACATCAGGCACTAGTAACAAAGAATCCAACGAGTCCATCGGCGAGTCTTCGCCGCAACAATCTAATGTGAACAAATCCTCTGAGAATAAGTCCCAGGGTGTCCTGGAGCAAGAGGAGGACGGCAAGGGTAATAAAGCAAAGAAGCCTCGTATTGGCAAACGTATTAGTAACGAGCCTCCGCCGGAAAGAAAGAATTTACGTTCAAGTGCAGGAAGGCAAGCAAGGGCTGCCGCGGAACGGCAGGCCAGAATGGAAGGCACCGGAAGTAGTGAGCATCAGTCTACCGGGGAACATGAGAACCACGGTGCTGGTGAGTGAATTCGATTCCTATGTGTTCAGGGGTTTAAGTTATTTGTGACGAAAATTTCGTTTACGGAATTCACTGCGGACGATGAAAACGTGTTGATGGGATTTAATAAGAAGAAAAAAAGAGAAGGAAACACGATCATCCTCTACCTGGTCATTAATGGAGTACAATTATTATAGCACGTAAAACGTTCGTCTCTTGTCGCGTCTCGTTCTCGCGAAACGGACTGCTGCTATGAGAAGAGACGGTAGTGATATTGTTTATTTAAAAATAATTTTTCTGACGAGGAACTCTGTACTTCGTCTAAAGACAAAAGGAGACAGTGTGCGGTAAAGAAACGTTGCGTCATCTCCAAATAGTGACCAGGATACGGAGGCAATAGTATTTCGCGAGGTGGTAATACTTTGTGTGGTAATTAATATTTAATTACGTAATGTTTATTAGTTAACGAAGATGGTAATTTTGTTAAATTTATTATGTACGTTTTTTTTTCTTTTTTTTTTATCTTATTGGTTTTGACCAGGGACTGTTTTATATAACTGCTATCATCTACATTATTCGTATATTATATGTATATGTATATAATTTATATTTATAAACTTATATATATATGCATATATATATATATATATAAACATATATATATTATTATTATACACGTAATATTATAATCGTAATACGAGTAGAAAGGTTAGTTTAGACGTAACTTAAACTGATGGAGGAGAGAAACTGTAAATAACATACAATCTGCCTAGGTACGTCGTCTAAGCGAAATCGTGTACTTGGAAAAGTGTATATATTAACGATGCAGTGTACTTTTAATTATACTAGGTGAAATAATAAACGGCTTCTTTTGTTGTTTGCAAGTTCGCTGCGAATTGGCTTACGACAGGAACGTAAATGACAAATAAGACGAATGGTAATACACGGTCGTACGAAAAATATTGTGGCTTTTATTTCAGCATTTTCGTACAAAACGAAAAAAAAGAAAAAAAAACAAATGAGGAGATAGAAGTACTAAAAGGACAGGAAGATTATCTCACTGAATAATCATTAATAATTTTCATAGTTTTGTTATTGTAAATGTCAAGGATATCCTTTCCTATTTGAATGTAAGATATTCCTTTTAGTTTACTGCTCTCTCTTTTAAATATCTGTTGGCTGCGGTACAATACGCAGGTAAGGCTTGCCTGATGGAAGAGGTAGAATCTTTAGACTGTCCGCATAAAGATCATTAGCCTCTTCTTTAGATACTGTTGGCTGGACCATGACATCATCGCCTTTCTGAAATATTAAAAAATAAATTATAAAAGATATTTGATAGTGTTGTGTATTGTAGAAAGTGGATACGTAACCTTCCAGTCAACTGGAGTGGCGACTTTGTACTTGTCTGTGAGCTGCAGAGACTCTATGACGCGAATAATCTCACTGGAAAATAAGATATAATTGTTCATCGTGCTCTACCACCATATAATTTAATAATCAGTCATGAAGTTACTCAAAGCTTCTGCCTGTGGTGGCAGGATAGAGAATAGATAGTCTCATCTTCTTTTGTGAATCAATTATAAATACAGCTCTTGCGGAGAGAGGTAATCCTTGATTGTCTGTTTCTGCAGGATCCAGCATACCTAGCATAGTGGATAGAGCGCGATCCTCATCTGCGATTATAGGATATGGAAATCCATCATCTGATATTTCTGCATAACTCTTAATGTCCTATATAAAATCCACAATGAATTCTAGACCTAATTCTCGTTATCGAATATTCTGTATAAAAAATAGTCAAACCTCAATCCACTTTTTATGCGAGTCAATGGAATTGCAGGACATTGCCATAACTTTTACTCCAAGCCTTTTAAATTCTGGTATCAATTTGGCTACCCTGCCTAATTCCGTTGTGCATACAGGTGTAAAGTCATTCGGATGAGAGAAAAGTATTGCCCATCTAGAATTGACGTATGTAAATATATAAAGAAAAGCCGCTTTGAGGTTAAGTCAGTTCTCTTACGAGTCTCCGATCCATTCGTGAAACTTTATATGACCGATATTCGTATCAGCCTCGAAATTTGGAAAAATTTCTCCCAGTAGAACCATATTTTTTTTTTGTATATTACGTACAATTTGTTTGCCACCAATCTAAATGGAGATTTATATACTTCGTTAATTTATAAGAAAATTTTCCACAATTCTTCTTTGTCGTCGACTGTCATCTGTTCATTTCATTCGGCGACTGATGATGCAGTAAATAAAATTGACCGACAGATGGCGACAGTTTCACCATGTAATTGTTACTTCTAAATTCGAACTGATGAAAAGAATCAACATTATCCTAGTTTACTAGATACAGTAATTCATTACATAAACATATTTTGGCAAATGCTCTATATACATTGTCTGACATCAAAACAGAGGTAAACACTCCTATAATATATAGTCAAATAAAAACAAGATTTGGTACATCTCACAGGGAAATACAGTTATCAGTTTCTCTGTGATGAGAGACAAAGAGAAACGAGAAATAAAAATTTTCTTTATTAAAATATATATACTGACTTAATTCAGACTACAGTATAATATTTATTTTCTTTAGTCTTTCCTCCTTCTGCCGTACCCTCCTTTGTATCATTGGTATAAAAAACAGCATAAGACCGCTTATAGCTATCATAGAGCCGGCTACATAAAATCCTGGATCGTACGATTTGAGACCGTCGTACAGCCATCCTTAAGACAAAAAGGTAAACACCGATTAATTACTCTGCCTAAAGTCCAAATAGTAGAATGATTTAAAGCTATACAATTAAAATACACCAGTAGCATTTTGTAATTGTTAAATATGTCTATATATAATACGAATATAATTTACCGGCAATGGGTGGTCCTAGGAGAGAAGCAATACCTTGGAATAATAAAAGGAGTCCAAAGGCATTAGTAAGACGATCTAATCCTAGGAGATCGACTAGAATAACTGAAGTGAGTCCCACGTAGGCACCCGCGGTGAAACCATATACCGTGGAGTAAAATGCAAACGCAGTAAAAGTCGTGCAGAATATGCTAAGAGCAGTAGCTACAAGTGATAAGGAGAAAATATATTAAAAAGAAAATTTATCTACAGTAACAAGTTTCATGATACAATAACAGGAAACTTACCCAGTCCACAGATGGTGAGACAACAATTATAAACCAGAAGTCGATTGATCCAGGGTTTATCAGAAAGGTAACCAAGAACAATACGTCCTACAGTATTCGCAATACCAATAACAGCAAGAAGATAGCTTGCTTCGTTTGTTGGTATATGCCTTTGTTGTGCTTGTGCCTAAAACCAAAACATTACTTAACGTATGTCTAAATTAATTCTTGAAGTCAAACAAATTCTCAAGTCGAACCTTACCACCAGGTAAACATAGGGTATATTGAAGCCGATACTAGTGCAGAAGTTGGATAGTGTAAAGAGTATAAATACAGGATCTTTTAAAAGTGAGAGTTCCAACATCTCATGAAGTATATCGAGTGTTTCTTCAGCATAAGGAAGACACTCAAAGTTATCCTGTTTCACAGGTCCATTCGGTAGACTCCTTGAGGAGTAATGAATACGAACATTCTCTTCGCTATTTGCTAAAGAGGCCCTGTAAGTGTGTAATTTCAATTGATATGGAATCAGTCTTTTTCTTTGTTTATGTTCAACAATACAACTAAAACTGACGATCTCTTGCGTAGGTTTTCGACACTCCCTTGATAGAAAACATCAGGTCTGCTCATTATCCCACTTCCAAAGGACCTTGCCATGGACTCTGACATCTGGTGACCAATAGAAGTCCTCGTATAGAGAACGGGCTGACTCAGAGCAACTCTCATGTTATTAGACACGTGGTCTTGCGTGTTAACCGGAAGGTACTTGGCATGATTCACATTCCCAGTACTTTGTGGCCTCTCCATTATTTCTTTAACCAATTCCAATGGCTGACTGACCTTGACAAACTCTTCTTTTATCAAGGGTAATTCCTACGTCCAAAAAATAGAGCATGCCTATATGTGTCTCGCTAAGGGCGATGGTACTCTATCATTGAAAATAGAAATAAATGTGTCTTGGTACCTTCATGGCAATATTCTTAGGTTTAACTGGCTCCAGGGGCCTGAAGAGTGCTCCAAAAATGGCACAGTTCAAGACAATCGCAGAAATGATCATCATAGCACCACGCCAGCCATAAGTCACTATTAGATACTCAGAAAGCGGTGCAAAGATAAAAGTTCCCAATCCTGAACCACATACTGCTATTCCTGTTGCCAAGGATCGGTATTTCTCAAAGTAACAAGTCACACTGACAATGGCTGGTAGGTAGATGAGACCGAATCCCAAGCCTATAAACAAATATATTATTAATTATAATAGTAAATTATATTAATACCAAAAACTGTTGAAGACCGATTATTTTTACTATTTTCAATACCATAGATAATGTATTTGCAGTGTTGCATGCTCATTCACTATATAAAAATAGTTCCTTACCACATTAACATCAAAAGTATCCTCGCAGCTTGTATTTAGGTAAATTATTTGACACTAGAGATAAGTAAATTTATAAATAATATAAATTGACTACTTACCAGTACCGATACCGATTGAGAAGCATAGCATTAATACACTCTGTGCCCAGACACTGATAAATAGACAAAAGCTTGCTAAGATAGCTCCAGCTATAGTGACTGGACGACATCCATATTTATTTACAAAAGAGCTGGATATTGGTCCTATAATAGATACATACAATTAACATCAGAAGACAAGAAATGAATAATACATTAACCACGTCTCTATGAATTTCAGATCCAAATAAAAGACTGTACTTAACCGGAACATAAGGTGATACCAACAAGTATAGAAGCGATCCATGCCGTAGTTCCTTTACCTTCATCAAAGTAATTAAGAAATTCAAGGTAAAAGACCCCAAAGGAGTAAGTCACGCCATCAGCTGTAATTGAGAAGCAAAAGAACCAAGAATTAATATCGTTTAATACACGATACAAAAAAAAAAGGAATCATATATGAGCCGCTCAGTGCACACATCGATTAACTCCACTTTTTGAAAAATCTTAAATTTAAGTGTCAAAGCACTTGGTATACTCATAACTTTTTATATTTTTAATAACTTTCCTGAATAATAAAGATTAGCACCATTAAACGACACAATTTTTTTGGCCATTGAATAATAAGTAATTTACAATATACATTACTTCATCGCATTTCTCAACTTTTTGTTTTATGGAGTTAATCGATGTGTGCACTGAACGGCTCATATATTAATCCCATCAAAGACATCTAATAATAATTGCATAGTTCGAGTGGACGTATTCAGTTTCTGTATGGCGATACGTGTGTCTCAAAAACTTTCAGAGAGCATGTACACATATGGTTCTAACAAGTACGTATGACGTAGATAATATATAAAGATATTGAAGGAATCTGAATACAAGTGTAGAACAACTTCCACCATTTGAAATTTTGTTTTCAGTTCATAAATTCCACCGGAGAAACGTTTCTAAGAGTTTATTGAGTAATTGTCATAAAATCGTGCTGCTTTTAGCCAGTTATCAACGACACGCCAACATCATTTTAGCTGCTATCAGCGATTTTGTGAGAATCGACCGACTTGATAGCCAGAACTTGTTTTGTTAAATCACCAGCTACTTGGAGATAAAACTGAACGTGTTAAACAAAAAGAAGAAACCCAGTTACGTTTGGGTATATCTATAAAAGTCTCTTAACGACAATTCGATGCAGCAATAAAATCAGCGAGTATAGAGAATGATAAAGAAATATTTGTCATCTTATAAACAGGCAAAACATGGTCCAGACTTATGAGCTTCTGTTGCATCTCTGAGAAAAAAAATCTCAAACTTTGAAGCAAGCAAGTAATAATTATGAAACATATAAAGATTTCAGAGAAACTGTAATTATCACTTTTCTCATGCTCATTATCAGATAACGACTTGTCAGTGGATTATCTGTTACACATGTCAGAGATAAGTACCATATGAATAGATACAGTCTCCCGTATACGTTACAAAGAGTGCAGAAAGCTTTTCTGACCGTTTACACAAGAAAAAAAAAAGATAGGAATCAAGTATGAGCAGTCATGTCGGAAGAACCAATTAATCATGTTTTAGATGATAATTTTTGAAGGTAATTTTGCAATTATTTTTCACCGATCATTTAAATTAATATTAACCACCGGTTACGCTCGTATGTCAAATAAAATAATGTACTTACTGACAATGTGGATCATGAAGGAAGCAAAGACAACCCACCAGCCCCAGCCACCATCAGGCGGCGGTACAGGTTCCATGGGCTCGTCGATTTGCTCCTTCTCGTGATTCTTCTTTTTGCTCGTTCTCTGGTCGAGACCGTGAGCCATCTTCCTTCTTCTCTTGTTTTTCTTTTAAACTTCTTTTTCTTAACTTTTTAGCAGTGTGCACGGTACAGTCTTGACCAGTGGATCAAAACTGGTTGTCAATGGAAGGCAGAGGAAGTAGTCAAAGAAGAATTGACCTTGAAGGAAGTACAGGAACAGAAGAGTAAAAGGAAGCTGGGAGGATAAGGGGAAAAGAGTCTAATTTATAATATTACATATTCAATAATCTCTACTGTGTTGCTGGCCTAACTGATCCAATGCTCGATTCTGTACAAAGAATCTTTAGCTTGACCCTACTTCGGGTTAACGCGGTGAACTAAAGACTTTCAGCATTAAGTGACGAGGAAACTTCTAGATACGAATATAACAACAGTCACCCTGTTCTTTGAAATATGTATTATCTTCTTTATCGGTATACAATGTTAAAGCGTTCGAGCACTGAAGCCTATTTATGCTCCACTCAGAGAGCTCGAGTCCCAACAACTAATCCGATGTCCGCCCCTGCGCTTACGCTACATATAAACATTGCTATCGTTTTCCGTCATTATCGGCCTTTCATTGGATTTCACTCGCACGAACGGGATCGCACAGATACGTTTACAGAGAAAATTATACACGAGCTCTGAGCCGATTATAAAGAATTTTACAATACCAAATTTCAATTGCACTGCGCCCCTGTACATAAAGATTTTAACGCTCTTTCTTAAACTGTAATCTTACCCCACTATTTATACAAATTTTATTACATCAAAGGAATGCGGAAGGACAAGTCAAAGACGTGTAATCTCATATATCGACTTTCACAATTTTGCGTTGGCTAACAGGAAGTGACAGCTTTAACCCAGACAGAAAAGAAACTTCATCGCGCCCAGTAAGATGCAACAACATTCACGGATACAGTCTGTTAAAAAACTTGACACTGTAATAACTAGTGATAAAAGTAAAGAATTTTCTCGAGATGATTTACAATTTTATCGTCTTCAGCAACGTGTCAGATTTTTTTTAATCTTATCGGCCAAAGCACCGCGAAACAATGATTTATCATTATTACCCGGCCTCAAAAAGTTTCACCATCAGTCGCCCGATAACGCCGAAAAGTTTTCTTTTTCGTTTTGACTTTTTTTCTTTCTATATACTCCTTGACTTTCTTAATTAAGATTCTCCCCCGCCACTAATGACGGACTGCATGTGTGTCCACAGCCTCGTGTAACCTCCAGAGATAGCGGCGATCCCGCCACTTGCAACCACTAGGGGTATCGCGGATGCATCAATGCTGCGCGACGTTCGTGTACTCTTATCCTAAAAATATCTGCCATTTGGTTGAGCAAGAGTTGACGCCGGAGTGAGTGAGCGAGACGCGCTTTGATAATAAAAAGGCAACGACACGTTAACAGAACGAAGAGAGACAGCAAGAACGCAAATGAAGAAAGAGGACGTCGTCGAGGTCCCAAATGATTAAAGAGATCGATGAGATTAATTGTTCCTAATCAAAGGGACAGCAGATGCCAATGTGGAATTTCTCCACGTACAAATAACCTTCCTCTATAATTGCCGCTACCAACTCTATCAGTGTTAGTTTCCTTTACATCACTTGGTCCGCATCTACGTTAACGCATACGATACAAGACAATGTTGCGGGGCTTCTCTTATACGGCTTTCTTTGTTCGCTCTAACGCAGAGAAACTTTCTTTAGTTTTACACTAGTACCCAACACACAAACATACTCTTGTGATAATATTCACATGTGAAACAATGCAGAACACGTCTATTTATTCACTCGCGTAACTCTTAAGTGGAGGCTAACTTAAATTTTGTCTTTCCACAACGATACCGAGAGCCGTCGACTTTAATCTTGATTTTAATTACACAACTAATATTTAAGTATCCATGTCACGAGGGAATATGGTACATTGTATGGTACTCGGTTTGATACGATATCGTTAAATACACATACAATATTATAATGACACTGCGCCAGGAAGCGGTATACGACGATGGAAGAGAGAAAGGGATAGCATGACTAAGAGTGACAGTACGAGAGAGAGAGAGTAAGAGAGATAGAAGGAGAGATAGAATTGACAAATACGAACAAAGAGCGTCTTTTCGCCGCGAACGCTGCCACGCGATTGCTTTATTTACGAACGGCACGAGTCACCGAGCCAGCGAAGTCGCTAGTGAAATTACGATTAACGCGAATATCTTGCTTGCTTCAAGATAGCTCTCTTCCTCTCCCTCTCTTTCTCTCTCTCTCCCTCTCCCTCCTTCTCTTACTCCACATTCTGCGCGCCACTAGACATTCTTAGGAATGCAAGAAAGCAAACGCGAATCCGTCCTAGGATTTATTTATAAGCGTACATATGTACGTACAAACGGCTCAGGATCTATCTCATTTTATCGTTAGGATATCTTTTAATATTTTAGTGCTTTTATTCTGATATACAAAATTTGTTATTATTCCTCGTTCCAGGAGCCACTTATTGTATCTCACGATTCACTACGTTCAGATCCGTCACGTGATCGCTTATCATCGGTCGCGACTCGTACGTGCATATCGTTATCCCGTGTCTATGACCTGGTGTCCATTCTCCTTTTAATCCAATGTAATTTATTCTCGTCCTCTCGGCACCGTTATTCCCAGAGAAGTGTAACGTTAGATGATGCACCGATGAGAACTTGACTATCCTATTGTACAGATACGGATGACAGTTAGTGGAGCTTAGGGGTTTTTCATTTGTTTAACTGAGAGTCGTGATATTAGTATTGTCTGGTATCAATACATTTTGAGGTATCTATCTGCGAGAATGACTTGCAAATCTTACATTGAAATACGCCATTTTTGATGGCTAATAATGGTGACTGCGCATTTTTGAGAATCCATCATCTTTGTAAACATCCATTGGAAATGTTGTTCTTTCACTTTTATTTAAGATTTTTGGAATCATTTGAAGCTCAAACATCCACGTTTTGTTTACGACCATTCTCGTGAATTGTACTGACTTATACCCTTGTCTTATCATTAGTGAAATAGGGGATGATCAGCTTTCATAATTGGTCAGGGTCAAGTAATCTTTATTGGACTCTATATATGTATATTTACTAGCATTATGTTAAATGTAATCTGTTTCACGATGATTGGACTTTGCTATTTTACCCTTGTGATTCAAAGTTCGTTTACAGTCTGATAAGTCTTAGCGGATTCCGACGTATATTTTACGTTGACTAAGGTCAATTTGCTGTTGACTTTATATATTCCGAGGGGAAGATACTGTTCAGTTTTCATTGATTTTTAAATCAATTTATTGTGAAATATATGGGAAGTTGATTTGATTAAAAAAAAAGTTGAAGCTATGAAAAATCATTTAAAGTTGAGTGGAATTTGCATTGACTTTTACAAACTGTAGGCTAAATCTTTTGATGTTAGTAAAGTCGTAATTTTGGCATCGATTGTCTCAAAGTTTATGTTAAACTTTGTATTGTGACATCATTGAATTTTGTACATATCAACGTTTATTTATCGTTGACGGGATCTATTTGAGAGGATGTTATATTAATATGATATGCTATCTGAAATGATGAATGTGTATCGAGAATAATTAATGGTGCAAGATTTGGTAATTGATACAGAGATACTTGAAGAACTCGATAAGATATTTCCGATAGATGTTTACTTGGTTAATAACGATATTACTCCACGTTGGAGGATTAAAGGATTATGTATTCATTATTTTTGTTCAATTAGCTTTATGACTCACTTAATAGGATATTCGTGGAAACCGTGATCGTCTTTGCACAACTCAAATTCTTGTTCAGGTTCTGTGGCGACGTTATCGAAGGTCATATGCGGTCGATTTTTGAACCTAGAAAATTCAACTTAAAATAATTTTGGCACCAAATACTCGTGGGAATATCTGTGATGCTTTAGTCGTAAAATTGTTCATTCTAGCGTGGGTGGATACATTGCCAACTTTATATGTTATATTGGTTTTGGCACCGTACACTGAAATATGAAAGCACGTGTACGTTCGGTCATATATTGTGTCTTAAAAAGTATCACTCAATTGCAAGTGTCTAACTCTTTTTGATCTCTTTTTGATCTATCTACTCTTTTTGAACGACTTGACTAAAATAGTATGTCTGTATGGAAAGTATATTTACAATTTCACTTTCAAGGGATATGAATCATCTGACCCACCGATGATGATGAGGCCTTTAAGTTTGACATTACCAGTGAACCTGAAAATAGGGAAACAATATAGTTTTCTGTTTCATATATGAAATTGCTTGGATATATTCATCATAATTAATGTCCTTACGGGATATTGAAGAGAAGTTCATCATCTACATCGCTTTCAACATACTGTGGAGGAACAAAAGTGTGAAATCGTGTGAATGCTCATACAGAAAAGTATTATTTTGATTGACTCCTTTAAATTACCTTATCATGGTTTAAGCGATCTTCCCAGGGTTTAAAAACTGTTACTCCGGAACCTTCTTCATACTCGTTAAGGCACTCCACATTGTTCATGTCTATTTTTGTATATAAATTATACTGTACACCTAGTTCACCTTCGTTATGTGTGTTGCCACAGTTACACTGATGATCCATGCTTTTGTATTATACTACTATAAAAAACAATTGATAGACTTATTAATTCTCTAGAAATATTTATAAGAACATGAAATACTGCATTTCCAGCGTTCAATCTTTAATACATATGTAATAATAAATTTTGAAGCCTAAACGTTGACTGACATTTTACATGACGTTTTGATTACGAAAATTTTCGATTGTTATTTTCAAAGCAACTATGAAGCGAAAATTGAATATTTATATTTTTCCCATACCTCAGTATTTATAGTCACTGACTGAATCACCCAGAAGTCCAATCTCAATGAAATATTTAGAAAATTCAAGAAAATTCTAGACTCATTTAAAGGTTATGCCATCTATCGCAATCTGCCGGTTGCGCCGCTTGACACAACTGGCAAGCCTCCATTTTTTGTGGATTTTCATATTTGAATGCAAAGGTTGGAGAATACCTAATGACTAAAATTTAAAAGGACAGAAATTAAGTCATCGATTTAATAGGTATTTCAAATTTATTTCATTTCTTAAATCTACCGTACATTATACAGTCGAAAGTGGTGATTTACAGTCTATCATTAATACGAAATCTCGGTACAGGCCCCTGTGGCACGTACGATTCCCGCGTCGTTTCAAACTGCAATGTAGCCGAACAAAAATTCACATGCCTTGTGTACATTAAATTAAAATCGTAACAGAAATGTACCAAATTATACAACAGAAATCACAGTGTGAGAGTTGAGACGTTGTAGTTGAATAATTACATGTGCTCACAATGTATTTCCCGTTGTTTCTTATCTGTTATAATTACGTAGATGTGAGTTACGTATCATCTTCATTAGAGCATTTAAATCAGTGTATAATTATTCATTATTTATTGAAATCAATATTGTCAGTATCCAATTTCTGGAATCTTATGTGATTATCAATTATCTGAAACAGTTCAGGTGGCTGTGGAACTCTTCCTGTTTCCAGCTTGGACCAAACAGGTACATCTGTAAATATCAAATATGTTAAGTATAAATTTACAATGATGCAAAAGATATATGGTAGCAAACGTCTATACCATTGAAATGAATCTCAAATGCTCCTGATGCAACAAGCATTCCTTCGATAGCATTACTCAAAACAAAAAGCATTAAACAGGCAAAGATTCGATTTGCCATGCACCATTGCCACCAAGATGGTGTAGGTTGTCCAATCCATTCTGATATATTTATTCCACTTAGTATTAATACTATGATGATTATCTTAGCTGCAAACTGACAAGGAAATATTAAAGAGTCTTACTACGCTAATTAAATTATAGTATCTTATGTATATAAGTAAGATCATTACCAAAAATCTAGCTAGGAGCATATTGTAACCTGGTGGGTTGAAGTTTTCTCCAACAACTTGTAATTCTGGATATTTCTGCCTAAGTATTCCAACATATTCCTCGAACATTTTCCTATATCCACAGGAATAGCTATGGAAATAAATAATTAATGGCAATAAGTTTCTAACATTGTGTCATAATAAGGTGGTTGTCTTCGTTCAATGACATGCTGTTTTCTGTCAGTGCAATATCCTTATTAATTTTATATCAAGTAACAACTAAACTGAAGTGCGTCAGTTCTAATTTGAGAGAATTAACAATCATTACCAGTAAAAGAATTTTAAAGTTGGTCCTGCCTGTGCACCAAGTTTGGTTAAGGGAGCTTCTTTCACTTTTTCAATAGCATTAACTTTGCACGTCAGGGCACACAGTAGAACAAATAAGCAAAGGCTTAGAGTAAATACACGCATCTTCGGCTATTTCATAAATACTCATCGACTGTATTTTAATTATTATGATTTGTCTTCTTGAATATTGCGTTCTCTGGTTTCCTTGATAAAATTACAACCTGCTGATTCAATCGCAGGCCTGCCATAGCCAAAGTTTGCTTTCCCTTTTTTTAAATTATTTTCCTAGGACGATTGGTACGATATCACGAGACCGGAAATGATTTATACTTCCAGATCAATTTTGTTATATTTACGAATACCTAATTTTAAAAATAACCGCGGGAAAAAATACTTAGTGGATTGATCTTGGACGAAGGCAAAGATATCTTTAGTGAAAAATTGAATGAAATAAGCCAACACAATGCTTGCTTCAAAATGTCGGGGTTTTGTGCCATGTTCTATTATATTTCGGAATATGGGTAATATCGTTTTCTTTATTATTTAATTCAATTTGAGTATTTATTTGAATTGTAATCTATTTTATATAACCTCCTAACTTTGAGAAAGTTATTACTTTTTAGCGACCGTAAAGAGATTTTATCGAAGAACAAATATTCTGTCGAGTGGTGGAAAATTTGAGATAACTTTGGATCAGAGAAAATTGAAGACTCCAAAAGGACAGATATTTGAAGTGAATAGTAAACCTTTGGCATTGGCTGTGGCTACAGAATGGGAGAGTCAAGGGGATATTATTAATAGAGGCAATATGCATTTGGTAAGGTGATAATATCTTTATTAAGGAACCGTGGAAAAATGTAGACAATAGCCTTACTGTATTTCTGGTTACAGACTGCATTGTGTAGCACCGCTTTAGACAATCCACACAATCACAATAAGCTGGACATAGTAAACTATATAGTGAATTACTTGGAAACTGATACTATTCTTTTTCATAGTGCTGTACGTAAATTATATTTTATGAGGATAGAATTAACATTACAGTTTCACTTAGTTTTTATCATAAAAATTCTAGGATGCCGAAGAACTCACAAAATTACAAATGGAAAAGTGGGATCCACTAATTCAGTGGTTTTGCGATCAATATGAAATAGATATTGTTAAAACAAACAGTATAGAGGCACCAGTTGTTCCGCTTCAGACTAAAGCTGTTTTGACAAGACATCTATCATCTTACAATTTCGAGGCTGTTCAGGGTAAGTTATAATAAAATAATGTCTGGCATATTGAATAAATGAAAAACATGTATAGTTTATTTAAAATTATCAGTTACACATGTATCTATTTTACAAGTAAAAGAAAATGGAACTGATTCCCTACAGGTTTTATGTATGCAGTGGACACGTTAAAGTCAGTAATTCTCCCTTTGGCAGCAGTCGAACGTGTCATCGGCATTGAGGAAGCCGTGAGACTGTCCAGACTAGAGGAGGAGTATCAGGTGAATAATTAACAAACGTTATTTTATAATCTATCATCTAAACAAAATCTTCCCAATGCAGATATCACACTGGGGAAACGTAGAGTGGTCGCACGATCTGAGCAAACACGATTTGCAAGGGCGTCTCGCGGCAGCAATTCTTTTTATCCATTTAAATTCAAGTTCTTCAACTAGTCAGCCGAAGAGCAACAGCTCTTCGATCGTAGCCAATTAATAAATAATTCAATTAAAAAAACGTCATTCTATTCTAACTTAACTTTTCTATTAATTCTATTTATTCATTAATAATTCCTCAATACTCTTCATCACTGGGTGAACACATCTTGGCTGGTACGGAACAGTCAGGACCTTCCCAATCCTTCATACAGACACAGCTGTACGTGGGTCCATGATTGAGACAAACTCCGCCATTTTTACATGAACGATGAGTACACTCGTTCCTGTGACATTCTCCAACTCCACGTCCCGTTGCAGGACTGGTCTTACTCACAGGAACCAGAGAATTTTCCAGGCGGAGTTCTATGTCGAATATGCAGCCAGAGAAACCGGTGTGCAGTGGCAAATCATGAGGCAGTGTGTCAAAGTTCCTTGACTTGTGTCCACCTGATTTGTGATTTTGTAAGTAATACTGACTCATACAATGTTTCATAAGACTCACCGATATACAATATTGGAGAAACATCTAGTCTGGTCATCGTACCAGCTGATTGACCTGTTACGTTTTCTAAACCATCTACAGAGAGCCAAGCGTCTCTACCACGTCTTCCTATACGAACAGTGTGTGGTCTGTGTACCTTTGCAGTCAATGGACTGTTTGTGAATATTCGTCTTACACCTGCGGTTCATAAATAATTATATTGATAAGCGAAAATAGGTAGAATTATCAATGCTCCTTTTGTTTTTGTTTTACCTGATCCTAGATCCCAAGTGAGCATAATATATCCTCGAACATAAGTTAATGATAAATGATCTGTTAACTCTTTGTGAGAACCTGTTTGACCCATAAAAGCTAACAGGGATATTTGTTCGATGGACTGTGGTATAAGGCGCATCTTTAATTCCATACTGTCTTTTATGGAACCGGTGAGTCCATAGGCCACATAAGATGAAAAGCCAGGTACGAAAACCGAGAATGAAGGTTGTACTATTACGATGTCTGAAAATGGAACAGAATTTTTGATCCAATTCTTTTTTTCAAATTATATAGAATTTTACCTTCTTCGCAGAGAAGGCCATGTGTTCCCAAGGGACAGACGCACAGGAATCCTGTTCCTGGTGAACTTATACAGGTTGCTCCTAGTTGACATGGGTTATCATCGCATACAGATTTCTCACACATTTCTCCAGTGTATCTACAAGATATATATTGATTTTTATAATTGGAATAGTTTTTTTGAAAGTAAAATTGATCTCAATTGATTCATCTTACGCACCCGGCAATGCATTTACATTTGATTTTGCCATTGACTTCTTTGCAAGCTCCAAAATTTCTACAAGGACTTGTCAAGCACAAAAATGAAGTACATTCCTCCAATTGATACGTCTCCACAGAGTCGTACATAAAATGTTTTTGAATATCATTCACTTTTAATTGACTCATACAGCCGACAAATCCAAGAGCAATATGTGGAAAGTAATGAGAGAAAGCCAAAGGAATCCCACCAAGGTGTAACATTCCTTGATGTGGAATATTCTCTTGAAACGAAACAATTTGTTCGCCACTCATAGCAACAGTATTATTTACTAGTAGCCTTGCTGAACATTTATCTCCTTTGATATCCATAATATATTGAAACCTGTCACAAGAATTTGTATAGAACGTTAAAAGATTTTTTCATACACTTAATCTTTATATAATCCACGACATACCTCATCTCCAGATCAACGTCGTATCCATTATTTATTGGAGAATCAATTTCTCCAAGAAGCATAGTCTGAAGACCACAAGAGAATTGAAACTTTAATTGTCCAGATTGCATATACAATAGAATATATCTATCGTCATCGAAAAAGGCGTGCACCAGGATTCCACTTTTAGATAGAGTTTTCAGTCTGGCAAATATCTTAAGCGAACCATTACCATCTACTAGAAATTGTTGTCTTACAAAAGATTTGCCGTTGAATGCAGCATTGGTTATACTTGGCATAGTCCGGCAATTATCTTGATAACTGCAGTCACACTGTTTGCCAAAACATTTTTAATTGATATAAACTTGTAATGACATTTCTCAAATTATAAATTACCGCTTTCCTTACCTCGGTGGAGTCATTTATACAGAGTGATATGTTGAAACATTGTTGCCGTGTACAGTTGTAAATTGTGACACGCTTTTCTGTAGTTGTTTCAGCTTCCACAGTTTCACTAGCACTGGTCATTACATCACTGGTCAAAGAATATAATTTATCTGTGGTCGTCACAAATGCACTAGTAGTTCTCTCAGTAACATTGGAAGTGATTATATGTGGCTCGGTACTCGGAATTTCTGTTCTTGTTTTAGAAGTTACCACAGCAGAAGGCGCCTCAGTGAAAAACTGCGTAATTCCATGCGTTGTTATTTCAGGAGTTTTTTCACTCATTACAATTGTAGATTCGCTCATATCTGTATCCGAAATCCTCTTGGTACCGTCGTATAAAGTCGTCTCCGTAAAAACAGTAATAAAATCCTTAACAGTAGATCTATCTTCCGTTTTCATGGTAGACGTTCCCATAGTGTCCTCAGGAAGCATTGTAGGTCTAATTACAGCAGTAGTATTATCTCTATCAAAATCTGTAGTGACAGTTGATTCAGTAAAGGAAATAATCGTAGGAAAAAAGGCAGTGTAAATTTCACTTGTAGAACTTGTATTTGTAGTTTTCTTTGTACTTTCTGTCGTATCCACACTAACAGCCTTGGTACTGGTAATTGTACTCTCCGTATCATTGATAATATTCTTTGTACTGTCATAACTACTTCTTGTCACATCGGTGCTACTTTTTCCACCAGGAGCATAATCCTCAGGCTTAATAGTAAAGTTAGTCAACACTGGTTTCTCACTAGTCTCCGTAGATGCTTCTGTGACTCTCGTCGCGTTCCTCTCAGAAATTGTAAAATCCGTAACTGAGACTGCACTAGTTAGTGAAACACCATCCTTTGTTACAGTGAACACAGTAGGTTCTGTACTAGGAAATTCCAGACCTGTCGTAGTTTGAAATTCTTGAAAATCAGTGGTCCCGCTCGTCGAAGATGATTTAGTTGTAATAAACACTTCCTGGGTTGTCGAGGAATACGCATAGGGATTATAGCGGTCGCACATGTCTCCAGTATAAGGCACTGGACAAGCACAGGTAAAATTGTTGATCCCATCAATACAGGTACCTCCATTTTCACATTGTGCAAATTTTGATTCGCAATCGTTATAACGCAGTTCACAGAGAGATCCATGATAGTCAGGAACACAGTAGCAGACAGGTTGAGAGTCCTCCAGGAGGCAAACGGCATCGTTTTGGCACGGGTTCGATTCGCAGAGCACAATAGTCTTGTCGCAATCCTTCCCAGTAAATCCTTAATGTAAGATAATATTATTTATTACACCAATTATTTGTTAATACCAAAAACAGTAATTATACCGAATAAACAGGCACACGTGTAACTGGCTGGAATATTAAGGCACAGTCCACCATTTTGGCAGGGAAAATTTTCGCATTCGTTCACGTCCTCTTCGCACAGTTCTCCTGTCCATCCTGTATATTCCAAAATAATTGTATTAATTATATAATACTTAAAGATTAGCCGTAAATTAAAAGAAGACCTTCGGTACAACGACAAGTGAATAAGAATCCAGGACCCTCAATGCATTCTCCAAAATTTTTACAAATTGTATTATTGCACACAGACGCATCGATCTCGCAGTAATCGCCTGTATAAAAATTAAAGATAATTACATTCTGTAATAAGTAAATCATTATAAACTCGTTACCTGAATATCCTTCAGGACATTGGCACACAAAACCATTGTAATCCAAACAAGTTCCATTATTGAGACAAGGCTGATTCAAACACTCGCTAAAACGTTGCTCGCAATTGACTCCTATAAAAACAAGAGATAAGAAAATCCATTAATTACAAATAATCATATCAATATTTATTGTACATCTTTACGTATTTCCTGACCTACAAAACCATCGGCACAGCTACAATTGTACGTAGCGACTGCATCGTTACATGTGCCACCGTTCAAGCAAGGATTGGACCAGCAATCGTCCCAATTGATGTCACAATTGATTCCAGTATATCCATCGATACAGTAACAGGAATAAGAACTAAAAGAATAGCATAAATTACTTATGAATTAAAAGAAAAACAACAATGCTCTTATCATCGATTCGTACCTGTTCGTATCATCCAAACAAATGCCGTACATGCACGGTTCGTTACTGCAACGTAAACCGGAAGAGATGGCCAGAGTCAAGGCCGTCAGGACAATAAGAGAAATTCGACGTACAAGATAATATCTAGTCATATTTTAAAATTCTACGAAAAACACCTGTCGATGTCTCTTAAATGCACCCTTTCTTATGTACATGCCACGTCTCAACTACTTTTCTTGAACCCTTTTAACAGTACCCATAGCAACATACAAACAACACAAAGACTGCTAAGAAGACGCCTGCGTAAAAAAGAGCTCGATGGTAACAGCTACAGAAAACTAGAAGAGTCCAAATACTTTTTAGATTTCTCAATAAATATCTAATTCCATTAGGGATTATTAAATGCTTGATAGAAAGTTATTTAATCGATTATCAAATCTCATTGAGTAAATGACTGTTCAAAGAACTAAATTGTAGTATGCCTGAGTATTCTATGATCAATATAAAACATAAGAAATTGATCTTATTATTCCATTATTGATCAAATAGGGGTACACATTGATTGTATCCATCACAGGCGTGGGAATTAATTAGCTGATACGTGTTAAATTAATTTGTATAGACCTGCCCAACTCTAGATAGTCTCAGGGCTTTTGTCATGAGTCGTTTTAGTTGCGTACGAGGTGCCGTGAATAATTTTAGAATACTATATATTTCAGATGACGGTGTCACAACGTAAACTGAAACCAAGCGTCTAACTCTGACGTTCTAAATACATTTTCGTACCTCTTTCTTTATGTCTTGCAACCACAAAATTATTGCAGTACGAGCATTTAGTATATGGAGAAGTATACTATTTCATTTTAAAGTAATTACAGTAAAAACTTTTTCATATAGAAATTTGTTTATATATATTTTAATAATTATTTTAATGCGTTTCTGCTGTACTTCTTTATACCTTAATCGTAGTAACTGTAATTAGTGTTTAGATACTACTCCCGATTTAGCATACTACTTTCAATCTAATGTCTTATACATTATAGGTGTGCTCTCTATTTTAAAACTGGATCACTACAGACGGAGGAGTTAGAAGAGTCTCATTAACGTAACTTAATTATCTGTGAATTGAGCCAAGTGATTTAACAAGCTTTATAAGCGGTCCCCTTGATCTCACAGGATGACACTATCACCAGAGGTAGTCGAAAGACTCTTACATAGGCATCTGGAGTTCCATGGACTTGGTAATAATGAGCAGTCACAGTCATGGACAATTAAAAAGTCTTCACTAGGAGGTCGTGGAATGTTCGCTACGAGGAAGATTGATCAGGGCGAGTTGATCTTTGTGGATGCTGCTCTGGTCGTTGGTCCACGTAGATATAGCAAGTATTTACCTATGTGCGTCGGCTGCTACAAGAGTTCCTGTCCGCTTTTTCCCTGTGACCGAGAATGCGGGTTGCCAGTTTGTTCTAAGGAATGTGAAGACTCTCCTATCCACGTGGAATGTTCTGCCTTGGGGAAGTGGGGAACTACTTGTGGGTCTATGTGGTCCTCTGATATTCTTCAGGCTGTACTTCCAATCCGAGCACTGTCCCTTCCCCAAGAACAAAAAGACCTGGTGTATGCTCTTGAGTGCCACGAAGGCCCTCGACATGGTATGGAGGTGAGGTCCGGGTAACCTAGAGATACAATAGACCAATAAGTATAAAATTTTATCCCCAGGTCGACTTGCTGATAAAGAACGTACGGAATACGATAAGCTCTGAAGATGAGGCTTTTATGAGAAGAGTCTGTGGATCTTGTGATACAAATTCCTTTGAAACAGCCGTCTTGGTGGCTAATGATTCCAAGGAGAAGTTCTCAATGACGAGTCTTCGTGGTCTTTATCCGATGGGAGCGATGCAGAATCATTCCTGCGTTCCTAATACCAGACATCATTTCGACAACTCACAGAAACTCTTCGTCAGCGCTGCGCGTCCCATAGATCAGGGCGAAGAACTCACGATGACTTATACAGAATTATTGTGGGACACTACGATTCGAAGACAGCTTCTGGTTGAGACTAAACACTTTCTTTGTTCTTGTCAAAGATGCTCCGATCCTCTGGTACTTCATCATTGTTACTGGACGATCCAAGTTTGATAATTAAACTGTGCACAATCTTCTTCAGGAATTTGGATCATTGCTGGGTGCTCTGAAGTGTGCGAATCAAGAATGTTCGGGGATTTTACTTCCTGATGATTCTTTGAATATGACCACTGCTTGGACGTGTAGAGAATGTGGACTTTCGATGACGAACAGACAGGTGACATTAAAAATAAAAAGAGAAAATCTTAAACAAATTCTTTTCACTTTAATTCTTTCTTTCTGTAGATAAAATCCATTCATTCAGCTCTTGCAAGTATCATCCAAGATATCACTAAACGGAGTCCACGAAGAATTCTTCGATTCCTTTTGAAAGAATTGCCAGTCCTGGTCCCCAAAATGAATTACGTCGTGATAGATCTTAAATTCACTATAGTCTCTTACTTTGGTCGAACGGACAATATTTCTTGGAAAGGTATAACTGATGCATATACAATTACTTAGTAGAATATTAATTAAAATTGTTTTTTTCAGATCTCACAGATCAGGAACTTGAAATCAAAAGGGAATATTGCAAGGATCTTATACATACTTTAGATATTCTGGGCTGTGGCGATTGTAAGAAAAAAGGTCTCATACTCTACGAACTGTATTGTACTAACTTAGAAATACATAAGAGATCAATGGCTAGCAGGATCCCGGAAAAGTATAAAAGCATCCTGAGGAAATCTATAGAAATTCTGCAGAATGATCTTACAGTCCCGAACGATTATGAGGCAAATTGTCAAAGCTTATCATCGTTTTGAAATGGGTGATTATAAAAACTTTATCCCTACCAGTAGAAATTGCATTTTAGTATGTGCAAATATATATATATATATATATCTATATATGTATATACGTAAACTAGCCGAAGTACTGCTACTTAATGCAATTTAAGTATAGTACAAATATTCTTGAACGAAACAAAAGCTACATTAAAGTTCTTGTCAATATTCTTACATATATATAGCGTAATATTAATGAATCTATTACTGTACATTACGCAGATTGCTGCAATAACACTTTAACCTCATCGTACATAGACGAGCAAGGCTTTAGGATTTCCTCGTCCTCCTCTTCATCGCCCTCTTCTTCGTTATATCTACAAAATGGAGAGTTTTCGATTAGATTGTATTTAATTTTACAATTTTTTATAGTGGAATAATGTAAGAATTACCTGTATAATAAATCATCATTTAATAAATTGTTCGACGACTCCTGGAGTAAACGCTTCCGTACCCGTGCAGAATGAAGTAGGGGAACGTCATCCATGAGGAACTTGTCAGGATGATCCCCATACTTCTTGGACAGAATCTCCGTGAGTTCGGGACCGGCATATTTTGCCGAAAAACCAATCCGTTGAAAAATGGCTTTGCATTGCCAACGACCCTGAGCAGTTTCCTGGCTTGAACATGCCACCCTGGCTCGCGGTTGAGATTCCTTTACAAGACTTTCCCAATCAACTCCTAGTGCATCGCCCAGACCCTTGCCACTCGTTTTAATGTCTTCCTCGAGTTCTCCATCGGATATTTCTTCGAAATCCATTGTCTCCATATTGTCATCCTCTACAGTCCTGAAGTCCATCGGTTCCGTCGGGACTACTTCCTTTTCTTTGGGTACTACAGTCTCCTCGATGGGTTCCTTCGGAGACGATTGTGCGGCTTCTGGATTTTGTGTGGGTTGAGATTCCACGGCTGCTTCTGTAGTTTTCTTAGGAGACTGTGCTTTACCAGAATCGACTTCCTGACGAATTAAGAAAAACCATCCTTATACTCTGACTCGTAAGAACCTGGACAAAGTATTTCGATTTTGTTATTTCATGATTCTTACCTCATCTTCCATGTCGAGAATGTCATCAGGATCATCACTTATATCACTCAGGTCACTTTCTGTGTGTAAAGTCTGCAAGGATTCTTCTACGCAAGGACGTTTAGGTTCAGGTTGTACAGCAGGTTCCTTTGGTTCTGACTGAGAGTTAAATAGTGTCAATTATATAATTATATTACAGATAAATATTATATAACTTATAAAGTAAAATTATGTTATACCTTTTCATTCTGGGTCGCTCTCTTCTGAAAACTGTCAGCAGATTTTTCTCTGCTTCTTCGCAACCTCCCTTCAGCAAGTTCCATAAGTTTCTTATTTATTGGTTCCTCTTTCATGCTTCCATGAAGTGATCCCTGTTTAGAACCATGTGCAGAACACTCATCTCTTAATTCTGGAGTATTGTAAGGACGTCTCTTTCCATGGGAAGGTTCACCCAAGTCGAGTTCTTTGATCCTATCATTCCTATAGAGTCCACGAAGATGCACAGGTTGATTCTCCCACTTCCTGGGTTCGTTAAGTTTCCAATCAGGCATTGGACTGTCAAATCGTGCCGACCATTCCTCATCATGAGCTTCTGACCTAGGAAGACTCTCCCTGTCCCATATGGAATGTCTAGCACGCCATTCCCGTTCCTCCCAGTCAGGGTAACCTCGTTCTCTAGGAGGATGCTCAATGTCGCGATGCATTTCCCAATTATCATTACTACTCTCGTCGCGAATGGTACCAGGGCGCAGTTTCTCGGGGTAAAGAGGATGATGAATCTCTTCAAAAGGTCTGTCATTTTGCACTGGGTACCTCTGGGGGCGGTCGTCCCGACCACGACGTTCATCGAAGGGACTATCGTACCGTCTTGGTTCCACCGGTTTCCTTCTATCTTCCTCGTGATGATCTCGATATTCTAGTCGAGCTCCAGAATCCTCTTGATCGTCCCAGTGCTCGAGTCTAGGATAACCTCTGTCAAATGTTCTCTCTATTTCCAAACTCCTCCTAGGACTGTCACGACGATCCTGTAAACGATCTAGCTTCAAGGTAGGAACGTGTCCTTGTTCCTTACGTTCATGATCCGGAGGATGTCCTCTGTCGAATCTGGCGTTGAATCTCCTGTGTCTATCTCTGTCATACATAGCATCTCTCTCTAAGAGATGATCTCTCTGCGGCGGTGGAGGTTGTGGAACGTTTTTCTCGACGATGTTTCTGTCCAGAGATCGTTCCCTTGGGAATCTCTCAGTCCGTTCCCTGTCGATCGGTTTGTGCGAGGGTATATCCTTGTCTGCAGATCTATCGTACCGACCTTCAAATCCTCTTTGAGGAACCCTAGGCTCTCTTTCCATGATTTTAGTCTCCGGACGTTCACGTTCCCTTTCGGTTCGGCGATCTCGTCCGGGTTTTTCTAGATCCTTAAAACGATCTTTATCCCTGTACCTAGAATTCTTCTCCATAGGATTAATGGCAGCTGTAGCCATCAGTGGTGGAATTTCTCGTTCTCTAATCTTTGTTGCATCCTTCTCTCGATCACGTTCCCTTTGTCGTTCCCGGCAACGTTCCTGAACATCTTCGCGTTCCTTGTCACGCTGAGACTCACGATCTCTACCGAGTCTCGAATGACTCCTTTCATCGCGAACACTGTGATCCTTATTATCACGACGTTCTTTGCTCCGTTGTCTACTTCTTTCTGCAGGATAAATTTTGTCTTCTAATTCCCTAGGATTTTTCCTGTGGGTTTCATCTTGGTTCGCTGGTCTGGATTTACCTGGATCCTTTCTGGTCTCTTCGCGATCCTTACTCCGCTCACATTTGTAAGGATCTCGTTCCTTCTTCTCGGTTTCTCGTGATCTCGAGGAAGATGGTTTCTCTTGGTGACGTGGAGGTGTAGGATCGCGTTTTGATCTTGATGGTTTCTCCGGAGTGCGACTTCGACGGGACTTTACAACTTCCTTGATGTGTTGATGTTTTGATCTGTCCACTGGTGGTGTCCTAGACCTCCTCTCCTTGGAACGTCTCTTGGACCTTTCCTCAACCCTAGTCTTCTCTTCCACGCGAGTCTTGACTTTGTCAGGATCCTTAGCCTTTTCTGAAGTTTTGCTTTTTGGGACTTCCTTCCTGTCAGAAGCGACCTCTTCTTCGCGGATCTTCTTGTAGTGTTTGTCTTTCTCTGGCTCACGAACTTTTGGCTTTGGGGATTCGCTTCGGTTTCTTTCGCGAACTTTCCCAGAGGAAGATGCACGAGACACTACGGGTACTGGAGATTTTGTTCTTGTAACGACAGTGTGTTTCCTTACGGACGACGAGGTCGCTTTCTTCGCCGTTTTTATTACAGTATCTTTTTTTGTTACTACGTCAACTTTACGCTTTTTCTTAGCTAAAAGCTTGTCACTCTTAGTACCTAGCTTCTTGACTTTTGTCCTGTAGTACATATGAACAGAACATACAAAATATTTGTATAAGAATATTTCATAAATTTTATTGCAAGTTCTATGGTGTACAAAGTGATTATACTTACTTTTTCCTATGTTCCTTATCCTCGTCGTAGTCCGATGATGGGCTGTGATGCCGTTTTGGTTTAACCTTCTTTACCTTCTTACGAGAGTCAGAGGTAGAGCTGGACGAAGAATCGTCAGAGGTTGAAGTAGTGCTACTTGTAGATGTACTTGAACTTCTAGAACTAGATGAGGAACTCATGGCCTTCTTTTTATGTTTAGTCTTATCCTTAGACCCATGAACCTCCTTGTCTTTCTTCATTTGTAATTCTAGCTCACGTTGTAACAACTGTCGTCGTCTTTCCAGGACCTTCTCGTCCTCGTATTCAAGATCCGTTTGATTCCACTCCTCTAAATCAAGATCAGGACTGTGCGATGTCTTCTTCACGATTTTAGATGTGAGTCTCTTGAACGGATCCTCGGTAATCTGAATAGCAAAAAAAACTTAACAAAGTTGCTCCGAAATGTCTACATACACTAAAACACAGATTCAATCTGAATTTAAATCATGCTCACCGCAGTTGTGGTAACCGTTGCATTATCCTTTTTGGCTCGTTTTGATGGACTTATTAATGTATGAGTATTGGCATATCTATAAATATAAAATATACAATAATTATTACACGAAACTCAGAGTTAATAAAGAGCGACGTACTTGCAGTTCTTTCCATACGAACAGCTTCCATTCAAAGCCCAATTCCTACAATAATCCGAAGTATTCTGAACAGGAGTAACAGCCGGTTTAGTTCCTAATCTCTCAAATACACTAGGTCGTCGAGAGTCTGCGTTACATTTCGTAGGGTCAACTGTTATTTTCCTTATGTTTGGCTTTGACATATTATCACCATAAAACGATCGTGTCTCGACAGTGGAAGCACATAACTACAGTATGCAAAATGGTCTTTCGACAACGATGAAGAAACACTCGGAAAATTCATGAAAATAAATTTCCTACTGTATTCCTTGAAATTCTAATACACAACCCCGGAGGCTTTGAGGAAATAAAGAAGCGTAACGTTATGCCGGATTAGAAAGTGCATTGACGAAGCAAATATGGCCGTCTTCTTAGGAGTGCACCTTAAGCCGCAATATGGTCGCATCTCCCATCCTCAAAGTAAAAACTATTAGCTAGTGGTTCTGAGTGGTTCCTTGTCACGTTTGCAATCAACTGTTGTAAAATCCAATTGGTTTAGGAAAAATAACTAGGGAAAAATGGCCAATGGGCCAACAGCAACGACAGACCTATGTCAGTTGCGAAGTAGTCGTGAACAGTGAGTGATGAGCTGCAATAAAAGACACTCTCGAGTTATGCGATGTATTAAAAGTGTTTTACTATATTAAATGTCCCCTCGGCTGTGCTGAAATTTCACTTAATATCACGGGCTTGATAGGAGACCCGGGATTCACGATAGGACGTTCTAATCTGCTGGATTGCTAGCGAGTATATTATTTTTAACTGCGATATACGTCAGTACGATCTGCCTTATAAATGAGCTGCTAAAAGGCAAAGATAGTGCCGCAAGTGCCAAGAGAGAACTGCGTAAATTAAATTAGTATTGCTTATTGAATGGTGAGGTACTTACTTGAATTTATTATTCTGTTGCATAACATTATTGTTTCTTCAATAGGTTATCTTAATGAAGTTCAATTGCTTTCTTAATTTCTACGCCAGACTTAAATTTTAAGCATGGCTCGTCTGCGACTTTTCACTCACGTCGTATTTCGTGTTTTGACATTTCTATTACACTTTCAACCAATTTGATTATCGCAATTTTATTAATGTTCATTTTTGCTTATTGATTTAGAATATTTATGCTTTTTTGGTTTAATACGACCTATTTTTGATGCATAAATTATGACTCTGCTCCATAATGTGTGATATTTTTTTTTTTTTTTAATTGCTCATTCTTCTGTTGTGATTTGTCTGTAGAAATTAATTATTCATATTTCAAGTCAGTATTTATATTTTTGAAGGTGTGACAGCATTACATAGAAAGAAAATGCCTCTGTTCGGAAAGTCTCAAAAGAGTCCGGCGGAGGTGGTAAAGGCCTTGAAGGAAGCAGTTAACGCGCTAGAACGTGGAGACAAGAAAGTCGAGAAGGTATGAATATTGGTTATATTTTTATGTAAAAATTTAATCGTGCTAATAATTTGATTTGAAATTTCAGGCACAAGAGGATGTGAGCAAAAACCTGGTTCATATTAAAAACATGCTCTATGGTACTGCTGAATCAGAACCACAAGCTGATATTGTTGTAGCTCAGCTTGCACAAGAGCTTTACAATAGTAATCTGCTTCTTCTACTGGTACAGAATCTTGGTCGCATAGATTTCGAGGTACAGTAGTTACATGTCAACATATAAGGACAAGTGTAATATAAATAATTTAATTCAATCACTTCTTCACTTTACCAGGGCAAAAAAGATGTTGCTCAGGTCTTTAATAATATATTACGAAGACAAATTGGTACAAGATCTCCAACTGTCGAATACATTTGCACCAAACCGGAGATCTTATTCACTCTTATGTCCGGATACGAGCACCAGGATATTGCATTGAATTGTGGAACAATGCTTCGAGAATGCGCTAGATACGAAGCCTTGGCCAAGATAATGATTTATTCAGATGATTTTTATAATTTCTTTAGATACGTCGAGGTATCCACATTCGATATAGCCTCGGATGCCTTTTCCACGTTCAAGGTAATTTCCTAAAATATTTTCTTACAGACATAACAACATGCATAAAACTTTCTTTTGCTCACTAAACCTTTCACTTCAATTACAAAGGAATTGCTCACCAGGCACAAGATCCTTAGTGCCGAGTTCCTTGAAGTGAACTATGATAAGGTATTTTCCCACTATCAAAGGTTACTCAATTCGGAGAACTATGTAACACGTCGGCAGAGCTTGAAGCTACTAGGAGAGCTTCTTCTGGACAGACATAACTTTAGTGTAAGTCAATAATTGCCATTTTCATACAAGTCGATTACTCAGAAGACTTACTTGCAAACTCAAACATCTTAATAACCTTCAGGTGATGACTCGATATATTTCAAATCCTGACAATTTGAAATTAATGATGAACATGCTAAAGGAGAAATCGCGCAATATTCAATTTGAAGCCTTCCACGTGTTTAAGGTAACGTGTCTGTAATAAATAATTCGAAATCCTTAATCAACAGGTATTACTGTTCTTTAAACAGGTGTTTGTAGCCAATCCAAACAAGCCGAAGCCTATTCTAGACATTCTGCTGCGTAATCAGGAGAAGCTCATCGAGTTCCTGACGCGTTTTCATACGGATCGCTCAGAGGACGAGCAATTCAACGACGAGAAAGCTTACCTAATCAAGCAGATTAAGGAGCTGAAGTCTGTACATGAGAACTAAGCCGGAATTCCTTTTATAACGTTATTTTTTCCGAGTAGTTGTGTAAATAAAATTTACATTCACAATTTATTACTGTAATATATATATACACGCATAGACTCGAGACTACAACTAAAATATACTCTGACACCTAATTCTAATTAAACTGATCGGTTGTCGACCTGCGCTCGGTAAAGCAGCCTCGAGAAATTTTTAAGTGAATGATATACATTTTGGGGTAAAACAAGGAAAGTAATAGTCGAGGAAAAAATAAAGAAACGAATTAATATTCAATGTCAGATGAGCGGCTACGGATTTAATTCTCATTTCGGCACGTCACTTTGGTAAGTCTCGCTGAAATTTGATCTAAAACTCTTAGCATATATCACAGAAGCTTTGGCAACTGATCAAAAATATAATTAAATAAATTTCTTGCGGCTGCTGCACTATGTTTCTACACAATATTACAGATTATCCCGTATGCGTATAAAGCGTATCAAATATATCGGTAGACATTCGCTTCGTTTTATCCTAAAGAAAAATTATCATAATCCCCATGTATATGTATAGAATTGACTGTTAAAGAAGAAAAAAAGTGTAACGCCAAAACAATGATTACTGTTTATTATATTTATTGCAATAAAAGTATTAATAAAAAACATTAATCACTTGTTATCTCATTAAAATATCATTCCATCAACTATTATTATTAATATCTTTATTCCGAGGCCAAGCAGATTTTAATCCCTAGTCTGATATATTACTCGGCAGCAACATCAACGATTTTTTTTCCGTTTTCATACCGACTGCGGACATTTTGCATTTCTTTTTACTGGCCACCGTTTGTAAGGAATTCAATAACCAGACTGTCTTCTCACAGGAAATGACTGCCGGTGGTACAAATAATGAATCAATGATAATAAATCATATATCATAATATAAATAGACGATTGTATTAATTACCTGTGCAAATTCATGTTCCTCTAAAATGAGCCAAAAGAAAGTAGCTAAATGTAAAAATAGAGAAACATTCTTTTCTATTGCAACAGTCATCAGTCTTGCCATCATTTCTGTGTATTCGATCTGTTATAAGGAATGAGTATTATTCTTTCGATAATGTACAACTAGGTAGTTCCTGTTTAAGATGTCTTTTCTATTACCTTGATTACGTAAGGCTTTGACTTTTGATATTTGGCTAAATTAAGCAGGATACTTGTGGATCGTAGAGAGATCTCCATCCATGGTACAGATCTATTACAGCGATACCTCAGCGATATTACAGCATCTGTTTCTCCAGAACCTTTATATCCTCAATGCAGCAGCACGCGTATCAAGGAACCTCTTACGGAGCATCCTGGTTAAAAGAGTTTCTTTCCATCTCTTCTGTATTACAATAGCAGCTTCTCGTTTTCTTTTGAATTCCCTAACAAAGGTTCTGGTATCCCTTTGCGTTCTTCATCATCTCGGAATACGAAGAATCCCAGTCATCGTCTTCATGAAATTATTTCGAACCTTAATTATTTCTTGTCTACGTTTCCAATGTCTTTGAATCACAGTTGCTGCTGTATTTCTCCTTTGAAATTTGACAATGAAGTCTTGCTTGACTTTAGCTAAAATTCTTCTGGCCAAGTATCCTCTCCAAGCACCTAAAATAATCATCGCTGCCTTGGTCATTCTGTTCCTGAGGAAATTTTTCACCCGGACTTACCACTTTTGTATGGTGATAGCTACTTCATGGAATCTTGGTGCCTGGAATTTGTGGATTATTTGCCATAGCACAGATACAGTCTTCTCACGGTGTCCATCTGCGATACTCTTGGCGTCGATGTCTCCGGTTAGGACGTATCCTGAATTCTTCAAAGCGGTCAGTGCTAAGTCCACGTTATGTGGCAGTAATGTAGACTGAAGGAGGACGTCACCCTAGCTGAAACACGAGAAGCGGTTTCAGCAAGATACCATACAAATACAAGGCTGAATACTTTGTGCAAAGCTGCTTGTGCTATGTTCCGTAGTAAAGAAGTATCAACAATATTGTCCAAGGTGACAGTATGCATCGAAAAGGGGATCCTCGTTATTCGCCAGGATCGCGATTTACATAGGGATATTGGTCTACAGAAAGAAATCCTAGAACTCTTTCTGTCTTATAATCCTTTGTGGTTGCGAATCGGTCTAGAGGCTGTCTATGAGGAGACAATTCTTCTGCACTCGAACAACGACATAGTTGGTCTATCTAGATTTCTGTTGTCCAGGTTCTTCTCCGATCAGGTGCCTGGAATTTGTTGATTATTTGCCATAGCAAAGATAAAGTCTTCTCACGGTGTCCATCTGCGATACTCTTGGCGTCGATGTCTCCGGTAAGGACGTATCCTGAATTCTTCAAAGGATCAGGATTACAAAATTTAGTAAGGAATTCATTCGGATCATGAAGCTTGACACTGAGTTCAGCAATTAAATTTCTTGTCGATGTATTGTGAGTCTTCTTTTTGGTTATACCAGCTAAAGATAATCTCTTCATTCTTACACCAGGGATGGAAACATTGTTGCTGTTCTTTATAGAAGACTTCATCTGCGAAAACTTCTTCAGTGTGTCCATACCACTTTTCTCTTTGGTAATCTTGGAACCCTTTTTTGGTAAGACTTTATGTATAGTCTGTTTTCCAAAACTTGCTCTTCGAGGTGGTGAAATTTCAAAGCAGATTTTCTTTTTAGAGTACGCTTTATTTTTTCCCACATTCGACCATTCTTCTGCAATCACCTCCAGGTTCTGAGATCCTAGTTTGTTATGTGATATTCCTGGTTTTACCCACAGATCTGCTCCTAGAACACCCTGAGCACTTACAGATGCTGAAAGTTTGATGGAAATTTGAAGAAATTCGTTCTTGGTTGAAGACAATTCGTAATTCGTTGTTGGATGTAACGGAGAAATTGCACAACTGGCTCCCCGAGACGCAGTGGCAACAGGAACGACTGGAGAAATCATAGCAAACTTTCTGGAGAGTCGTATTGGTCTAATTTTTTGTAAATTGGAGCCAGAGGTGGTCCCAGAAACTTCAAAAGTTTCATTCTCAGTACACGATAAATTAGAACACTCTCAGGACTTTACAACAGGAATGTCAAAAGTTGAACTGTTTCCACCAGGAACTGGACTGGTATTTTTTGATTCTCCTCTCAATGAACTTGATCGACGACTGCATTCTTGTAATCCAAGAGGAGTACTTGAGGAAGTGAAATTCATTTCATTAATTAGTATAGAGAATCCAGGTTGCTGCTGGTCACTGGGGTTTAGTGAGAGGGATTCTTCAAATTCTGGACATTCATCCTCTGGAGGAGGCCTCTTCGGTGCTGTCACATAAGTTTCTCTGCGTAGAGATTTTGTCGCTACAGGCGAAGTTATTATCACTTCTTTTGTAGAGAATTCAAGATCTCCAGGACTTATTACTTTTATTTCAGGCAGCTTGTTTACTGTAGAGCCCAGTGGTGTAAATTTGAAGGTACTGGACTCCATAATTACAGAGAAATCATGACCGGTACTTTTCTTGCAGATAGGCGTTAAGTAGATAGCTTTTAAATTTTTACAAATATTTTCCTTGTTTTCCATTTCTGGTATTGAATTTGGCCTTAATCGCTTGGAAGGTTGATTTATACTAATTGTTGGTAAATTAAAGGTCTGTTGTTCGGAACCTTTGCAATTTGTTACCTTAAGCTTTCTAGAATCCACACATGTTGTTATAATTGGTACATCGTATTTGATACGTTGATTATCAGTCAATTGTATAAAATCTCTTCATGAGCCAACTACATTGGGGGTCCCTGATATAATCAAAGGTACCGAGTTTTCAGCTTTGATATGAAGTTCCAAGCAATCCAGAAGAATGCGTCTTTTGTCTGATGGTTGCTTTGTAACCCTTACCTATGTTAAGTAAAATTAATAATTTCCAATATTTGTTAATTTCATAAAAACTCTTAGAGGTACATGAAATATGAATAATGCAATGACAATGAATGCCAAGTAAAATAAAATAATACATGGAAATTATTTAACTAATAATGATTACCTTCAATGGTTTGTTACTTGTATTTTTTATATTCAAATAACATTTCTGGGTGACATTCAAAGTAGATTCCATCTTGATCTTTGTTTGTGGTTGAAATGGTGCTAACACCAAAATAAATTGAGAATCCGTCCTTGGACATTTTTTCTGATCAACAACGTCCTTCTGTTTAGGTGTCACATTAATCTGGAAGAGTGCAAATCGTTATAAGATACCTTATAGTGAAAGATTATTTTTCATTTCTATAGATTCTTCAGCAATTACATTTAGAATTAGACAATCTTATCCCACTACAAAGTATCATATTATTAAAGTGACATACAAAATCCAAATAATTCAGTACTTACCTGAAAGAACATAATTGATGAAGTTTATAATTATCTTATCATAACAAATCATAATACTTTAGTACAATTATACATAAAAATGATTGTAATCATTAAAATGTTGAACAATATTCATTCTTTCCTTCTTTTCTTCTAACGACTACAAACGGTTTCTTTTTCTTCCATCAGATGCCTGACTGTGTCTGACACAGTCTGATCAACTCTGATTGACTCTGATATGAAAAACACAAACGGACCTGCGTGAAGTTGGCCGGCCAACTTCTGGAGCTTAATCGATGCAAAATCGTTTGATAGTTGCGAATTAATTAATAAAAACGTTTGATGGTCCATCGTTTGCAAGAAAAATGAGAAAAACCATATGCGAATCAAGGATCCCAATCGATACGATACAATCGATTCCTCGATCGGTGTGTCCGTTGAATTAGACTATATTGCAAACTTTTTCTACTTCCAATCGTTTGATAGGCGTTCGATAGTGTTTGATAGTCTTCCCTTATTCCTGATTCCGCTCCTGACCAAGAGAAGGACAGCACGGTTCCTACGATGTGCTCTCTCTTTCTATTCTCGACTACACTTTCTGCACTACAGTGAGCAGTCCAGTACTATATATAGATGCGTTGAGCACCTCTCTACTCACTTCTGGTTACGTATTCGTCAGCTGTGTTTTGATTTCGTTACTGTCGTTCATTGAATGATGTGAAAAAAAACAATATTAATTGAGTTACGTTAGATATTTCAATAAAATGGCAAAATATTCTAGTGACTCCGATTCAGACCGTAGTAGTCGTCATCGCAGGAAACATTATAGAAGATCCAGGTAACTGATTCTTCTCCGAATTTATAGTATACGATTCATTTTTCAAGATTTCTTGATGGAGTATCTAATTGTAATCTGATAATTAAACATTATTGATTATTCCCTTACATAGATCCAGTAGTTCAGACTCCAGTGACAGCTCTCCCTATAGGAAGAGGTCATCGAAGCATTCAAAATCAAAACGTCGACATCGTTCACGTTCAAGAAGTCGTGAACGTGATCGTTCCTCTAGAACCTATAAATCAGTCCGCACTAGCTCCAGAGACAGAGATAGACGTAGATATCGCTCACGACGATCACGCTCCTATTCTCCAGATCATAGCAAAAAGCGAACAAGATCAGTTTCCAGAGAAAAGTCTACTAGTCGTTCTAGCAGTTCTCAATCGAACGTTAAAACCTCTGATAAAGGGCAGATCGTTTTAAATAAGGGTCCAGATGACTTTTCAATTGAGCCAAGAATTAAGGAGAGTGTCCTTGATGAGATCAATTCCGATAGCTTTGCTCCAAAACACTTCTCGTCATCTACACAGGATAAACACAACAAATTGAATAATATTGTGATTGATATTAATGCTGATACTATTAAGATTCCCGTAGTGACGAAAATATCTGGTTTGTCAGATAGCATATTTCATACTTCAGTAAGTGATTGAAGTGTTATTTTATCTGTGAAGCAGTTTCAAACAGACTGATTGCAAATAAACTTTTTATTCCAGATCATAGTCGATCAGGATATTCGTTTCGACAAATGGGTAAAGAAGCTCTATACTCTAAGGCAAAAAGCGATTCTGGATTCAACTCATGTCACCATTACCTAATACTTGGATACTAGTTACTTAAGCTGATTTGTAAAACATGATTTTTACTCAAATAAAAATATACAAACACCATGATACATTTATATTTCGTTTATTTATCTCATAGGAATTTACAATTGTTCACGTTAAGTACTTAACAATTTGAGTACTGAGAACTAACGTTTACATTATATATTTACTTTATACGTCAATCATTAACGAATCACGCAACAATCTTGCGCTGCCATTAATTCGCTAATCTTCTCTTAATTCTATGCATACGTATTTATTCGAAAAAGAAAATAAAGTTATATAGGTCTACATCTCCGCAAGAAGCCTAAAACGTATAAATCCTGCTTTTATGAATTGGAATGGATGTATTGAGCAGGTCAAATAAAAGAAAAGATATTTACGAAATTATAACAAAGAAACATGATGACAGTAAAAAAGATTTTTTGCTATGGATCTATTAATTTATTTCCCTCTCAGACTATCTTGCTCAAATATTTACTTTTCTCTTCAAAATGGCTCAATGGCAAATAATGAGAATAGGAAGTACACCTGATTGGATAGTGCATAAACATCTACGTATCTTGAGTCAATTAGAATCATTATGTATCTATTATGCATCAATTCCGAACTCCATTCACACGACGCCTTTGAGCATTTTCAACCAAAAACAAGCTAACAACCAATCAAAAACCACTTTCTTTAAATGTTAAGCTTTGATAGATTGTTCTATATCTTTCAGTTGAAGCTGCTTCAAGGGTAAAGTATGAATAGGGATCTTTAAAGATTCATCTTAATTAAAGTGATGATGATAATGAGGTATCATGGATTATCTAGTCTTAATCCTTTTTTTCATCCTTTTGTTCTGCTGCAGCTGTGTATCCATGAACATCCTCGAGATTTAAGATATTCAACTCCAAGATATTTCTGCCAGCAAACTGGCCAAACATACCCTCGGATGCGCTGCGTTTGTTTACTGAAATGTGAAGGAGAAATGTTTATAAAATTCTTAAATATTCATAACATGTCACTTTCATTTACATACCATTCGAATTCACTTTTTCTAGCATGTATGTTGGCAAATCTTGACATTCATGGGCAATGTAAGTTCCTACACTGTGTAAATCTTTGATTGGTGGGAGAACGACCTTCATTGTTTCACGCACGACTTCAGTGTCGACTTCGTAATAGCCTGCAAAAACGACAGGTTTGATTATATTTATCTTAGGTCAAATTAGCACGTGCCAGTGAAGACTTTCTTACCATTATACATTTTGTTGAGTAAGTCGTACATGTTGCGAGGTGGCAATACTCTACGACGATTCAGTGGCATTACGAAACAGCAATGACCATCGATATCAATAATGCCAGTCTTATTCTGAAAAATATAGTTGTGTTGTATACAGTGAGTGCCAAAAAGTTATAGAATTGAAATCGCTAGTGTTGGATCAAGTTAATAAAAGTTGTTCCTGAATTAGAGTTAAGAGATTAATTGCGTTAGAGATCTTTCTACTCTGAACACAAAGCACAGTACTGCTTTATTATCAATGGTGCCAAAAGTATATAAACTACTCACGATACTGAAATCATGTATAAATCTTCCTTGGCGACCGCCATGGAAGTCGGGAACATCAATTTTTTCATAGTGCTCGTTTTCCAGATCAATCTCGAATCGTTCCTTGAAGGATCTATCGAATTGATTAACAGCTTCTTCAGCTACGCGAGCTTCATCTTCCATTACTCTGTTAAGACCCTTGAAAAGGTCGGAGTCTGCGACAAGCCCTTGAAGGCCTTGGCTTTTATGAGAACCATCAGGCATGGAATATGCCTTGTTTAAACCATCATAAGGAATGCTGTACCAGCCAGTACGGAAACGATGCATCTGTGGTCTGCCATATTGACGGTAAATGTAAACTCCTCCAATAATTCCAATGCTCATAACCAACAATGCCGTGAAGAAGAGAGAGATTGTTGTTATTGCATTAGGATGATGACCACGGCTGCGCAAAATCAAGTAATGACCAGCCAAATCTCCTTTGGGAACCTGAGCCTCTGGATCAACCTTAGCATCTTCCTGCGAACACCATAATACTCAGTTTCAAGTGAAAAAAAAGTGAATCAACAAACTTATTACTCATAATAAAAAGAATATGAGTATATCAGTGATGAATAATTATTAGGATAGAATTTTAAGAACTCGCTCCGTCAAAATTGTTATCAAATTTAAAAAGAAGCAAAAATTAGAAATATACGTAAACATATATTAATATAAGAAATAAAAAATTAAAATAACAAATCGGAGATCCATGATTATACATTGGACGGTATATCTGGTAACAAAAACTTCCAGAAAAATAATTAGATAACCTTGCGGTTTGACAGCTGATAACTAATCTGAGAATATCCACACAATATGGCCGTTTATTACGTTTCAGCTAATAAAACTTGCTCCGATCTTATTCGGAGTTAAAACCAAGCAGTTACTTCCTACGATATTGTAGAGTATAGTATAAAAATACATAAAATATAATAGACAAGCATAATACGGCACATTTGGCCATTAATCTGACCGTGGGATTTTCTTCAACGACTAATGGCTGCTCCATTTTTTTCGCCGCCCTCTTCTCGCTAAGAGCTTTAGTTATGATTGTCATCTTGAAGACAATTATAGCTCCGTAAAAGCAATTTACATAAATTTGCAATCTCGAAATTGAACGCTGGTTATCTCTAGCGTAAACGAACAATAATCACAAGTATGTAAAACGTAATAATGCCGCAAATACACTACTAACAAGACACGAAACTTGATTGATCGGTCGTCCGCACTCCACTACTCGGACTCTATCCCCACTCCTGATTTTTTGTTTCATAATAAAGGTGATGCTTCGTTCTGCGCATGCGTATAAACCCTTCCCTAGGTAACAATCAGCCATTGGTCACAAATCAACCAAGTACGGTATGATAGTACAATTTTATTATTTCTCATAATTTAAGAGACAAAATCGACATAGCGAATAACAAAGTACATTTAAAGATATAGAATATTTACAAGTGAAAGACAATTTGTGTAATATTAGCAACAAATGGAGTGAAAATTGTAAACACGTTTGTAGGTTATTAGTTAAGAAGGTACTCGCAACGGCGCCCCTGTCGCCAGTGTAAAATTTCCGATGCGTTTGCGAATCTGAGCTGTGTGCAAGGTCACTCGGCGTCTCCGGCTCCAAGGGTGGGTCTGGCCTTTTTGTGGGAGAGGTCACACACGGCGAGGATAAGTGCGATTAATTGAAAGAACCTCGAGGAAGCCCGGGAAGGGATCGAGGTCGCTCGAGGTCGGCTCGGGCTCTCGACAGAACGTGAATAAAATTGTGGGGCTGAGGCTGGAACGTTGGTTCTTGGTCTATGCCATAGACACATTAGACGACAGACACAGTGCGGCTTCCTATCGGTTTTCAACGAAGAGCTGCCGAATTTGCCGATAACAAAAACTACGGATGGGTTCCTCGTGATATTACTGGAGTTACGGCCTTATCGCTCCTTTTTCTCTCTATTTATCTACTTGCTTTGCACGAGAAAATTCTACACGATTTACTTTCCTGTCCTGAACTCTCGATGGCTGCAGATACTCGGAGTGGGGGAAAACAAGCCGTGTCCGCCTAAATATTCCTGTGAAGCTTTATGCCGGAATATGTCAAGTTTAAAGATCGGTAAGAAGAAAATACATCACGGTTAACAGTAAGACACACTTTTACAAACTGCACTTTTTATTCACTCCTTTATTTATGATACTCTGGAGACAGAATACCCTGAATGTATGGATGGATGTGTGCGTGTATCTATATATATATATAATATGAGTATAGATGCATATATATATTTCAGTGACAACGATCGTACAGGATACTTGCCGATCGGTTTATTTATTTATACATTGTTATTACGCAAAACTCATTATTGTCGCATGTTGTCTTATATCATTAATGGTTGTTTTATTTCTGTTTTCTTATGCGAAGCGTCGGTTATGCACTTGCTTGAGCTGCGATCGACGGAACCTGATCGAAGGAGAGACCGCGGCCAGTAGAAAACCACTGAAAATCAAGCTAAAGAATGAATGCCTGCTGCACTCGCGCCGCCGATACGACACAGCCAGGCTTAGAGTTCATACAAGTAGTACGCGAGTAGCAGAAATAAGCTCGCGAAGCTAAGAGACGTACAACACTTTGTATCGCACATGGCAGCCATGAAGCATGGTACGTGGTCCCTGTGTTTTGCTTTTTATTATATAATTGTATATTAAGAGTTACGATGGTGAGTGTAGTTAGTGTGAGAGGCATCGGTGGGTACAATTTGGGATGAAAGTGTGAGTGGTGCATGGGAGATTGTTTCAAGGTATGTTTGTTATAGGCAAGACGAGTCAGGACGACGTATGTTACGTCGTCGCGAAGTACGATTACGGGGCTCAGGGTGCCCAGGAGTTGGATCTACGTAAAAACGAGCGATACTTGTTGCTCGACGACTCCAAACACTGGTGGAGAGTACAGAGTGCTCGTGGACACGCTGGTTACGTGCCAAGTAACTACGTTAAGAAGGAGAAGCCATCACTGTTTGACAGTATTAAGAAGAAGGTTAAGAAAGGTTCCGGATCTAAGACTCTTCCCTCGAGTAACTCTCCGTCCCGGGCAGTGGAGTCACCTACCATGGCCCGAAGGTTGCCTGCAGATCCAAGCGAAGCAATTGGAACAGCTGTAGTCAAGTACAATTATCAAGCTCAACAAGCTGACGAGCTCTCACTAGTGAAAGGCACGAGAATCCTCATACTTGAAAAGAGCAACGATGGCTGGTGGAGAGGCCAGTCTGGTAATCAGGCTGGATGGTTTCCGTCAAACTATACCCAGGAAGAAGGAGACGCGGATGATACTTTACATACCTACGCAATGGCCGAGAACGTATTGGACATCGTGGTCGCACTATATTCATTCTCTTCCAACAACGACCAGGAGCTCTCTTTCGAGAAGGGCGATCGCTTAGAGATCCTTGATCGTCCACCAGCAGATCCTGAATGGTACAAAGCACGAAATGGTCAGGGTCAGATTGGTCTGGTCCCTAGGAACTACCTTCAGGAACTCAGCGAGTACCTTACACAACCGTACCGTGAACGAGCTGCTGCCGGTATACCAAGTAACGAGGTCGGGACTGGAGATTCTCTGGAACGAAGGCCTGATCCTGGCGATAGACCTCATCTTGTGGGAAAACCTTGGTATTACGGTAGCATCACAAGGTCGCAGTGCGACACCCTACTCAACCAGCACGGCCATGACGGAGACTTTCTCATAAGAGACAGCGAAACTAATGTGAGTAGAATAGAATTTAAAAAAGCAGAGAAAAGGCCACTAGAATCAATTGCGTAGTATAAATAATGAGAGCGTCCGGATGCCCTGCCAATTTCTAATAATAAATACATTCGCTGTTTCAATGAAACCTAATACTCTTATTTTTCTTTTCTATTCGTTAGATGGGTGACTACTCGGTATCGCTAAAAGCACCAGGTCGCAACAAGCACTTCAGGGTACACGTGGAAGGCGCCCTGTACTGTATTGGCCAGAGAAAATTCCACACGTTGGATCAACTGGTTGATCACTATCAGCGTGCTCCAATCTATACGAATAAACAGGGCGAAAAGCTCTACTTGGTGCGTCCGCTACCTAAAGGAAATCCTAGCAGTAACGGTTGCTAGGTATAAAATTAGTTCTCTCCATTCCGGAGACGGACGTGGTGGAAGTTCAGGACGTCCGATGGCAACGCATCCGGTCGCTTCTGGACTTTCTCGGTACCGCGCGCCTGCCTAGTTATTAATATCAATATCATCGTCTCGTACGTTTCTACATAACGACATTAACATAATTGGTGAGCTCGTATATCATAGTGTTGCGAATATAATTTGTCCATTTTTACTACTCGATTATTTATTACCCGTAAGTAAATTGCGCGGCTTCTTCTCGCAGCGAGTCTTTACTAGCGAATGTCGTGCTAATAACCGAGAACGGTATAAAACACAGATGTGGGGGACAAGGATCAGTTGATGATAACGATGACGATGACGTTCACGAGAAGAAGTATTACTGAGGATATGACACGGCAGCTACGTGACCATCTAGTTGACACAAAACGGCTTCTCTTTATATATCTATGTAATTGTACTACAGTGACGCGATAAAAAAACGATCATGTTATTACAATTATAATATATAAACACTACGCATATTCTAGGACCGCAACGTATAACGATCAAGTAACTATTATTATTAATGGAAAACTCATGGCGAACGAGTTATCCCAATATTCTTCCCAGCCTTTTATCCTTTTTATTCTTCCTCCAGGTCTTAAATAATATCCTTCCAACCCTTCCCTAAAACGAGTCTTCTTACTGGAAAAGAAAAAAAAAACGAAAACACCATATCGTTCGCTCTCCATTGGTTATAAGTTTACGCAAAGACTAAGTGTTCATTTGTGATTTTGTATTTATTAGAGCATTTTTAAGTAAATAAACCGTATTTAAGTGTGCATTCGTACTTTACGCATTGAGTTTATTTAATCGCCTGCTTTTGTCATGGACTTTTTTTTTATTAATAAAGGGAATAACGAACGGGGTAAGGATTCCTTGTAGAAATTAGTAACAAACATTAATCTTTATTTAACGTGTATATTATATTCATAAATAAAAGTATTACTTTCGTTATATGAATAAAAGAGATTGGTGCTCTTAGGAATAAAATTAATGGCACTAATTGCCAGAGTAAGGTCATGTATAGAAACAATTTGTCTAAGTTATACGTATCTTCAGCGTTGCATTAACTTTTTGTTCGTACGTCCGTTTACAGGCTCATTTTCTCTCTCAGGATCATAAGAACGGGTTGTTCGAATTTCGCGCCATATTGCCCACTCCCGTACCCACCTACACAATAGACAATTTCAGTATTGCTGTAGTAGGTATAATGAACAATTTTTTACCATATGTTTTACTCACCATAAATGGATTCGCATGGTAAGCCGTGACTGATGGTTGCCATGCTTTACCGGAAAGAGGTGCCATCAGTTGACTAGATGGAATCACATCAGTAGTTCCTGGTGCACCTATGCCCAACCATTGATGGTCTGTAACAGTATAAGAATATTGAGATTAAATAATAATTATTTTCAACGTATTAGCAATTGCAGTGAAAAGGGAATAAGATCTTTTGTATAGAACTTACCGTTGCTTCCTGGAAACTGCATTGGCCGGAAAGGATTGGCAGGATTGCACATGGGACTTTCTACCGATTGGAAATTATTGTTCATTAAATTTGCAGAGGGTCTCCATAGATCGCCACTTGTAAATGGATTTGAGATTACATGTCGAGCTTGATTACTTTCTGGCCAGATAGGATTTGTAGCTGTAATATGATCAAAGTTGTAATTAAACAGTTATTCATTATTGTGACAGATTTAATGGAATAAAATGTATACGGTACCATTGGAATTAGTAATATCCCATGTTGAATTCGATGAAATGTTATTCTCTTCCTTTAATTGAGTTTGTTTCATTAATGAATCCAGATCTTTTAGTGCTGCGTAACGATCCTCTGATGGCGGGACACTTATTCCATTAAAATTGGCAGTAAATAAACCCATAGGTTGAGCAGAAAGAGTAGTGGATTCCATATCTGGAGAATTGCAGAATGGCCCGCGTTAAATTTCTCTGGCAGTTAGAACGTTCTTCTTATGTTAAGCTAATAATGGGACCCTGTATCTCGTTTATATGCTATTCTATATGCATAAATTGGACACCCAGCTACAGAGTATTCAATATTTCTTATAAAATGTTTTGTAAGAAGATTTTACTCTCAACAAATCTTTCGTATGTCCAGAAGTAAGGAGTGCTATAGTAAATAAAGGTACTTTCTTCATTCAGTCGGTATTCCATGCACGTACTTTTTGTTGAATCGAAGACAGGATTATTGTCAAAGTTGGCGAAGGACGGCTGAGGTACAATCGGCTGTGTGAACTGGTGATTCGGTACAGCGGCAATAAAAGGATCTGGAACCTTGCTGAAGTCTGCGACGAAGTCTGGTGCAAATGAATTAGCATTGATAGGCCCTGGATTCTTGATTTTTGGAAGTGGAACAGGCAGGGATGTGCCAGACAATGGAACTCTTGGTATTGCAGTCTGATTTGAAGAGGAATTGGATGAAGTGGAGGAGATTGAGTTGGAACAAGAAGTAGAAGATTGGGAAGTTTTCTGGGTAGTATTTTGATTAGCCATTGATGGATCCAGATAGTATCTTTTCAATTCGTACTTCGCACTCATCAGATCCTTCATCTTCTGTTCGTCCTTGGTATCCAAGTTTGGAGGGTTTGAATCAAGCAGACCCAGCCATATCCTACGACAGTACTCATTACCACGTTCCTTTATCAGATCAATCTCTTCTTGTGTGAATGTAGCCATTGAAATAGACTTAACACGATGTGGTGGTGTCAGTCCCCTCCTATAATTATAAACAAAAGACTCAATACGCTGAGCTGGTCATAATCAACAAATTTCACTAGCCCAACAAATTCACTTTCAAAATACATGACACCATGTAATCTCGTCGATAACACTGGACTTTGAACAATGTCAAAGGAAAACTTTGTTTCTGCGTTACAGCGTCAGCTGACCAGATCTGTCACTTTGGCCTTAAATGTCGTAAGTATATAAAACTCAGTGATGAGCTCACGACTTGGCAAACCTATCAGAAGCTTCCTACTTCTCTAAACCAGAAAGAGGAGGAGGAAGAGCTTCTGTACTCTGTTTTTCGTATAAAATGAATACTTACAGCATTCCAGAGCAGGAGGTACAGATGAAGGAACCTATTGTCATGTTGACGTAAGTCGGACCTCTTTGTCGACAATCGAAACATTCTTTATTTCCAGGTTGTGAGACCAGCTCGCGTAATATCTTCAAGTTCCTTTCGTCTTGCTTTCTCTTCGCGGACGCCATGATCTGACCAAACGGTCAAACGGATTCTCACCCACTCTTCTTCTCTGTGAGGATGCACTTGCGGAACTGACTCACCATACACCCTCCATTTCCGTAGATGAGATAGCGGTACGCGTTCCTCGGTGCTGCTTGGTGCACTTTCTTGTCCCTAGGAAACTCTTGAAGCTCCATCTGTAGAAATGAAAAAAAAAAGATTTCGGGTAAACTGCAGTATACGACTCCGAACTGAAGTTGGCTGCTAGTGACTTAGATTTTCAACGTAGCGCCATGAAACACATGAAACTCGGTACATTTAATTTTCGTTTTTAAACCTTTAAAGGCGCCTCCACATCTGTCTCGGACAATGTTACGTTTAAAATAACAGACAACTCATTGGTTAACAAAGGACTTGTATAAGCGATCTTCACTTTTCTGTAGATTTCAACTCAAGAGGAATCTTGAATACAATTATGGCTTCTATTGCTATTTCACCGATTCCTACGAGGTTTGTAAATATGGTTTTCATATATGTCATTACTCATTTTATCTATGCTATTAAGTAAATACATCTGTTGATAAGGACTACGCAACTGCGTAATGTACGGCAAAATAGTATTGTGGATCTTGACATAGATATGTTCCTCAAAATATCAAATTACGAGGATACTGTCAGACAGTTGGATATTTATTATGGAATTGGTAAGACTAATTGTCATAAGTTGTACATATTATGTTGAATATATATACTTATAACAGTTTTTTTTACTTATAATAGTCAAACGACAAATACTTCACTATCAGAGCTGCATCACAGGACTCTTTCCACAAGTATCCACTGATAAAAACGTAGGAAGCGTTCGTGAGAGCATCTACTGTGCTGCAGCAACATGGAGTTTATATCAAGCATACCGGTAAAAATAATAATGAATTTTCTAAGATATCTCTTAGTCAAGATGATCATTGATCTTTATTATTTTTCAGGCGTATAGATGATGATCGTGGCAAATCTTACGAGCTAGGCCAATCTGCAGTAAAGTGCATGCGTGGAATTTTAGAATGTTGGGTCAAACAATCATCCAGGATTGAACTATTTAAACGAAATCAATGCAATCGTTTTGCATTACACTGTAAATTTCACTTGGTGACAGGAGATGAAATATTCCGTGATGCTGATTATTTTCACTTGCAAGTATGTCATCTCTTACACCCCATGTTATCAAGACTACATATTTGGTTCCATTACAGATTGACGTTGTCTCCCTGTATCTGATTTTCCTGGTGCAGATGATTTCATCTGGCTTGCAAATTATTTATACACAAGATGAAGTCGCTTTTGTACAGAATTTAGTATATTATGTGGAACGTGCTTACCGAACACCAGATTATGGCATGTGGGAACGTGGAAGTCGTTACAACGATGGTACACCTGAAATTCACGCAAGTTCAATAGGCATGGCAAAAAGTGCACTGGAAGCCATAAACGGGTGTAATCTGTTTGGTGAGAAGGGAGCATCGTGGTCAGTGATATACGTAGACATTGATGCACATAATCGAAATAGAAGCATCTTCGAGACTATGTTGCCAAGAGAATCCAGTTCTAAGGTATAGTTCATTGAATCTAATAAACAAAATTATAAGACTATATATATTGCCTGCATGCAGAGTGTAGATGCAGCGTTACTTCCAACAGTCTCCTTCCCAGCCTTTGCAACGCATGAGGAAGTACTGTATACAAAGACAAAAGCCAACGTAGTACATCGGCTACGAGGAAACTATGGTTTCAAAAGATTCGCCAGAGATGGCTACAAGACAGTTATAGAAGAAACGCACCGTCGTTTCTACAAATCTGGTGAAATTAAGGAATTTGATAATATTGAATGCGAGTGGCCACTTTTCTACATATTTATGATCATCGATGGAGTATTTAAGTCTCTCCCAGAGCAAGTCGAAGAGTATCAAAATTTACTAAAGGCACGGTTGTACAAGGATGCCCATGGAGGTACATATTACATTATCAAATAAATCTTATGTTATAGAATTAATTGTTAACAATATCTATTTTGTTGGCAGATCCTTTAATTCCCATGTATTATTATGTGCCAGAGGAGTGCATAGAGACCAAAAGAAATGAGCAAAATAGCACTTATCGTGTTTCTAGTAACGAAGGTAGTGCACAGAAAGCAAATGATCTCAATGTTACACCAATTTATTTATGGAACCAATCAATGTTTGTTATCGCACAATTACTCACTGCTGGTCTCCTGCACATTAATGAACTCGACCCTATACGTCGTTATCTACCATCGTACAATAGACCTAGACGAGCCGGTCGCTATTCAGCTTTTCAAGTAAGAAATGGTTTTCTGAATTCATATAGAATAATCTGTAAGATCAGCCAAAAGGGAGAATGTCGTGTCAAGTATCCAAGATCAACAAGCCTTTATGGCTTCGTTTTCTTAAAATAATTAATAATTAAAAGTCGAATCAGATGTTAATTAATTTTTCTTGCATTTTATACAGGCAAAGCCCAGTATCGTAAGTAATTATGTGTATATGCTTGCCGTTCTGTAATTCACCAAATTGCACATGAATGCGTATCTGATATTATCACTTTCCCCTGTTTATTTCTCCTATGATATGTTTTTTCAGTAGCCACGATGTATTTACATTGCCATGGCATGCTACTTGATCTTTTCTTTGTTGACTCTGTAGTCCTTTCGTTATAAAATAATGATGATTCATATACTAATTGAAGACTTATTTCTTTCTTTGGTAGGGAACGCATACAGATCTTGTAGTGCAAATTGTCTTGATTGCTGAATCAATGAGATTACAAGCCATGATGGCTACTTATGGCATTCAAACACAAACACCTCATGAAGTGGAACCTGTTCAAATACTCTCTTCTATACAACTTGTAAAAGTTTATCAGATGCTTGGTGTCAATAACAAATTAAATTTGGAAGGTAGACCAGGTAGACCAATTGGTTCACTGGGTACCAGTAAAGTTTACCGAGTCTGCGGAATGACTGTACTCTGTTATCCCTTGATTTTCGAGGTTTCTGAATTTTACTTGTATCGTGATATGGCTCTATTAATTGATGATATCAAAACGGAATTGCAATTCGTTGGAAAATATTGGAGACTCTCAGGTCGACCCACTGTTTGTCTACTGATACGAGAAGAACACATGAGGTAAGAGCTTAATAGTCATAAAATGATTTCTTTCTTGGATTATTTTTATTTAAAAAGAGGACTATGGAAATGTCTAGAGATCCCCAATTCAAGGAAATGTTGGATTTATTCGCAATGCTTAAAAAAGGTTATTGCGATGGTACTAAAGTACGAATTGGTCGTTTACAGAATCTCATCTCATCCTCTTGCATAGGTAGATAAATTAATTTGATCAGATTTCTACACTTTTCCATATTGTTTATAAATTATTACCTAATTTAGAACATCTGGATTTTATGAGCACAATGGAAACAGATCTGGCTCTGACGCAGTTTAAACAATTGGAGCATGATTATATCGGTTATCAAAGTTTGACTGATGTACCACGTGCTTTATCTTACACCGAAGACATATGTGATTACTCGGTAAATTAATATTATTTCGTAAAAATTTTATAATCAAACATTTTCAAATACATTACATTTTATTCAGAGATACATGGACCAGCCTATTTGCAATGTCATCACTGAAATTCGCAATACTGATGGATTGTATGCCAAATGTCAGCTGTACAATATTCTCTTGAAAAGAGAGGGAATCGATTATGAGATCAATGGATTGACTGGTATTGCCACTTACTGATAGTCCATGTTTGTTATTATGTTATAGTGATTTAAAAATGATTTTTTAGTCGGAGATAATCTCAGAGCTCTCTATCAACAAGCTGGTGGTTTACGATACTGGATGGCTGTTCGTTATTGTAGTAGTTTACTGAATCATACTGTGGATAGTATCAGTCCTTTCATTACTGGGGTGCTCGTCAAAGGGAAACAGATAACCGTAGGTGTTATTGGACACGAGGAAACTGTATTTGACAAGCCAATGACTCCAGCTGAAATACAATCTGTTATGTATTCCACTATTCAACCGCATGACGTAGTTCAAGCTGTATTACAGCAGGAAATTTTACTTTACTGTGGAAGACTCATTGGAACAAATCCTGAGATGTTTAAAGGAATATTAAAAATAAGAATTGGGTATAAATTTTTGTATTATTGTAGCAACTGATATTGAATAATTGTATCATGAAGATTATTTCGTCCATCAGATGGGTTTTGGAAGCAATGAAACTCTACTTGGAAATGTATGTTAAAAATGCAAAACCTATCGGAAATTACAGTCCTTATGAGATCCGACAATTTCTCATTAAGGTTTTGACTGTCAAAGATTGGGCTATATCAGAAAAGTATAAAAATCATATCTCGAATATGAATTAAAGAGACACGTCGATATGATATTTACTTCTTTTCTTTAGCTTAACAGTTCTTGGCCGAAGAAAAATTGAGGGTAGTCTTTGCAGAGTACCTGGGCAATTTTACAATCAGGTCTGGGAAGTACTAGTCCGTTGTCCAGGTGGAATTTACGTAAATGGTCGTGAATTGCCCCAGCAACCAACTCTGTCAAACATGACAAGATCAGAACTGACATTTGCTCTTCTTGTTGAATCAATTTTACATCACATCCAGTTGCCAGAATACCGACAGATCATCGTGGAGGTAAAATTAAAACAATTGAAGCAATTTGATCAAATTTTTCATGAATTCTTATAAATATTTACAGCTACTCAACATAGTCTCAACAATCTTGCTTCGAAACCCAGAGTTGACCTTTCAGAAACCCCTAGATTTAAACAGTCTTGTCGAAGATGCCTTCGTCATGTATTGCAAGGATCATCATATTGAAAAGACAGAAGATCAGACTCCATTCTTCTCAGCACACTATTCTCTCACAACAGGATGTCTCGCAAGGGCTGTTGTCAACAATGTTCTTATGGGAGGAAGCATGAGTACTGTTTGTGATATAAATGATAGCATTCAGTCCCATGAGATGTGTAAAATAACGTAGAAATATTTTGTAGTATTTTGAGTAGTTGATGTTACATGCGGTAATAAATTTTATCTGTAAATATACAGTTCGATTTATTTCAAAGCAGTTCGGTGCATGGTGTCGCCATTACTGTTTTATGAAACTAATCATAAAACTTCAGATGTCAATGCGCATCAGTACGGTGCGAGCCCGCCATGAGTGCGTACTTGTAGATTTATTTTGGTTATGTTATGTTTTGCGTCAAAGAGCGTCAAGAATGAAAGGACAATTTGGATTTTGCGATCTGTGCGTTGATCCTCAGGACTTTGACAAAGAAAAATTGCGAGAAATATTCTCTGAACTTTATAGAGGTACATGATTCATGTATTATTTACCTATTTATCTTCAGTTGTCAAATTTTTGTACGTACCTTGTATCCTTATAGTGTATGTTTATTAGTGGGCTATGAAACTGTGGCACTAAATCAAACGGTGGAAGAAGAGATTTTTCAATCATCTAAAAAGAAGAAAAAGTCCGAGAGTAAAGGTGTACAATGCTTCTTGCCATATCCTGTAGATATCCAGGATCTTGTCGAAGAATTTGTAGGCAGACTGAGAATCTTCAGCAGACTGACTTTTGTGTACTCCGATCCGGCAAAGACACACATGCTGGTAAAAAAAAATATGAATTAATAAACAGAATTAGGACAGATTGGAATCTTGTGATTCACAAATCAAGTACCTAGATTTTCATAAATAATTTAATCCCTTGTTATAGAAAATTTTCCAGTTCACGTTTCATAAGTAAGCAATAATATTACTATTCCAAAAAGATCCTCAACTATCTCAAATTCAGTGTATGAACATAAAATGTTCCTTGTCCTTGCATGAGAGAATACAAAACTACATATTAAAATCTTTCAGGGTCAGTCGCAGTCTTTGAAGCATTACAATCTATATGCTGTTGTTCCAAAGACCCAAGCAGCATTTCAGGTAAACAAAGATCAACAGTTCTATACAAGATGATAAATATAAACAAACAATGATATTTTTAGTTTGCTTGCTCTCAGCTGAACGCTGACATAATAACTTTGAACACTTCCTGCTCTGGACTGAAGCTCAGCAAAAAGTTATACTCCCAAGCCATAGAGCGTGGAATAAACTTTGAAATACGGTATGCAGATTTGATCAAACCTGCTACTAGAAAGTCAACAATCTACTACTCTCACTTCTTCTATACATTTGGCAAGAGCAAGGTATATCCTTGACTACAGAATATGTCTGTACACAGTTTATCATTCCTCGCTCGCTGTACATACAAATATCTTATTCCGCAGAGTGTAATTATGTCAAGTGGTGCTAGGGATACGAGCGACATACGAAATCCATACGACGTAATAAATCTGTATCCTTTAAACTGATCTTTTAAACAAATCATCCGTCACTTGCTTTTGTTAAGTTTATCTCGCGTCCCTATACACCTTAACAAAAGTACAGTGGTCCATTGATGGGACTGGATGAGACCAAAGCCAGAGCATCCATCGTATCACAGTGCAGGCACCTTCTCTTGAAAGCTGGTAAATATACAGATTATATATTCATTTAGATAATACGCCACTATATACATATACATAATATGTATCATACAATAATATTAAAAATTAATTCAGAAGGAAGACGTCACGGTAAGGCAATCTTCGTGAATCAATTGCCCAATACAAACGATGACACAGACGAGGATACCAGCGAGGATTATTCGAGCACAAAGAAAATCAGGCTCTAATTATTCATTCGCTTGTTATTAGACCTTCTTTGTTATCCCTTTTATGTATTATATAAAGTCAGACATCTTGTCGGGTGGTCCAACCAACAGCCGCTTCGTCAATTACAAATACATTATTGCAGCATTTAGTTAGCATTGACAGCTCTCATGAGTTTTTCATTACATCAAGTTGTACGCAATGTTTATCCTCTGTTTTTATTATCACTTATAGACTACACGTGGGGAAGGGGGGGGCGAGAGGGGAGGAAAGTTCGGGTATGTGAGTGAATCATGTGATTATCATCATCTAGTAACTCGTAATCGCTAGGCAGAAGGAAAATAATTTACAATTATCGTTACTATATTACATATGTGAGTCGGGCCTAACGCCTACGAACTAATTGTTTTAAAATTAATTTTCATTTTTGTACTTAACCTATCAATAAGGGGGCTCGGGGAGGCTAGAATGGGAGGGCAGGGGGGAGGCCTGTTGGATTAGTTTAATTGAAATCATTTTAACGATGGACAATGCAATCTCCACAGAAGAACACAGATTTCGCTTGTCGCTATTCATTGTCTATCCAGTTTTATCGAATTTGCTATTGAAAATGATGGATATTTAAAAAAGGATATATATGTACATTAAAACAGAAACCAGTATAGATAATATCGTCACTATCTCGTGATGACTATTCGTTTTCAATCATCATCATCATCGTCGCCATTACTACCTAACATTCTTTTCGTACGTTATTTTTTTCTGGAAGAAACAGTTTCCTTTTTTTCTATTTCTTTTCTTTTTCATGCAAATTTCCACCAGTCAGCCATAGTTAACGGTAAACGTCGTTAATTTCAGTCTTAGATGTAGGAAGTATGGTGTAAATTCTTTCATTTTGTTTCTACAGTAAACGCGTTCCTCGAGCCACAGACACTATATCATATGTTATTCTGAATTGATATCTGATTGCGATGGATTTCTGGGTTGCCTGTATATGGTAGAAGTAAAAGAGACTATTCTTTAAGGAATTCGATCGATTGATAACATCGTGATAATAAATCGGAAGATTTTCTATAAATATTTTTTGTTTTTCTTTTCACTAATAAATCTACCTCTTGTAATAAGGTATAACCATTTCATCCCGGGCATAATTACGTAGAGGATGGTCGTCGTTATCTCAAAAATGTTAGAAAGATAAATTAGTTCGCTTAACATTTTGGTAAATTTTGATTACTCATACCGATTACATTGGTTATCAATGAGGATTCAGATTTTCACTAGAACGACGACATTCTCTTTTGGCTTTGCGAGACAATGGTATGCTTTAATTGGTAGTATTGGACAATTTGATCAGGATTTTCAATGTGACTTGAGCCAAGGTAATCATAATCGTTTTGCACTCCATTATGGATATCTGGTATACGGGGATTATCTAACACGTGGGGAATAATGTATATTAATTACAAAAGTGCATTGGGACGGGGTAAGCTCGAGTAACACTGAAAACCCTATAGATCTCCATACCCCGAAGATTTCATAATTGTACAAGAGTTCATAGAAGAAAAATCAAAATTTGACTAGCCCTAATTACAGTACGATACAGTACACAGGATAATGATATAGTACAGTATATCAGTATATCATACTGTAAATCAAAGAAACTGTATCGGATACTATTAAACATACAAAACCATATTAGTAATGCTTTTGATACATAAATCCCTTACTTTCAATATTGGCTGTATTAAGATGCCTTTATAAAAATGATCAAGTACAGTTACCCTTGACTGAGAGTACTGCGAATCACTTCTTCGGGGCATGGATAGTGGTAATAGTTTTGTAATAGTAGTGTAGTGGTATTAGCCGTAATAATGGTAGTGTAGTAATGGGTGGTAGCGATAGTAGTAAATAGTTATAGTATAGTAATAGGTTGTAGAACGAAACGAATACGTCTGCGTTCAGCTGTGGCACCTTTGGGCAAGTAGCGATCAGGTAGATCCCGACAAAACCTCTAATACAACGATGAAATAATATATTACGACCATAATCAGACCCCGCGATAATAATTAATTTACAGTTCGTCTCGCTTAAGGAATTCACCTGTGATTCCTGGACACTTGATGATCCCTGCATTGTATCTGATGATCGGAGAGCTTCGCCTGGTCGCTCGAGTCCGACATAGGTTCGTCACCGCTTGATAAAACTCGACCCGGTGACGGACTATCTACTGGTCTGAAGGAAAAACTGGGCGAGTCTGCACTTGATAATGATTCCGGTGTCCCTACTGAACTTATAGTACCTGGCAATGGACTTGCTATTGTGTCCAGCCTGTAAATATACATATAATCCTTGAGATACTTGTACATAAATTTGATTAGACGTCAGAGAGTATAGGGATACTTGTATTACCTGGTGGAATTTGAAATAACGAGACTGGAAGTCCTTTTGGCTGGTGGCTGTAGTTGTTGGTCAGAGCCTGTATCATCCAATTCGAATTTTCTTTTTACAGGACCTAAGCAACTTGGTCTGATGGCTATTGGGCTAAGACTACGTCTGAAATTTTATGAAGAAAAAAAAAATTTGATGGGGTTAGTATATACTTTATTATTTATTATTGACTTGTAGAATTATCTTGAAATATTTAAATATTACCTTGTAGCAAAGGCTTTTCTCGTTGGACTAGGTGAAAGACTGCTCTTCCAATTGACCATATGGATACTCGGAGAGTAACACTGTCGCTGACCTAAACCTGACCTGGTGGGCGAAGGCGAGGAGCACAGAGGAGGTCCACCCACTGTTAGATTTAAGCTCAACGAATCAAAGACTCTTTTGCTCATTTGTCGTTCTGACTTGTTGAGTTGTTGCGAGGGAGATTCAGAATCCTTGAAAGATAATCCTTCAGCTTCGAGAGTTAAGTCTTCCCAGGATTGTGACATTTGCATTGCGCTGTGAATCTCCTTCTCGTGAGCTGCCTCCCTACCTACTACGTCGACACATTCTTCCTGGCGAAGTTGACTTACTCTTGGTGTTAATCTTGGTATTCCACCAGGACTCTGTAGAACATTAGAGCGTTAACGAGAATTCCACGTATAATATTATATTAGGATGGAGGAATATATGCGATAATAAAGTACAGAGCTCCGAGGACTAGGGTATCGTATCGCACGGATTCTTGGTGAACTAGTGAGAGCCAGGAATGTGATCCTTACGCTGGTACTGAAACGTCGGGCACGGGGAGCGTTAGAGAAGACGTTGAAGGTAGAAACAGCATCCCTGAGAATGAAATGATATGTTAAGCAACAGTGTAGAAGCTTCAAGAACGGTTCAACGATGTACCTTGGAGTAGACGTTGACGGTGAAGTGACAGACATTGTGACGGCACTGATTTCGTTGATCATTGGAGCGCTACTGGACCGCTTTAGGCTGACTATTGGACAGTCAACGTCCATGGCTGTGGGGACGTTCCACTGGACATTCATGAAAGATTCTACAGGCACTGAGCATAGACAGGAAGCACATTGGTAGCTTCACCAGGTTGTGATTTCACGGACGGTATTCCGTCCTTGATAAACCGTCCTTTACAGACAGTCAGAAACCAGCTGATGATCCCATAATGACATTTCCCGTAATAGGCACCTTTGTGCTACAGGAAAACCACCCTGGCTCACGTTACCTCCAATTCACAGTAACTGTCACTGTACTATAATTCATGGATCTTTCAAATGAACCAAGGACTTCAATAAATTGCCTAGTAGCAAAAAAATACTCATAGGCAAGTATAATTTCCCATTATGCAAATTATCATTAGAAGCATATCTGAGTTTCATGTGATCGTAGTTTGTATCTTCCCAATTCCAAAGGTGCACCAGTCATACGATGATGTATCCTCAATGAAAACAGTTCAACTCTAGCTGATCTAATCGCAGGTTCTACAATCTTGCAAGCAGCAGGTTCCAACCGTAAAACTATCCTGCCAGGATGGCAAATGTTCTAAACAGATATATAAATCCTTTCTTTACGAAAACATATATAAATCTTAACAAGAATCAAGCCTATCCTATTGTAAACGTTCATCGGCTAGTACGTTCCGCACGTGAGCTGCGCTCGATTCCTAGTTGTTTTTATCTATTAATTAATCTGCAAATAGCGGACGAACGCAGCTGCAGTACGGGCTAAGGAATTCCGTGAACGCAATACCAGGGAAACCCGAGGTTTTATCCCCTCGCAATCTGTTCTGCTTAAAGTCAGGATAATGAGACTCACGATAGAAGTGAATGATAAAATCCCATAGCGTGTATTCCTGCCGAGTAGCGATCCGCATACGAACGAATGAACCAACTAGCGAAGGAGCAACAGTCCTGATCAAGAAGCAGGATCAGCTGCGGTATATATTCGCGTTATTAAACTGAACGTGCTAAGGAATTTTGCAGGACCTTTCACGGTAGGTTCCCCTTTGGCTTAAGCTCGAACAGGGGGCACGATGCGCCTGTACGAGGCATTCGTTTGTCACCAAAAAGCAGCAACTACTCCGCTGTCTTGTTCGATTGGGCGCTGGTAGAAGCTCCGAAACCGGGTTGGGATTTTTGGGACAACTGACTCTGTTGATAAAACAGGTTATGAAACTCTTCACACCCAATAAACATAGACTATATACACAATTAGACGAACACGTCAATGCCTACTTTTCATTAGAATAGTGAGGATTCTAGTTTCATATAATGGACAACGGCTCTCGAGTATTTCAAATGATCTCGTGTATCTAGTATTCGGTTGTTTCAAGCCAAATTATTTTCCGAGTGACTTTTAAACTAACCTCGTTTATCGGTTTAAGTTATATGCTTTAATTCAAAAAAATGGAAGAGAAACCTGATACTGAAACCATTCAATGTGAATTTTATAGTGATGCTGCTAAATATTGGGAAAAAATTCCAGCGACTGTCGATGGGATGTTAGGTGGCTTTGGATTTATTTCTCATACTGACATTGAAGGATCTGAATTGTTTCTCAGGTCCCTATTTAAGGTATTATTGTTTATTTTTGTGTTTAGTGTGGGATTGATTCAAAATTTTTATTTTGGGCTCCTTACAGCTTAACCGAGCACCTCAGAAAAATCGTGCTCTGGATTGTGGTGCTGGTATTGGTCGCATCACTAAAAATCTGTTAGTTAAACATTTTAAACAGGTAGATCTTGTTGAACAAAATCCAAAATTCTTAGAGGCAGCTAAAACTTATTTAGACACTTGTGCTAGCAAAATTGGCACGTATTATCCACAAGGTAAATATTTAATTTATGTAAATGTAAAATATCTATACTAAATATTTTTCTTCAGGTTTACAAGACTTCTGTGCTTCCACAAAGCAATATGATGTTATATGGTGTCAATGGGTCTTAGGACATTTGCAGGATGATGATTTAATAGACTTTTTTCGTAACTGCCAGTAAGCTAAATTTTTGTCTATAGTAATCTAATCTGGATACGGGTTATCATAATTTGATATTCCACAGAACAAGTCTGAGGGACAATGGTGTGATAGTAGTAAAGGAAAATGTGACTAGTTCAGACAAAATTGATATTGACTCAGAGGACTCTTCTGTAACCAGACCACTCAGAGAACTAAAATATGCCTTTGAGAAGGCAGGATTAATTTGTATTAAAGAACAGAAGCAAAAAAGCTTTCCAAGAGGACTTTATCCTGTTTATATGTTTGCATTAAGACCTGCGAAGACTGCTACCATAGAATAATAGAGAATATTTTTAAAAAATTGTAATCTTGCAAATTGGCTGGCTCCAATTCTAATAATTTTTTTTTACTAATAAACAAAATTAGTAAAGTGATATTTATTTTGGCCTTATTTTCTCATACATAAATCGCTGATTACCGTCTTGCATCGATGGATTTAGGAGTCTCTTCTTAACAGCATGAAAATGAGAGAGTGCATACAGATATAACTCATTTTCCATTTTCCACACAGTAGATTTCTCTATCTTCTCCACAGTCTCAGGAAGCGGATCCATCTTTTGAGTAGTTTGTCTCAAATGTGATTTATTACCTGAAGACAATACCAGAAAATAAATATGACTCTTATTTCGATTATCAACACTAAAGACAAATACAAATTGCAATATTACTGTGAAGAAAATGATCGTATGCTCCCTTAAAAAAGCGTGGCAGTACAATTTCCAGAGTTTGTACAAACTCTGCTAATTCTTCGGTAACACCGACCAGAAGGTAATGCTTTTCCAGATTTCTTTTGGCTTCCTCCAATGCCCACTTATTGCCAGCTATCCTGAAATATAAATATTCATAACATTTAAAATTATCTAAAATATATGAACATGCATTAAAATACTTGATACTACTCCAAAATGTTAACGACAGTACTTACCAGCATTGTGGATCATGGCCACAGAGAAAAGGAATTTGCAACCACATGTTATCAGGATCACAGTCAGCTTGGCCCACCTTGATACATTCATCGAACGTCTAAAACGAATATTTGTAGACCTGAACATATTTCTCCAATAATAAATCTATTCTGATACTAACTTTTGTATCTCCGTGTTTCTTCCTAATGAGATGCGGTCTAAAGTTATCTCCATATCGCAAAAAATAATAATAAGAAATGAATCTATCTAAGGGCTTGCGTAATAAATTTATATATAGCGGGTTCTGCTTAACTCCAAATCTGAAATGGAGTAAAAGTTTAAAGAAATTAAAACCACCTCATACAAATGACACTCCCTTACTTGCCAAAATCTAAAAAAGCCATATGGCCATGATAAAATGCAGGTTTCATCACATCCCACTGAGTTACATTATTTACAAATTGCACCTACAAATAAATTTCAATATAATAATATTTATTGAAAGAAAAGTTGATCGATAAATAAAAAATTACCTGATTAGGAAGCGTAAGAGTGTGCATATTATTGGTCACATTAATATGAAGCGCATGATACTTGTTTTGCTTGCATAGATCATACGCTATACCAACAAAGCTTGTAGATCCTGTCTTAGGAACCCTGTTATAAATAACAATGGAATCATCAAGATGATTGTCTCGATGAATTTCAATAGCCGAAAGAGCATTGCTTTTTGGCTGATTCCGAATAAGAGTAATTGCCTCTTCTGAAAGTGGATGAATAAAAAATAAAAAATAATAACCTAGAGCCGGTAGTTAATACATCCACTTACGCAGTACTCTATTGCTTTCTTCTAAATAATTCAATTTAATTTTCAGGTACAGACACAGAGCTAAGAAAATTATCATAAAAATCCATTGAAATGGATAATTTCTTAATATCATTTTCTTCTACGATACTTATGGAGATACATAACCAAAGTATTCACTGTCAAAAGCAGTTAAATTTGACAGTTTACTAAGAATTTATCCCCACTCACCATACAGGTTGGGTAGTGGGAATCAACGTGAAGTAGCCGTTCCACAATCTATTCGATTAGAATCAAAATAAATCTTTTGACTCAGTTCCAAGTATATTATTTTTTAATAAACAATAAAAAGTAACAGTTTTAAAAGCTGTAATTTTATAATTGAGTCTGTGGTTTCTGTTACTTCATTCAATCCTACATTAGTTTCACTGCACATTGACAGTTAAAAAAATAATATTGTTTTTGACTAACGTATTACATCAATGAGCTGCCACTGACATTTCCGTGATCTTCTTTCTCTTTCCTAAAGCAAAAGTGTGGCAAAATGGTTAGTTTGTGCATCACCTCGTAATCCAAATATAATTGAAACATCCTCATTAAATTAAAGCAAATCATAAGACGGTGCCAATAATCTTGAAAATAATGATAGAATAGTTCTATTATATTTCCAGTTCTTTCTCACATTAAATTTTAGGGAATAATCAAAATTTACTTATGGTTCTCCGCCATGCCGAATGGTATCCATAAGTGAAACAACAGTAATTCTATAGGGAATTATTATTGTACCCTACAATGCCTGTAAATAAGCCGGGTTTCATTCTCCTTACGAGAAATATTATATAAATGGAGAAAATTATAGTGAATTATGTAAATAAGACACAAATAGGCGAACACACAATTGCGAGGTTAACAGTGTATACATAGGAAGTACATAGTGTATCATAATGTTTTAGGGTAAGGTCAAGTGTTCCGAGTTGCGGACGAAGGACAAGAAGGAGCTGCTCAAGCAGTTGGAGGAGCTCAAGACTGAGCTGACCAACTTGAGAGTAGCCAAAGTTACCGGTGGGGCAGCATCCAAACTGTCGAAGATGTGAGTCTTGTAGATATAATTTTATATTTGAGTGACGAACAGCTCTTTCATATATTAATTATTTACAGTCGCGTCGTCCGGAAGGCCATCGCGAGGGTGTATATTATCATGCACCAAAAGCAGAAGGAGAATCTTCGTTTGTTCTACAAGAACAAGAAATACAAGCCCCTGGACCTGAGACCCAAGAAGACTCGTGCTCTCCGCAGAGTTCTCACTCCTCACCAGGCCAGTCGTAAAACGCTGAAGGAGATCCGTAAGCGTTCCGCATTCCCAGTAAGGAAGTACGCAGTAAAGGTTTAAATCACCTTTTTTTAATGTATAAACACAAATCCTCAAATAAACATTTGTTTACGGCAGCAACTTTATCTAATAATTCGAACCCTTGTTGTTTATTCGACAACGCACGGTAGAATATCGATCGTCAATTAAGCATAGGCACATGGTGGAAATAAGACAATAGCAATTGAGTTTAGAAAATTTTCAATGTCTATATACAATCATTACATTTCACGCTCCTGTGCTCTATGTCGATCGGCAGCAATTAATGTCGGCTACAAGGTGATCAGTTTTCCGGAACACCAAGGGCAAGGATGGAAATTCGGCTCGAGAATACAGGTATCTTTGCAATCTTTTATCTCCGTCAAGAGATCCAGGATTTGAGAAGTAGTTTCATCCTTGGGGTGTACGATAGATTGGATCTCAGAATTCTCCACAATAGAAACATCAGGAACATCAACATTCTCGTTATGGTCTCCTGCAATATGAATATTAAAAGATACAATATTTATCCACGCAACTTGCCAATCTTATTAGTACTAAGCAGTTAACAAAAGACTGACCTTCGTGATTGCTTCCTAAATTGTCCACAGGATTTTCAGTTGTAGATTGTTTACTAATAAGATCAGCAACGAGCACTTTAAGCTTGTGCAATTGTTCTTGTTGCTGATTTCTCTGTTCGATCAGTTGATAAAATGCTTCCTCTCGTTCTTTCTGTTTCTGATTCAAAATAGCACGTTGTCTCTGATAAAGGGTTATGTATTCTCCTATAGTTTCTGTCTCGCCCTGCAGCTGAAGGACCAAGTGTTCCAGCCTTTGCTTCTCGTCAGAGAGTTCTGCGATTTTTTCCATAGTGGTCTTAAATTTCTCTTCCAGTTTTCTTACAGCTTCGGGTTGAATACTAGGTTCCTCTTTTTCCACAGTTTGCGTAGAACTCTGAATCAGAGTTAAAGATGAATCGTCTACTTTATCCTCAGAATCGTTTACTGGTACATTTTCGACATCCTCTGAAACAGTCTCGGAGTTCGCAGAAACATGCTGGTTGAGTAGTTGCTGATTCTCTCTCTTTAAAGTCTCAATGGTCTCCTGAAATGTATAATAGACTTTTATACTCTTGCAAATTAATAAAATGTAGACAGAAATATTCTTTACCTTCACGTTTGAGACTTCCTGGGGAACATTTCCAGGATTACCGAAATGTTGCTGTGCGAATAGTTTCTGATTCTCCTTCTTTAAATTCTCAATAGTCTCCTAGCAATGCACAATAAATTGAAACACTCATTCAAATTAATAAAACGTTAAAACAAATATTTTCTCAGTAAAGTAACAATACCAATGCTTTTTGGAGCTCCTGTTGCAAAGTACTCGCGTGATGAGACTGTGCCTGATAATGCTGCATCTGATCTGTGATTTGTGCAGTGTGAAGTTTTTCTTTTTCATATTCCACCAAGGCAGCTTCTTTAACGCGTAATTCCTCCCTCAGCTTCTCTATCTCTGATTCAAACTTGTTTAATTCCGCATTCAATTTCTTACCGATACCCCGTTCAGCCTGTAACTGCTCGGTCAAATCCAGCTTACTGTTGCTCTAGAAATATGTAAGACACAACTATTATAAAATTGTACATATATTTGGAAATAGCAGAAGCATTCACTCAAAACATAAACTACATACCAGATGAACAAAAGCATCGTGCATTTCACCTAGTTGCTGTTTTAACTGATGATTTTGAGAAACCGCTCTGGATGCACCAATTTTTTCACTCTCAAGTGCCGCCACTAATTTTGACGCCTCCACGGCATCGCTTTTTATAGCTTGTAATTCCTCCAGCTCCTTTCTCAAATTTTCTAATTCATTATCCTGAAATATTACAGGAAACACAGTCAGATTCACTGCAGTATCGTTGCAGTACGTTTACAAATACTATATTCTGACTTTTTCACTCAGAGCAAGCTGGACGCTGTGTTGATCCTGAAGAAGCTCATCGACGTTCTTCGTTAGGCTCTCTATTTGATTCTTATAATCTTCTGCCGGTGTCAAAGATTCCACTTTGTCTTTTTCGCGCTGCAACTGCTGCTCCATATCAGATAATCTATCAATGTAGCTCCGTTCTTTTAGTTCCAATTGCGTGATTAATTCTTTGCTCTTTTCTAACTAAAGAGAAATATTAAAGATAAGGTAACTTGTGTAAAAATAAACTGCTTTCCATATTTAAGAGTAGTACCTCTTTGAGTGCTGATTCATATTGGCTATTAATTGTACTCATATAATTTCCATACTGGACACTAGCCTTTTCTTTATCCTCACTGACAGTTTTGAGAGTCTGACGAACCTGATTTAACTGCTGCTCCAAAGCAGCCACTGTGAGTCGTTGATTTTCAATGATATCTGACTCTTGGGAATTGGTTAACTAGGTAAGAATAAGGACGCTTTTATTACTAAATTGTAAAATGATATCGCAGAGGAATCTTTCTAGTCGTATTTTGTAGTACCTGCTGCACTTTAAGTTCGCATAGCGACAGCAAATCGTCTTTGTTTTTTAATTCCTGGTGAACACTCAGTAACTGGGTATTTTTCAGCTCTAAATTTTGCTTGAGCTCCGAAATTTCCAATTCGTAATCGTCATTGTTTTTGCTAAGGAATATAAGTTTTTTTTTAAGTTTCTGTCAATTGGACTAAGGAATACATAAGACTGCTTATGGATTACCTGAGCTCACGGACTTTTTCCGACATTTCAGTGATCATCTGTTTCGTTGCTCCTTCTCTTGATTCAACGTCATTGGATATACTTCTGAGAGGTGTTAACTCTTTCTCAAGCTCACAGATACGTAACTGGGAAGATTTTAGTTTTGCACTGAGATCCTCGACTTCAGCTGTTCGATTAAAAAAATGATATTGAAAAAAATTATATATGAGTAATTATACATTAATGAGATTAACGAGTATTAACCAGCTTTTTGCTTCGCTGTTGCCTGAACCTGTGTAAGGGCAGCAGCTAGTTCAGCTTTCTCGCCCACAAGAATTCCAGTCGTCTGAGCATGAACTTGCAACTGCTCTTTTAGTGGATTTAATTCCCTCAAAAGCTTCACTTCGAAATCCGCTTCTTTAGTTGCAAGAGTCGCTTCCAGTTCGGAAATTCTGCTACTCTGATAAAGAGTCAAAATGCATAGGTTTAATATTCACGAGGTAAATAATTAGAGGATAATGTATGCAAATATTGGAGTGAATCAATAATATGAGAAAGAATGAATGATTTACTTACATACTGAGCCACTTGAATGTGCAATCGATTAACCAATTCTTTCTGTTCTTGAAGACTAGAAACTAGAAATTGATTCTGATATTCCAGGTCGGAGGTATGGCCAGATTCATCATTGTCAGGGTGATCAACTAAGGCATCAGCCACTGCTGAAGCCATTTGCAAAAGTCGTTCTTTTTGCAGCGAAGCAGAATGGTTCAATGGCTGTTCCGATGTAACAGAACTTTCAACATCAGTCTCAAAATATTCCAGATTAGCGGAACTATCAGTATTTTGTAAGGGGTCACTGTTTTGCAGCACATTTTCAGTTTCAAGAGAGTCGAAATTCATGTGATTTTTATTACTTTGTGATATCAAACTTCCTTCAGTACTGATGTTATATTCCTCTTTGTAATTAATGGCTGAACTCACTGTTTCATTGGAAGTATTACCAAAACAAGACTCCTCAACATGATCATTCATGAAATGATCAAATAGCACTGGAGCTTCTTCAGGCCTTGTTTCAGTATTCTTAATTATTTTACTCGGACTTGGTACATCGGTTCCATTATTATGCAAGCAATCAACTGAGGAATCTTCAATCTACAGAATGAAAAAAGAACATTAATGAACCCCACACTCGAACGACTGAATGTCAAAAACATATTTAACATTTTAGAGCGCAGACTAGATCAAAGAAATAGATTGAATATATGAACTGTACAAGTGGCGGTGTTTCTTTTTGTAAATCATTCTGCTCTTTCACCGGAACATCCTGGTGATGATTTTTCCTATTGAGTTGAAATTCCTTCAACTGTAAACAAATATAAAAAATAATAATATCTTCTATATACACATCCTGAAATGTCACAGAGCAATACTATACCCTTTTTCTAGCCGCTAACAATTTCTCAGTTTTATTCATGTTCATGTCAGTACTATTATTTACGACACGGGTCAATAAGGAACACAGTACAGGCTTATAAATTTTAATGATTTACATTGTCAATTAGAAAAATATTGCGACGTGACAGTCGTTTCCAGGTTATAACGTGACTCCATACGTGCCACTTCACCACTTTGAGCAATTGGCGTTCTAAAATCCATCGATTCAGCAACTTCAATAAGGTATTCTGTATGCGCGCGTAGATTACGTAAATTTCAAGCATCCATTGAAGACACGACTGGCGCAGCAGAGTAAAATACCTTACGAAAATTGTTACCAAAGAGAAGAAAATTCAAGACTGATATAATTACAATTCCCCACAGTAATAACGTTTATTTATTATCAATCAGTTAATACTGTAGTGTCAGGAGATACTTCAGAAATAGCCTGCACAATACCATTCACCATACATACAAGATTCTCACGAATATCCAGGGTGATTAAGCGGTGACGCTTCACTAATTCAAGAATCTCATCGACACTGGACAATTCGTTATACCTTAATAACAAGACCTTTAAACTAAATAGGGTTGGAAATTGCTCGAGGGATTTTATTCCGTTACAGGACAATGACAGCTTTTTGCATCTTTGTAATGAGTGTAGACGATGCAGGGAGTTTCCCAAATTATTTCCGCATAAATTGACTTCACTGTAGAAACTGAGGTAATGTTCATTACACAAAAGCGTTAAATTATAATTAGACATGTCTAAAGATGTAACCTCATTCGTTTTATCCTCTTGTAACCAAGTATTGTGTAAGACATAATCAATGAGATATTTGCTGCCTGTAATGAGATAGTATTAACTAAGGTTACGAATGATGTTTTGGTAAAAGATCTATGATCAGTACTTACGCAAATCTTCATAGTAATTTGAACGGAGTTTATCAATGGTTTTTAAGGCAGTGAAATTTTCTAGAATATTTTTGTGGTATTTAGAGTCATTGATGTTTCTCATTAGGAAAATTCCTGTTAGTAAGGCCCATTTATTATGCGGTTCCATCTGTATCAATTGCTGATAGCTTTCTAGTTGTTCCTGTAGTTGATTTAGATTGTGCTTCTCTTGAGACTCGATGTTTATCTTACATGTGAACGTTTCTCCATCCACTGAATGGAATGGATATATGTTTTCATTGAAAATCAATTCCACTTTACTGTCGTCGTTTAAGTTTATAAAGATTTCGTTCGGAGGGGTGCTCCAGACTTTTGCAAACTTTGCATTATCGTGCGACTCCCAGTTTAAGGGAATATTGGTACCATCAACAAGTATGTTTAGATTTAAGGAATTGATTGCAACATCTTTGTGAAATACCACTGTTGCTGCAGTACTTGTTAATTGGGCCCTCCAAATTGGATTATTTATACTTTTGTGACTATCCAAAAGCCATCTTTGGTAAAACCATGCACTTGAGTCATTAGGATCCGTAAATGTTGCATTCATAACGAGGTCAAGTTCTAGAAATCAAATAACAAGATTCTGTTATGAATGATACAATCATAGTGACAGTACTCTCATTGTATAATTTGTTCAGTACCTTCTTTATGTTTATCTGATCGAATAGGCAGTGCACCAGTGTTATCAGGAAACATCTTAGAGAGTACTTTACTTCTATAATGCCAAGAGGAATAATTGGAAAAATTATTTAGTATCTTTGTTGTGGAAAAATTAAACTCTTCCTCATCGGATATTCCAGCTTTTTGTACAACAAATAATCTATATTCCCAGCAATGAACTATAAAAAAAATTAGAATAAATATATAGACTTGTCACTTTTTATCATGGTATATGATCACTTACAATTTCTCTCATCATAATTCAGACACTTAGCACAAAGAGCCAATTCAGTTTCCCAATCAGGTTCAGATAAGCGCTCAATGACCCAGCATCTATGATGCCAAACATAATAAGACTTAGGATTTTCTCTGAGACAACATTCAGTCAGAGATAAATCTTTTTTCATGCGTATCTCACGTTCTTCGTTGCTCCTGTTAACCAGCAGAAAAAAAATATTCCTTTAGCAAAACCACATAAAGTATAAAAGCCTATAAATAACTAAATTAGGTACAATAAATTTACCAATCGTTTGCGTTGAAAGCCTCTCTCCTGATATTCCATAATGTATAAATATCAGGATTCTTAACAACAATACGTTCAGTGACTAGAAGAAGCTCGTCATCATAAATCTTATCTCTTCTCTGAAAGATGAATAATACATAATACTGTTAGAATGAGTAAATTAGACCCAATGCGTAACAAGGATAACTCTACCTTCTGAAAAACTAAATTCATCCCAGCTTTGTACTCTGCAACCTTCTTCGCTCTCTCGACTTTTTTGATTTCCTCCTGCTCGGCAGTGGTTCGAACTTTGACACGTCCATGCTAAAAATATTATACAAATAATATAATCCTATGATCAACATAGATCACATATTCTTCGTCTTAAAGGAAAATTCATTATACGGTATATTCGAATCCTTGGATATTCCAAGTCCTTTGTCAACAAACAAACTATTCTTCTTTTTACCATTTTTATTGTATTAAACTTGCTTTCACGACACGCAACTGTCAAGCTTAATATAAAAGGTTATGCAGCATCACATACATGTGATTCGCATCCAAGTCCAGTCCATCTATGAGAATATATTAAACACACTATTATGAAACAACAGCTAATAAAAATATAAAAATAAAATCAACTGTTCCACATATCGGTAACTTATCTGCGATCAATATGCCAAAGAAGTTTTGTAAATTCCGTATAGAGCGCGGCAGCTTCGAACAATTTAATTAGTGGGAAAATTTTAAAATGATGAAGTCACCCGACAACTCCTCCTGAATACAAAAAGCAATGATACAAAAAAATCCAATCAACAAAAGCACTATCCGCTACAAATACATTCACTAGAGTTCAATTAAATCAATAATCTACAGCCTCACGTAGTACCACAACAATTTTCCCCATGATACCCTAACTTTCCATAAGCCACAATCTTCCCAAAAGCGTGCAGGTCGCACTAAACGATGAAAGTACGTACCGGTCCACCGGAAAAATTCGCGTCACGTGGGAAAGCTGCAAGTGAAAGGAAACCGAGCGTAGAACATCGGTTTTGATCGGTTGCAGAGAAGAACGATAGTATAGTCGTTGCAAAATTCCATTGAAGTAGCCAGTAGTAGGGGAATTACAAGAAGAACAAATAAATGAAAGATATACCAGTCGGTGGGGCATCCTGGGTGAGCAACCAACAAATGAAACGATCCCCAACCATCCTGATAGTACCCAAGTACAGTGAGACAGACCTATATATGTATGTATATCCACAGCCCTGAGTTCTGAGGATGACGATGCTGTGTTAGTAAAACGGTAGTAACATACACACATATATAAATATATATGTAAGCATCCTCATCGAGTCCTCGAAGAAGATCCGAAGGGAGCTGGTGGGAGTAATTTAGGTTATTCGTAGCAGCAGGGAATGTGGGCCGAGTATATACCGGCTCATCACGATCGACCGACAGTTCATTCCATCTTTGTAATTCCACTTCGTAAGGTGGACATCGCTGGCTATTCACAACTCGACGACCAATTCACTAGGACATACACTAAGAGTCAGGTAAGTCGACTACGTAGCTGTGTAGATACAAGGATTATCGCGAGCTTTTGTGAAAATCCTCCTGACGCGTACCGGTAGACAACAATTAAATTTGATCAATCAAATCAAATCCTTATTAAAGTGTTAAGTGAGTGTCTGAGTATCAGTGTTCTATATTCACAAATTTGAGGAAAGAAAGGAAAAATCTGCATACAACATATACATACATACGTAGAGATTTTGCCAAAGGGACTTTCACGAGCCACTGACTCTTAATGACAACATCAGTAACAAGTTGCGTGCATTTACTAAAGGAGCATTGAACTCTCTTTTGTAATTCCTTAACGCAGCTTTAATTATGAACGTTGTGAAACACCATGTAGTAAACATTGATAGAACTTTTTAATAGGACCTATAGCTGCGTATACGTTATCTATAACACAAGTTAGAAACTGTAATTAAAAATTTTTTATTATACTTTCATATCATGCCTGTTGTTTAATTCGATTAGTGTTTAATTAAAGCTTTGACACTTGCATGAATTAATATAAAAATAACGATACAAAAATTGGCTTCAATTCTATTAAAATAAAAAACTTAACAGTAGTAGAATCTTCAGCCACCACAAAATATAAAGCCGGCCAGGTAACGGTTTGTTTTGCCAGGTTTCCTTAAGCGCAGCATCTTCTCACCAGGTTGAGTGCCATTGTCAATAGACTAAAAATCCCAGCCTTAATTCCCACCAGGGAACAAATTTCACAGAAGCATCTCATTTGCTAGACGGAACTGTATCTCTTTTATACTTCATAGACAGGAGTCTTGCGTTTAATTTTTTTTGTTCATCTTTTATCTTTGTCTCTCTCGCGGCTTCTCCAGCCATATAAGAATCCATTGATTTGTTCTATTGCTGATTCTTCTTTTGTCATCTTCCACGTTCCTCTTATGAAAACCGAACTCATTTTCTCTTTTGGTCTTTTTTACTTATGATTCATTTCTCCAAGAATCTTTTACCGGTACGAGTAACGGTATCGCTTCGAAAATTCGATTAATGACCTCAGGCGCGATTTGGTGGCCTCACTGTCAGTACTATAATACATCCACAGAGTCGAGGACCTATAACTTTCTTCCACGCCTGACATAAATACTCCCTTTTGTATAATAACACGTTATTACATTTATATATGAATGAACGTGGCACCGCTAGACAGAAGTAGCACAGAGAGACTCAATAGTTAACGAGCGTAGAACCAAAATGCGGTGAATCAATCACCTAGATTATAATTAAACTAAATAATCGAACCTACATACATTCACCATTTAACAATTATCTAGCAGTAGACATAAATTATTGATGAATCATTTTCTCTGGTTAGCAATATTTTCACATCAGAGCACAAGACCTGGTATAAGTAAAGAGCACGGTAATAACTAAAGAAGCCACACTGTAGACAATTTTAATAAGTCGTATATAAGCATATATGCAAGAGATCCACAAACACCAATGGTCTTAATGGTCATGGAGTAGAATAAATAAAAAGTCAATTAACCGGTGGTTACGGTTGCTGGCATGTTTCCTGAACGGGTGCCAGAGCTTTGTAATTGAAAACCAAGAGAGAGAAAGAGAAGAATTCACCAGGTGACACCAAAGTGGGAGACACTTTGGTTGAAATGGTAGAGTTATGGTATGGTAGGTCGCCAGACATTCCTGAATGCTTCGACGAAGACATCGTCGAGGGTCACTGGGCTCTCTACTTGTTCCCCACGCTACCTACCTACCTACCTACCTACCAACCTGTTTGACTGTACGCCAACCTGACTACTTCTGTCTGCTGCTACCACGGACTATCTCAAATAATATATATACAGACATAAACACATCAGGAACACAGACTCCTTAGAAGCATAGACTACGTGTAACATATTGTATCTCTACATATGTATACTATACGTTAGAGGTATAAGAGGTACCGAAATCCATCATATGTGCACAATATCTTAGAGGCACAAATGTGTATCTATATTAAAGATGCAACGGGGAACGAAACTTGATCCTGTAGCACAAGAGAGAGTCTAACGTTATTGTCGAGTCTTTTAACTTTAACTCACAAAGTAGGATGGCTCCGTATTCATTAGCATTGGCTCGGGCGCGTTAGCTTGTGAAGTCATCCGTAGAATATAAATGCGGTACGATTTCCCGGACACCAGGAACTTTTCACGGATGATACAGTTTGCTTGGTAGATTGTATATTCTGTCCAGTAACATAAATTAGGTTTGTTATTTAATTTAAAGGAGAAATTTTTTCAACGTTTACCAACCTTTATTTAGTACTTTGTATGACGTAAGAGACACCTGCTCTGTATCCATGACTTTCTATAGGATTATGCGTTCTGCAGTTTTCCCTTGCTCTTCCTGTGGTGCAACTTTTTTCTTTTCATTTTTCTCGGCGTCAGATAGATCAACCTATCACTGCTGGGTATCCGTAACTCGGTAAAATCCATTTGGTTGTTATATAAAAATTGTGCGATCACGTTTACCTGTGCACTTACTTGCTGTATATGGTCGGTACTGGGGTAACTGGATTTTATGTCCCAATTCGTATAGTGAGCATTGTCGAAATCCTCTTGTACCAATATGGGATCGATATATATCCGGGCAAGAAGAGAGAACTGGGCCAGCAAGTCAGCAAGTCAGCAAGTCAGCAAGTCAAGCCGGGAACGGCATTGTCTTGTCTTACTTGCTCGTGCACGATGCTCAGGATCCGTTAGGCTTTGACTATAGGAACACGAAGCGCAATACCGTAATCCAGATCTTTCTGTACTTATATTTCATCTCACGGATTGCTGTTGGGTGGCCATTATAAAATTTTGCACGTCAAACAAACTCCTGAATGCATATATGTATATTACAGGCTGGTGCGTTCAGGTATATTTGATTTGGATGTCAGACGGAGGTTGAATTTCAGGAGGATTCGGGAACTTGTTTTCAAGAATCTGTAGGTATTTCATGAAAGAAAAATATAAAAACTAATATATTTAAATATTCAAATGACTGTGTAGTACCTGATGATATTTTTGAAAGAGTGACAATCCTTGTATCTTTCGTGTTTCTTATTTATACTGGTAAATCAAAATTGATCGAGTCTTTTGAGTTCTTCTTGATGACTTTTAGCAAGGTTCAACAATCATCATGGCAATGATAAATCTTCTTTTCTTTTTCATAAATGGAATCATTGCTTTCACTTGGTATTTATGAGTCCAGGATGCTGCATCGTGTTCCTGGATGCATATAGGGCAATTCATCTCAGTGCAAATTATTCTCTGCTGCTGAATTACTAAAGCATGCAGACGAGACCCCGCGAGGATCTAAAAGATTAAAAAGACTATTATATCCAAGGGAAAATAACAGTAATCCCGTAAAGATTGATACTCTTTCCGGGGTACACGAAAGAAAGTACATCTCGACATTCTAAAATAAATTCTAAATCGTCCATTGTATTAAAGTACGTATAATAACCCAAAGAGAAATTCCCTAGATACTAATTGTTTCTCAAACCATAATCAATTGACGCCTTGTATGCAGTCATACGATTTCACTTATCCAATTATCAATTTAAAAATTCTGGTACAGGACGTCAATGAAGCAGTAAAGACGTCTCAAGGTCTGACAATGTGCTTCGTTTATAATTCCCTTGACCGATTTTCTAAAAACTTTTAACTATACGGCATTAAAACTATAATTTTAAGAAATACCTACTCATCTGCAATATTACTTACGCGGTGTGTTATTGGCAAAGGGAATTATAACTCTGAGGATCCTTGAGGATTGGAAAGTGAGTGGCTCATTTAATACATGAGATGACCAGCTTCGCTTTGCATCTTTCGAACAATTAAGATCAAGGTATAGATTTTTGACCTAGTCATTGACATAAGCATCCACTCGAGCGATAATCATCACAAACCATGTAGATTCTCGATGACGAATCTTCCTCATTGAATAATTATTAACCGTGAATACAAGTGACCATTGCCAACAGATCCTTGAAAGTCTTGAAATGAATGAGAATCAATATTTATACAAGATATTATTAACCATCTTTCTTTCCTTTCCGTAGTAAGAGATGAGGGCCATTTATCTCTTGTTTTTCGGCATTGTCGCTGTCAGCGCGCAACGTCGTCTTGCCCTACCGGATCCACGAAGTTGCGCCAACCGTAAGTATTAATAAAATTAGCATCATTCTAAAAAATACAACAAGTTTTTATTGAAACCAACGACGTTCAATGCCATTTTTTTCATTTTAGGAGTACGTCATTCAACCTACAGGGATGCACGTGGTGTAGCACATTCGTACTTCTTCAGTTGGGAACATCAGCCCACGAGGAGCTTGGAGGTCGACTGGTTGGATGCCCGTAACATTTGTCGTCGTCACTGCATGGACGCCGTTTCGTTGGAAACGCCACAGGAGAATGATTTCATTAAGCAAAGAATCGCTCGCGGTAAGATAGTCCTAAGAGGAATAAGAAAGAATTCTCAGCAAAAGAATGTAAAAATTACTCTTAAAGATGAGCATTTAATGATTCGAGGTTTGAAAGGTCCGTTGATGAATCCTATTCTCATCTCTGTAAAGTCGAAGTGACTTTCTCTCGAGTAGCATGGTCAAACTAAAAAAAAAAGGATAAGAAACAATATAGTAGATGCCCAGTACAGTAAAAGCACGTTAATGGACTATGCGTTTCAGTACATGTGCAGTAATTACTTATATGTGTATATATATATATATATATATATATATACACTATACATATGTACTACTATATATATATACTATATATACTATACTATACTATATATATATAGTAATGACCGATTACGACCCCATTCGCAGTAGATTCACGGAAATTGCGAAAGTGCCAGCATTGTTGTGGCGATTACGAAAATATAATTCTCGACTCGAAATTACCCATTTTTTCCATCCTCAGCCAAGAAATAATCTAATTTCAACGCCTCTCAAAATTCTCACGATGTAATAATAAAATTCGCGCAGTTAAGAAACGCCGTTTCCACATGCGAGAAGATGTTTTTGCGATACCTTAAAAGTTAACAAAAAATTTCGTCAGTTAATTTTACTCATGCTAATTTGCCTATTGTCTTCACCGGTTAATTTTAGGAAATGTTAAGTACATCTGGACTTCCGGTCGCAAGTGCAACTTCAATGGGTGCGACCGTCCGGATCTTCAGCCGCAGAATGTAAACGGATGGTTCTGGTCAGGTTCCGGTGCTAAAATTGGTCCTACGACTCAGCGCAATTCTGGCGACTGGAGCAATACCGGTGGCTATGGACAACCGCAACCTGACAACAGGGAAGCTGCTCAGGTGAGAATTATTGTAAATTACAGTTGCGAAGCAACGAAGTGAACGCGAGAATAATTTCATCATTCGAAAAGATCATTTCACCCTTTTAAACAGTAATTTATGTGTATATATATATATATATAGGACGCATGCGTACTTTCACCTAGGAGTTTCTATATGCCATTTTTTTATCCACAGGGCAACGACGAGTCTTGCCTCTCGATCCTTAACAATTTTTACAACGACGGAATCAAGTGGCACGACGTTGCCTGCCATCACGTCAAGCCATTCGTATGCGAGGACAGCGACGAACTTTTGAACTTTGTCGCATCGCGAAATCCTGGTATTCGCCTTTAAGAAGACTTTGGAAAATTTCAATTAGACGGTCGAGTTGCACCGTAATTGTACTTTATAAGAACGTTCTAATCATCGCGATTATTTTAGTTTATTTATATTATACTAACCTTTATGGTAAGTGAGGAGTTATCATTAGTAAGCCAGTCTGCAAAGCTACATGTACAATTTTGTATGATCCCCTTTTTTTCGTATAAAAAATAAATATGCTGCTATTACACGTAGCAAGTAGTACCTGCAAGCTTGGAATGTTTATTCATTATACTCACGACTGAATATTTATTTCGTATCCTTGACTTTTACCGAATTTGAAGCTAAATGTGAGATGTTATTATGTAATTTTATTAAAACAAAATTTCCAAGCACACCAATTATACATTCTACTTACTTCGAGTGTGATAGCGCCATTGTGGTTTGTTGCACAAAAGATTACTTGGTTATCGACGAAATTTGTCAGTCGGTAACATACCAACTGAAGTGGCTGTTGCTTGTAGCGCCATCTTATAATTATAAGCGCCACCTTATAAATCAACTCGTAACTAAAGCCAAATAAGTCAGCTGTCATTTGTGTTTTGTAACAATCTTACAACAGCATTTTTGGAATTTCTGTCAAAGCTATTCGTCGTTAGTCAACGACTTCTCTTTCCAGATAATTAATTACAAAAAAGGCAATAACAATGAAACCTACTCTCGTGGCTGACGAAATGTTCCCAGAAGGAGCTGGACCGTATATGGATCTCGAGGAGGTAAAACACAACAGTTGAAATCCACTTATGATCTATAAAAGGAAAACATTACGTTTCGGTCCTACATGGCACTTTTAAAATGCTTATTCTTCAGGCAGGAGGATCCAGTGGACTCTTAATGGACCTAGCCGCGAACGAGAAAGCTGTGCACGCTGATTTTTTCAATGGTAACGATCAACCTTAAAACATAACCTCAAAAACGAATTAAATCGTATCAAAAAATCTTTCAGATTTCGACGATCTTTACGATGACGATGACTTGGATTGAATATAAGGAACCAAGATTGTATGTATAAAGTTGTAACGATCGCGTATAAGTAAATGCTAGAAGAAGTAATATCAAAATAAACTTACTCTCGCATATTTTTCTCAGTTTTTATTTTCTCTGCATATAACGCACAAAGTTATACGCTCTTATCTTATAGACAAGCGTTTACGTACACGTATACGTAAGCAAAATCGACGTACTAAAAGTATCTTGTAAATGGCCTTGTCCGCTGCACGTCTACGTGTACGCACGATCGAAATCCAACATTCTCATGATAATGGTATTACAATTTATTTAAACCTCCAGGTTCGAGCAGAGAACACGCGTCCCCAACAGGTAGTGATATCGTGTCCCACCCGCGTCGTACCATAGAATAGTACAATGAAATCGTTTATAAACGTGCCATAAGAAAAATGAGTAGTAGTAGTTAATATTTTTTTTTATACACGTACTGGTAGGTAATGCGTAATAAGATTAAAGATAATTCTTTATAATACATACGTACTAGCCGTAGAAACCAGTGAGACGATGCACGATTAAAATTAGCACCGAGTTTCAGTCACTCTGCACGTCCGCGGTTTTTTTAAAAATTCATTCCTCCAGTGAAATAGATGATTTCAAATTTACTTTCCATTCCCCTCTTCCTCCTTGTCTCATTATTTTCATTTTGTGTAAACTCCTTATCATTTTCTCTTACACAATTCAATCTTTGTGTTGCCTCTCTTCTCTACGCTATACTCGTGGCTCATCCTCTCCCGTGTTTCTTAAATCCGTACCGCTCTCGGTTCTCGGATCCTACCGAGGTAATTCCTAGTAGAAGGCCAACTCCTCGCGAGAATTTCGCCAGGATACAACGTCGCCTCGAGCACCACCTGGATGCTAGTTGACCTCAAGATCACTGTCGACCTGATCGTCCTGGTCACTCTCCTCGTCCTCGTCCTCTTCCTCGGAATAGTACTGAGAGGGTGGCGAGAGAGGATCTTCTGATAAGGATGTGTGCGACGAGGATGGCGGCCGTGAACCAGAACTTTCCAATTTGATTTCCAACTCGTCCATCGAAGTACTCGGTCCGGGAATGGTCACTGGTATAAATTTTTCCAGATCGCCAGACGCGAGTTCTATGAAAATATACATGATCACTACCTTCATAGGGGATTTGCAAGTTCCAAAATTAGATGAAAGTCTTCTGCCATTTTACAGCTATAGTAATTATATTATGGGATGCAGTAAACCTAATTGCTTAACCATTTCGATTATAGATAGTACACTTATTTATCTACAACTTGTTTCATACTAGAAACGACTGTTCTGTGTAAAGTAATGATGTACTTACGTTCTACGTATTTTTCAAGGGACTTGGGCACCATTAATTTTGCTTTTCGTAAATCCTCTTCTGAGCACTCTCCTTTCTCCAAACCTACACAAGAGTTTTTTCAAGGGTAACTGTTGTTGTAGAGACTTCATACGAGTAATGATAAAACTTACCAAAAGCCAGACCCATGCGTTTTAGAACTTCTATGTCGTCGTGGATTTCGAACTTATCGTTAAAGTTAAACAGGTACTCGGTTCTGAAAGTAATAGATATTATCATTAAAAATTCATTTTAACTTGGATTAATGAGATTTGCGTAGAATTAGAGTATTTTTGTTTTACTTGTCGTTCGAAATGCTGCAGTCTATGACAGTCTTTTTGCCGGTGTTGACTATGAGGAAGGGCAACTGTATTGCTGAGTTTGGCTTAGGTGGACCCTCGAAACTTTCGTTAAAGCGATTTCGCTCAACGAGGCTCTTGAAGGAGATGTGTTGAAGAATTAATTGATGTAGATGCTGCGTCTTTGCTTTGATCTTTTCGATTTTCTTTTTTTTATCCTTCTCCAAAGCGAGACATTCTTGAAGTGAATTTGTCGGTAACCCTAACCATCTGATTTCTTTCTTCTCTTTGGAGATGATGTTCATTGCCATGAGAACATTGAGTGCGTCATAGACACGTCTTCTAATATTCTTTTGATCATATTGCTGTAAAATAAAAAAGAATATTCCAATAACAATGGAAGAAGGGCTTATCGTAATCTGTGTAAATTTTTTTTATATGATATGTAATTATATGTTTTATTTCAAACCTGATCTGTCAAGGAGTTTATGTGAGCCGGATTTGTGAATTCCCCAACGAGTTCGTCGGCTACCTCGTTGTAAGACGTTGTACCTTTTTTCTTAACTTTCTCGCAAACTTTCATAGAGAAGTGTCTTAGACCTTTTCCAACCTTTTCTGTTTTCCTTCGTTTGCTAAAAAAATTCAAATGAAATTTCTATCCAGTTACAATTATACTTACTATTTTTAGTTATAGAAAATTAGTATTACTCTGGTACAAAATCGCCACTCTCTGTATCCTGACGTTTTCTAGAGCCGCTATGATCTAATATGGGACTGATGAATGTCTTTCCAGTTGAATCTTTGATAACTTGCTGACTGCCAGTTTGTTGCTGCTGTTGCTGTTGTGACACTATAGCCTGCTTTATGTCACTCTAAAAAATTTTAAATAACAGTCAAGCCTTATTACCATAAACATTTCTGATTCATTTACAAACAATACATTTGTTTAATTCACCATTTGAGCTGATGATAGTTGTATAGTTTTTGTCATCACTGATTCCCCTGGTTTAACAGTAGGCATCTTTGCATTTTGTAACGGTATTGTAACCAACCCTGTGAAAGACAAATTTCTATAGAAATCTATTATTGGACCCAAGGCTTCTTGTATAAGAGATACTCACGTTGGCCAGGAATTGAAGGAGTTTGTAAACTGATAGTCCTAAGGACTTGTGTACCAGATGATAAGATCTGGATAAAATAATTAAAGATTGTGTAAATCAATTGCATAAATTGTTGTATTGAAAAAAAAAGTAACACTGAACAGGGTAGGTATATGATAGTACAAGATAACTACATACCTGAGAGTCTTGACCAGGACTCTTGAAAACCTTGAGGTTACTTGTGTTTGTGGTGCCAACTAAACCACCAAGTGTTTTATTAGGCGTGCTCTGCACGACTTTGATCACTTGTGGATGTCCTGGAGAAGATATATAGACTGAGCCAAAACATATTATACCATTCAATAAGATTTGTAAATGACTAGTAGAAGGAACTGTATAATTATTTATGTTCTATATTTGCAATACATATTGTACAAAGGTCAATAGACCTGATAGTAAATTAAAATTTTATATCAATGCAAGAATAAAAGATAGAGACTACCATTATTGAATCAGTCTTGATAACTCAACAATGAAGAAAGATACACAGCTAAAAAACACATTATATTTCTTATGAAAAATGGAACAATATTACAATGCAAATATGCAGAAACAGCCTGGTGCTGTATTTAACATAAATTTTTATCTCTAACCTATTGATCAGAATAAATTGAGGAAAGACTGAATATTGAGTAACAGAGCACATAATACTAGCACAATTACTCTGATGCTTCAGAACAAAGTTGTCTGGTTTTACTGATAACAAGTTAAAAACAAAGCAAGTAAAATGATATAATTACAAGTGAAAAGCTACTGATTACACCGGGAAATAATACATTGAATGGAAGCACGTTTTCTCATTGCCAGAGGATTTCAAGGAATTTTCTAAGGGCGGTCCAGGATCCCGTATGGAGTAGCAGGAAGTATTTTGGGTTGGGTAATTCATCAGGAAATTCAGCATAAACCCCAAAACGAATTGATGGCCTGCTGAAAGGTATGAAATACGTATAGCGCGGCATTAAATAGAGCCAAGAAACATTACGACACGACGGCCATACATGCCTCGCGTTGGCGCGCGTACTTGCTCGACTTACCGTTGGCATCGTGTATGAGGAAATTCATCGTTTTATTTTGCTGCGTCATCACTGATACCTTGGGTACGATGTGGCGTGAAAAAGAGTCCCGTAGATCAACGGAAAATCACGGGAAAATAAAAAGATCATAAGGGCAGTAGCTCGTGCGGGGCCGACGTATCACCAAAATGGCGACTTCAGCAGGGCAACGTTTCCTCACGAAATAACCGATTAATGCCACGTAAGATATCACGCCGCTTTATGAATTATCAAACTAGACCGATTAAACTTTCCGAATACAGTAACCATGCTTTTTAGAACTTTCTCATGACAACGCACAGCCACGGGAAAATCCAGCTTTTTCCTGCAAATAGAGCGGAGACGAGCTTGGCGGCAGGACAAAGCTAAACAGCTGATTGGCCCGCACTAGTCACGTGGTCCGCTCCGATCCAGTCCGGAATATACACTGCGAACTTGTCAACGGATCGCACGCACCTAACTATTAAACCCAAAAACGTTAACTACGCAGCAACTCCAAGACAAGAAACCAAGGAGTTGTATAACTGTCAGCGGAAAATGCGACGTATTAATACCAATTAATAGTTTGTCATTTAAAATCTCCACTCGATTCAAAGATCTCTCAGGAGCTATACTTTGACTGTCAAATTTTTAATGAACAGAAAACATCTTTTTTTTTTAAATACATCATAAACTCTATAAATCCACTTGCTCCATTCTCATGGCACTTTCTTACTCTTTCCTATTTCTTGCGCCATGTTTTCTCGCTGAATGCTGCATACTCTAACGGGACACAGTCGAATCTGTTTGTATTCAGCACGTGACTTTTTGGGGAATTTAAAAATGGACAAGCTCGTACGATTTTGGTACTAGGATCGGGTGATCGTTTTGGCTAGATGGAACTCTGGATGGAATTTTGTCGCTTTTAATCTAGATTGTTTTATAGTCGATGAACTAGATGTATCCAATGAAGCGCTGTTTCAGTTCCGGTCCGTTGTTCCTTTGCAATAGACAGGACCGGTAAAATGGACGATATAGCATCCCGAGCATCCGATCATGTTTTAGAGGTGATATTTTCGTACCTGGACCTTCATGCGTTGAGAAACTGTTCGTTGGTGTGTAAGAACTGGTATAGATTTCTCAATGATGAGAATAATGACGTGTGGCGGATGCACTGCATCAGAAAACTCGCTCAAGAGGCACTCAGTTCAGATTTACTATCCTCGGTGCCGACTTATAAAGCTAAACTTCGGGCTTTTTATCATGCTTGGAATCCTAATGATTGTTCCCGCAATATTTACATCAAGCCCAATGGATTCACCTTGCATAGGTATTCGATAAGTTATATATTAAAAGTTTCGTTGCGCCGAAACTGATAGTGTCAAAGTGAGCTGTCAAAAATTTGCTGTAAATCGTCGTATCGTTAATAATTCTTATTTCACGTTTAATATTTTGTAAATTTTTATAAAGCACGCTATACTTTACACGTGGACAATATTTCCAAAGTAGTTTCTGTTAGAAAGAAGAGAAAGGTGTGTCAATTTGACAGTTTGTATTATAAAGTCATTGTATCGCCTCCCTGTTTAAATCTATGTGTGTAGCTTTGCATAGGCGCTTTGCTACCTTGTATGGTGACTATTGAAATTTTTTAGAAACCCTGTGGCACAGAGTACAGATGCTTCTAGAGGAAAGATAGGATTCAGACACGGTCGTCATGCGTGGGAAGTAATTTGGGAAGGTCCGTTGGGCACAGTTGCAGTAATAGGAATTGCCACCAAGGAAGCACCATTATTATGTCATGGTTATGTCGCGCTCCTTGGATCTGATGAACAATCCTGGGGCTGGAATCTTGTCGATAACCATTTACTACATAATGGTGATGCACAAGGGAATTATCCCTTGCTCAATAATGCACCCAAGTATCAGGCAAGACTTTTCTCATGATAGAATTCATAAAGATGCACCAGTGACTGAAACCATTTCTATCGGTATAAACTTCCAGGTTGGAGAAAGAATCAGGGTAATACTTGATTGCGATGACAATACCTTGTCATTTGAAAAAAACTATGAGTTTTTAGGTGTTGCATTCCGAGGTAAATATAATCACATACCTATCCATTGGCAATAAACTTTAAGTGTCTAATATCATTTTATTATCAGGGTTACCAGACAAAAGATTATATCCATCAGTTTCTGCAGTGTATGGAAACACTGAAGTTTCGATGGTGTACCTAGGACCTCCTTTGGATGGCTAACGATTCCAGACCGGTGGTGGAACGGCATCCCCAAGGAGCATAATTACCAAGTACAGAACAAGTACTAGGAACACAGTGCGAGTGCACAACTACGTACTGTATAATTTTACTATGTAAAATTTCCACATCGACCATTGGCGACGATCTTCCCTGGACGGAAACGCGCGTTGGTCGCTTTAGTCACTTAAATAATTGCCTCGATCAAAATGTACATAGTCCAAGTCCGACGTAGCTGTAAGTTCTTCGAAGATATAGAAGGAATGCTTATCTTGCGAGTAAAGCGACGTTCCTTTCGTCAAGAATCCACTACTTGCTCGCACACAGGAGAGAAACAAAATAATAGCTTTCATTTTCACCTTTATGCTGAAGAAAAATTTTAATTAACTCACCCTAAATTGGTTCCTGCTAATACGAGAAGGATATAAGAAAATTAATGAAAAAGAAGGATACAATATGCAGCGATATTTGCTTGTTTCTTCTTAACGATATTATTAGTTTCTTCTTGTAGATTATCGAGCACTGTACATTGAGTAATTTATATATTACCAATTTTTTACATGATCAGAATTGAACAGCACCTGATGCGCGTGTATGGTGTGATTCAGAATTATGAATGAGAATATTGGATCTGTGTGGTATGTTTGCTGTACGCATGAGTCATATAATTGAAAAATGAAGTAACGGCGGTAGCGAGAACACTTTTAATGTACATATTTATATTATATTAACGATACATCGTAAACTGTATTTATTATTGTAAGTAGGATCTTGTCGCATTATTTTTTCTAAACTTTTGTACAGAATTGTGTACATAGCGATTGCGAGAATGTTTGAGAAATAAACTTTTACCCTCGTACAATAACGAGAAACTACGTAACAAGATGGCTTTTCGTTCGTTCGAAACTAATCAATCAAATCGACAGTAACTTCAATTATTTCCATAAAGCTAAATATCGCGCATTTGACACCCTTTAATTTTGCAATTCTGTGCAAAGGTTGATTTCATTTTTTCAAAGACACGGTGCACCCATATTTTCGGTATACAGTGCAGAAGATTATTTAAAAGCGAGAAGTGAAGAAAGAAACGAAGATGTTTTATCGTTTTGGAACGAATATACGGCCATCTGTAAATAAATCATTGTTTTTAAACAATAACTAATTGAAACGTAAATCTTGTAGAGAACAGAGCCATCGACCTTATCGCAATTGCAGTTCTATCTATCCTCTAAGTTCCTATTAAACTTCCAACTTTATTACAATAATCTTAAGTTATTAATAGTAATTGATTTTTTTAATTTATTCTTTTGATTCATTACATTCACCGGACACGTGCATTTTCATAACTCGTCCATTAGAATAAGTACTTGAGAGTGTAAAGTGCAAATTTCGCTAGTGACTAGTATTCGTTGCTCTTGAGGCAAGATTGGCAAACCGAAACCTATTGAGGTTTCATCTATTAGATTAATCAATTTAATTTTTTTTTAATCTAGAGACTTTTCGCTATATACGTTGAATAATTTCGTGTTAATCAACATGCGTACGAGCATTGCCAATGTCAGCTGACTCTTGCTGATCATTTTTTATGATTTCTCGTGGAATTGGAAGTTCCAACGACGATTTTACTCGTGTCAGAGGAAATTTTGTGATAAAAAAATCAGCGGAATAAGACAAGAGTTTGCACAGGAAAGGGCAGAGAAAAGCCTGGTGCAGGAAAGCCCATAAACGATAATTTGGACCCTCAAAGGGATCTAGGACTGCTGGACACAGCATGTGACTAAGATTGACTTGTACGGGCTGCAAAAAAAATGTTGTATTTGTCGAGATAATTATTCAATTTTCTAAAGTTAGTATTACTCACCAAAGCAAAGGCTTGGAGTACCAGGAAATGATAAGCAAGATTAATTCCATAGCTGAGAACACACCAGCTTAGATCCCGCAGAGGCTCAACATTATAGACACCTTCAATTCAAGAAGCATTGAAAAATATAGTTTCTAATGTGTATATTGATTTTAAATGTAAAAACATCAGGGTAGTTCTATTGTTTAAAAGAGAGCATTTACCTCCAAGTCTAAATAAATAATATGGTATAACAACCATCAATCCATGTTGGATATAATACATAGATTTGTCTGCAAAAATCTGTAATGATCAAAATGTTAGTATTTAGAACAATATTATATAGTTTCACAGCTCATTACCTGTCGAGATTCTATTTCAGGAAACATGTAAGCAAGTGCAGGTCCATTCATAAAATTTAAATGTATTCTAAACAGAGCAGTGACAAACCTGCTTGGTTTAGCACTAAGCAGATACAATTGCACCGCAGTAATAACATGGCAAGGATTTAATAAATAAATCACAGTCCTGCTGGTAAACTTGAAACCAATTTCCATCCCAAATATTAGCGACATAAAGATCAGTAAAAATCTTCTCCCAACTCGATCATGATCGATCTGAACAGATTTTGGTATGCTGATGCGCTGGAGAGCCCATTTACCAGTAACGACAATAAATATCGTCACAAAGATAGTTTCCAGGATTTTTCGACTTGGTGACAAGTAATAAGCACAGTCCGGTCCAACATTGCGTGGGATCGAACTGTTTACACCACTATAAGCCCATTCAAACATTATCCGATAAGTTTACAGCACCCTGAGTCTGAAAACAAATCCAAATCCAATGTCTTAAACACAAAATGAGACAAAATAAATCTCTTAATTCCTTAATAACAGTTTAATGATTTCAAAGCATAGCTTCCTGACATTACATATCCCACCTGAAGATTAGATAAAACCAAAAGCCCAATCATCTAACAATAAAAAAGTAATAAATACAAATATAATTATAATCCTGTCATAGATCAATTTTTTTCGAATATGTCAAAAAATTCAAAGTGACATTTTTTCCTAAGATCAACACTACACTAATCAAATTATCATATCACTTTCAGGTTAATACAAAAAAGAACAGTAGAACCCTAATACATCCCAAGCATGAAAGTCTACTTACAACCATTCAAATTGTTACCTTCCTTATTCCTTCGTCGAGAAAATCCACTTTTCCTCGACCACGTCTTCGTGGCTCATCAATTCTTCCAGCGCATACTCGGGACACTAGTGCCTTGCTTTATGCACATATGTATGCATGTGTGTATATATATATAACAAAGTTGCGGATGTTACTTAAGCTTATTTAAACATACATACATATATTTTTGGATTATCCTTTGAAATATATTTTATACAATCGATCTGTATGACCCACAGCTGTTTCACGAAGAATAGCTAAAAATGCTTCCAGTTGGTTGAAAATCATTTGCAGTAAAGATACTTAAAATGCTAAACAAACCAAAGAGGTAATCATACGCCAAAATAAGAATTTCAGCGCTACGTGGAGGTATACTTGTTCTTACGTAATTGATGCAAAGCAAATAAATGATCCTTTGACATTTTCTCCATATATAAAAATATTATCGCTCTTGTGCCTCTCTGAATTCACAAAGTATAATAATTAGGTGAGCATTAGTTGGAATTCCCTTCTCCCGATGCATCCTCTTGCAGACTCTCTATCAAAGACAGATTTAAAATACTTGTTTTCTAATTGAATCAAGAAAGACAAAAACAGGATGTCAATTGAGAGGATGGAATAGGATATATTTATACAAACTCTCCAGACTCAACGTTGATATTAATGACACAAGCTATCTGTTCTCATATGTATCTTTATTTATGCCTTAGCACCTGTTTAAACAAGACAGGTGTGTAATCCAAAAATTAGTACTTCATTTATATTATATACAACTTTGTTTCTTTTTTCGAAAAGGCTTTTATCTACCATATACTCGACCCACGATGACTTCCGTTAACTCAGTCTCGCGACGCTCGCACGCGAAGCAGCACGAAACAAAGGAAATAATGGACTTATTAAATGAAAACAAAAAGAAAATAAAACAGCATTACGTAAGATTAAAGAAAGAGTCCCATGCCAAGAGAAATTCTGATCTCGCACTTTCAGTTTCACTGGCAAAATTCTCCTTTAATGATAATTGTATATAATATATACAAGCTGGAGCACTTACAGTGACCAGGTTGATTTTTTTCGGAAACGAAGCCAGATATGAGAAAAAGTTTTCCATACACAAGTTGTAAGATTTCAAGGGGGACCAAAGATTATGTTATTGAATTCCTTCCTGAGTGCAGGCGTTAAGGTAATTCGATGGCCAACTTTCATTTTTTTTGTCACTTCCGAAAAAATCGACCTGGTCACTATAAATGCCCCACCCTGTATGTACTTTTTTTTTTCACTTCGCGCTGCTTCCCAACAACGAACCACACACTCGAAGCATCGAATTTAGCTGAGAGAGAAAAGAAAAAATGTTTTCACGCATATTTATGCATAACACGTAACTCTATTCAGTGATACAGTGTAATAAATTTACGTACTGTGAATGCATACATAATGTTAGACACTGCATCGAACGCTCTTCTTAGAAAGAAAATGTAAAAAACAAACTATAAAAGTTATATCTCGAATAAAGCACAATGAACGTTCTCCGCGGGAGTCCTTAGTTTTTAAATCATTTCTCATTGAATTAAAAAGAGATTCTTGTTACTTAAGAACTGATAGCTACTGTTTTTTTAGCGATTTCATTGATACACTTATTGTAATTTCCTTCTGTGGGGCTTAAGCCAAGACAAGCTATTCCTATCATTCCATTGAAACTCGAGTGGCTTCCTTGGAACGACATTTTCCTTTTTCTTTGTTTTTGATATAGTTTCTGATGTAAAAGTTGTCGATATATGAAAAGAACGTCCGCGGCAGAGTCGAGCAACGTGCGAAACGCATAAGGGACAGATTATTCTTAGTGTAGTAAAGACTTGTTGATAAAGACGAAAAAATTCGTACGGTAGACGGTATATTGTAATGTAATAATAGAAAACCTGGGCTTTTTCCAGATTACATGCTAAGGTAGCCACGTGCCTGGTTACGTCTACGTCCCACTAGATAGGCAACCAGAACAATGACAACTAGAACCGCCAGTGCGCAGCCTACGGCAATTGGTACAATGTCTGGGGTATCGAATGCGCAGTCTTCGGCTGAAAATAGAAAACAAGAAGAATATTTGTGTTTAATACAATTGCCAATATGCAATGTTAACTTTATCAGATTCTTAAGTAATTTTATCATTGGTTACCGAAACCAAAGGTGGTGCTGTTATCTCCACGGAAGGCTTGGAATTGCAGATCGTCGATTTTCAGGAATCCTACAGTTTCATTGTGTCCTTCAGCAGTGAGATTAAGACTTTGAACTTTGAGACACCGGTAGGAATTGCTCAAAGAAGTGCTGAATTGGTGTGGCTCGTGAATCAGTTTGACGGGAGTGCCTATAAAAAAAAAAGAAGAAAGAAAAAAGAAAACCATAGTACTTACGAATATCGTTAATTTCTTATATCTTCGTAAAGATCATGAACAGTATAGAAATATCCATAAGACGTAGTAGTTGCAGTTGCTAAATTTATGATTAGAATGTTAAAAAAAAACTTAGGGACATACTGACACTTTAGTTTTCTTCAGAATATCATGCGTTTTACTGGGTCATAGGTTAACAGTTTTTTACTGTTAATTTTATTGGTTCCCTCAAGGCATGAATTGGATTTCATGCTATCAAACAATGCAATCTTGGGGATTATTGGTCTATTACAATACTCTCTGCATGCATACAGTAAATTATGCATCTCATGATGCAGAAAATTCAATGACTCATGAGATTATCAGTCGCATATCGTGTTAATTAGTGTCAAATGAACTTCATAATTATTTATGATTCTTTTTTTTTAACGATAATTTTCTTTATTACTTTGTAATGTATGAAAACTGTTCTTTGTTCAGCGCGATTTTTTCGTTTTGTTTATTATACTCACTGGTAATAATGTTGGGGAAATTTTGAGGATCTAATATCACCTCAAGGTGATGAAGAGAATATTGCTTCGTAGTGCTATTTTGAACGAAATGCAAGGTCAGACTATTGTTCACGGTTATAGAAGTATTCCACGATAGGGTCAAGTTTTGCTCAAGACTTCCGCAAACACCAGTGGCCAAAGTCTTGTTATCAGCAGGAAGATCCACCTCTTGGTAAGTTTCCTAAACAACAAGAACTTATTAGTAATACATATGTAATTGTTTATAAATCAATAATGAAAAATTTATATGAAATGTTTATAATGACAGTGAGTAAATATCATAATTGAGTCCATCCTTACATTTTGATCTTTGGTTGTATAAGAGATATTGAACTGCACAGCCATTTCTATGACGATACACGTTGCGTTTGTTCCATTAACAGTCCACATACCAGCAGTTGGTGCTGGTACAGGTGCAGGAGTCGTAGAAGTTGGTGGTTTAGAAGTCGTAGTAGTTGGTGGTTTAGAAGTCGTAGTTGGTGGTGCAGAAGTCGTAGTAGTTGGTGGTGCAGAAGTCGTAGTAGTTGGTGGTTTAGAAGTCGTAGTAGTTGGTGGTGCAGAAGTTGTATTAGTTTGTGGTGCAGGAGTCGTAGTAGTTTGTGGTACTTCAGTTGTAGAATTTTGTGGTATAGGAGTTGTTGAGGTCTTAGGAGCAGTAGTGGTTGAATTAAATATTACAGGCACAATATCATCAATTCCAGGTACAATCTGAACTCCTGTTGAACAACAAATACAAGAATTAAAATAACTTCCGTTTTTAAAAATCTAATAACATCAGCAACGATGTCTAACATCATACTGCATATTTCATAAACATAAAATATTTCTAACATTTTACCGTAAAAGTAGTCAATAATGAATTATTAGAATAATCTTTCACCCAACTGTATTATTTCAACACAAATAGAACTTAACCATTGAACACAAGAATAATACAGGAGTGAATTAGACTCAATCGATCACTAAGAATTATCAATCTCATCTAACTTCAATAAGTTTCCTGAAGAAAACGAGACTAAGCTGCTCCTTGTTTGACAATGTACAGAAACTATACAGTGCAGAAGGCTCATACGATTTACACAGCATATATACCAATCGATACAATAAGTTCATTGTATGATTATATGCATATTTGTAAAAAGAGAAAAAAATTAAAATATATTCGATTTCCAGAACATATTAAAGAAAGGTGAAACTAGAAAAAGGACAAAGATGAATCACATCACCAATGGGCGTTGCATAAAATACACGTGGAGCATAAAAGGAGTATATCGTCGTGAACTTTCAACGACATCATTTTTATCTAAAGTAAAATTGTATCGATAGCTTTCCCTGTTTACAAAATGAGCATTACGGTCAAAGGTCAAGCAACGCTGAATTTATCAGTGGCATTTCGTCATGCTGAGATTTTTGCCACTGTATGAAATAATTCCGGGCAGGGATAAATCTCTGACAGAGATGACGTCGCTACAGCATTAAACAGCGATCCGTACAATGACAAAGGAATGCAGATAACAATTAATGGTGGCAAATATACCACAGGTCTCGTATCTGCCTCTAAACAGAGCAATTCAAGTGCCAGAATTCCTTGAAGCTTGAAAGAGAGGTGAATGTGCATTTTAACGATAATGCATCGTCACGCAACGTACTCGTTCCTTCTACCATTGTATCTGAACAAGCAATGTATCTGATAACGTATATATCTATCAGCAAAGATATCTTACCAGTGGCTAGTGTGGCCGCCCAACAGAGACACAATATTCCGACTTTCAACATCTTCGCACTAGACATTCTTCGTCCACTTTTACACTAGATTATATCTTTCTACGATATTGATACAGGCTGCACTGTATTGGAAACCGATTAACGAGTAGCTTAACACTTGCACCCGTTGAACGTCACGGGAAGACAGCAGATATCCAAATGGTGTTAGAGAAAAAGTCATAAGAAAGCATGATACTAATAGACGAGGAATAGCCACCAGCGATTCTGCGCATTTGAATAGGACGTCACTGGACCTTCTCTACTCTGATTGGCTGACTTTACGTATTTTGAATAGCTACACCGCAACATCAGTTTCATTAGCAGGGGCCACCTTCTTCTAAGCCTAAACGTAAATAAGTCCCCTCAAATTGAAACGGATGTCGCTTTTTATTACGACGTCATTGTCCCTGCGCAATCTTGACTAAAATACGATCGCTAGTGGCAATACCTAGTTTATTTGTATCATGGAAGAAAGTACGTTGAGACATGAGATGCGCTCGCAAGGACGTTTTCAAATAGATGGGATACTTGAATTTTAAGCATTCTCATTGGCGCTTTTTCTCATTGTGTTTTTCCCATTGGTCGGTTTGTTCAGCTTCGAGATCTGTGACGCACGAATTTTGGAACACTCCTAGGAAATGTACCGGAAACATACTTATGGCGGGAAATACAAATGAGTATTAAGACATTTTTTATATATTACAAAAGTAACGAAAAATAAATTCGAAAACATTCAAGGCTTTGTACTGTATGATGTAATGTTATCTAAATCAATACTGGCTAGATCTATGTCATCCATGTCATCCGTTTCTAATAAGTGATGGAATTCATTCTTCGAAGGCACATTCTTATCGGGTTCATTAACATTTTTAGCGGTTACATCGATTTTCGTTGAATGCTCATCCTCGAGATATTCCTCCAGGTCATCCACCCATTGCAGTTCTTTCGAATCGTTTAATTCACTCGAAGATGACGTGGTGGCGTTGGTAGAACTTTTTGGAGGACTCTTTACGACAAATGCATCCAGACGAGTCTGATTCGTATCCTCGTGATTAACAACGTCCACATCACTGAATGAGATATTCTGATTCAGACCAGCTGCATTTAGTATTCCCATTTTCCTTTGTATCATAGGCCATAAGTGATCGTCCACTGTATTCTTTGCTATGAGGTAACGAATTATTACGCTACCATCCTGGCCAATTCTGTGGGCACGATCCTCAGCTTGACAAAGAATCTATGAATAGGGATGATCATTATTCCTTAGGTTCTCGGTAAACTGTTGTGACGATTTCTACTTACTCCAGGATTCCAGAACAATTCAGCGAAGATTACCAATTGGGCTGCTGTCAAGGTGACACCAGCATTTGCTGCAGTTATTGATAAAATTGCAACTAAGTATTCGGAGCGCTCTTGAAAAATATCTACGAGTGCTTTTCGTTGCTCTGATGTCGTTTTTCCATCGATTCTTATGTATCTAGAAAAAAATTATTGACATTAATATGATTGGTTAATTCTTTGGATTACTGTATAGAGTTTTATAGTTTACTTGATCTTTTTCTCTTCTGCCAATTCGCTTATTGAATCTAGGACACATTGATGATGAGCAAATATAAGAAACTTCTTGTTGGAGGTTAACAGATTGGAGATATAATCACTGCGGATAATTATGGTGTTTTATATAATTGTTTTTAGTTCTAGTTACAGAGTCATCTAATACATGTTTAATTCCTCACCGAACAGCTGGCAAGCGTGCTCTACTTGACTCTGAGTAATATTGAAGCAGCGCATTGTGCCTGTCTGTGCCTTTTATACTCTTTTTCTCATAATTCTTAATTGCTTGTTTCATCTCTTTAGTACCTGACTCTATCAGGAGAGGATCTAACATTATGACTTGCCTAAAATAGATCAATGTTAGATACAATTACAGAATATATATTTTTGGAAAGGAATTACTCTACCTTATCTTTGACGGAAGTTGCTTTAGTACGTCACTTTTTAATCTTCGCAACAAACAACGAACTTCCAAGAAGATTCGCAACTCCTGCAGATTCGAGGATCCTGAATAATCCCAACCAAAGTTTCCCTTAACAGCAGCACAATACCTGACAGCGTATTCGTGAAATCTGGAAGACATATTTTTGTTGAATATACATAAATCTTTTATGGGTAAACTAAATTATCAAGAAACTCACCCCATGAAATGAGGCCAGATTAAAGAAATTTGTGAGTATAATTCCATTGGGCGAGAAAGTGCTGGTGTCCCACTTAGTAAAATTACGTGACGACTCTGGGCCACAATTTTTTGCACAGCTTTCGTTCTAGCAGTTTTTGCACTTTTTACAACATGCGACTCGTCCTACAAATAAGGATAACGAAACATACAATCTTTTCTCACATTGATAGAAAGTTTATGATATAATTGAACTTACTAGAATTATTGTAGGAAAATTTCCTCTCTCAAATGTATTTATGGCTCTACCTAATAAGTCATATGAAACTATAACAATTTTAGCATCATCTATGAAATCTTTTCCACTTGTGAAATGATGTATATACTGTGTGGGTACGGAAGGCAAAAAATTGAAAATTGCTTCAGACCACTGATACCTTTGTAAGAAAAAAATTGGACGTGTATATAGTATTGATTTTATAAAAAATTTATTGTTTTACCTGACCGAGGATGGTGTCACTATTAAAAGAGGCCAGTCATCTTTATAATAATGGACTATACCCAATGCCTGTATTGTCTTTCCTAATCCCATGTCATCAGCTATCATGCACCTGCCACCTCTTTCAATTCCAAAACTATCAAATTGACAAAAACCATTTACAAGGATTTTATGGAAAGAAAAATATTTAAATCATACACTTATTAATATTTACCAAATGCCATCACGTTGAAAAGGCATCAGAATTTCTAGTAGTTTTGGATCTATCGATGACAAATCTTTTTCAAAATTTTTCTTTTCTGAGTCTTTATATTGTCTAAGGGTCTAAGAAAATGTAGGATCAATATTTAAGTAAATCAATGTTGTTTACTCAACTATATATAACATAGTGAATGGTCACTATACCTTGATAACAACTTTTGGTATAGGAGTCACACGCACATGTGAATGGTCGCGTGTAATTTTTCCTATTAATGTTTCATAATCATTCAAATGACAATTCCATATCTTTGATGACAAATCTAATAAAAGTAAAACAAGATCAGTTTATCTATTCATGTGTTTCAGTACAAGAAATAAAATTATTGAATTACCATAAGTTTTACTAGGAATGGTCTTTACAGTCTCAATCAGAGGTTGAAAAAAGGGATAAATATTGATAGCAAATCTTGTCTTGCTGATCATATAAAATTCAGCAGTGATCTTAGTTTCATCTGGTGGAAACTCTTTCTTGTTCCCAAAAAACGTTTGTGCATTAATTGGTTTATGACTAGCAGAATTTTTCCCATTAATTGGATCAAACCGATACGAGGGAAATTTCGAACGAGACACAAATGGACTGCTTGGATTACATTTCATAGTATCTTTTGAAACCATGCTTGCAGTAATAGGACTAATAGAAAGTGCCACAGCTCCTACATTATTAACCCTCTTGAAGAACAAGAATCGAAATTAGAATATTGCAAAGAGAGTCATAATCAGGAAACCAGAAAATCAATTTCAGTGTTCATATACCATGTTTTGCTGGGCACGTTGCTTACGCTGCAGAGCAAGCAAACGCTTCCTCTCAATTTCTTCCTCTGAACATTGTGTGCCTGCAATGCAATAATTTCTAACAGAATCAATAAAAAAAATACTCCATAAATCTTATAAAACATTTTAAAAATATTTCAATTTCATCTAACATATTATGCATAAATATATATGGACCATTTATTTTGAAAGTGGTGTAAGTCCATTTTTTCTTGTTTCGAGAAAATTAAAGGTTAGTATATCTGTCAATAATTAAGCATAAATTACGTGATATCTCATTTTTTTTTAAATGGACTTACATCATTTTCAAAATAAACGGTCTATATATCAATGAAATATTTAAATTTACAGAAGTATTGACATTCTACTAACCGGACATAGCAATAATTGTATATCTGAAAGGATCTAACAATTAATTTTTGCTCTACATTCTAGCGTATAGAAATTTAATCAAAAATAAGAAATACGCCAAAAACTGATACACTACGAGGCACGTTTGTTCGATGGTTCTGGATGGTTCGAACTGGTTCGATCTTTCAGCTATCAAAATATCAGGCGCAGATTGGCATGGATTGTACGAATTGGAGAAAGGATATTCAATCTATATAAGCATAAAGCTCTAGTATTATCTGCTGGACAAGCTGGATACACCGGAGAAGAGTATAGTTTAAATACTATAGTGTCACTTCATTTTCCAAACAATCAAGCTTCTATGATTGTATGGCTGTCAGTTTTTCGTCGGCACTCTAAAAAATGCGAATGAACCGCTATCGTTGAATCGTTTGTTTCAATTAGAAAATTTATCGTAGCGCAGCTGCGTGTTTAGTACGGCAGAATTTTCTAGATACTTAGAAAGAAAACATGTCATCTCCGTCAACAACGAAATTTCCTTTGAAGGAATTCCAATTATCGCGTAAGTATTGTCACGGTTATTTAATTTAATGTAACAATTAAAAATAAATATATTATTATTTACAGCTGAAGATCATGAATTTGTTGTACCGAAAAAGGCTGTCAAAGTTCCTGATGATATGACACTGTGGCATAAGTCGGAAGCCTATTTCGTACGTTCAACAATTATTTGATGAATTTATGTTTGTTTTGTTAACAAAACAATATTATTGAACTACATTTTCTAGGAATATTTAGGTTTCATTCTTGCCCTTAACGAGGCTGTACAAGGAAAATCTTTAAATGCTGATTTTCCACAGTCACCAACAATTGCCAAAGTTGTAGAAATGTTAAATGTATTTGATGAATGGATTACTCAGATTCCACCTGCTGAACAGCCACAACGTTTTGGCAATAAATCTTTTAGGATCTGGTATGCAAAATTAAAAGAGGTATGAATATCAATATTGCCTTTAACTTTAATTGATACAGTTAATCTTATAGTATTATTGTTACAGTATGGTATTGAGGAACTCAAGAAAGTTTTACCTGAAAGATTTCATCGTGCAGTGCCAGAAGTTGTGGAGTATCTATTTGAAGGGTTTGGCAACGCGACACGGATTGATTATGGAACAGGACATGAAATGGCATTCATAATGTTTCTGTGTTGTATGTTTAAAATAGGAGCATTGACAGCTGATGACAAAATAGCAGCTGTCCTCAAAATATTCAATAGGTAATAGAACAGTGAAATTTTATTGTAAATTTTCCACCATTTAAAATATTGGTAATTTCTCACGATGCATCCTTCTTTTTATTTTTTACAATAGATATCTAGAACTGGTAAGAAGACTCCAACTGGTCTATAGAATGGAGCCAGCTGGTAGCCATGGCGTTTGGAGTTTAGATGACTATCAATTTGTACCTTTCATATGGGGTAGTGCCCAGTTGGTCGGTATGTATGTATTAAAATAAAAGAAAACACAAAAGAATAATTTTAAAATAAAATTATTTTAGGTCATCCGCGTATTGAGCCACATCACTTTGTGGATCAAGATGTAATAGAAATGTATAGCAAGCAGTTTATGTTTTTGGGATGCATAGAATTTATATTAAAGGTAATCAGGTGAATGCCATATAATAAATCAAATGAATACATTTGATTTAACCAAACAGGTAAAAACTGGACTATTTGCTGAGCACTCTAATCAACTCTGGAACGTCAGTGCAGTCTCGTCTTGGATAAAAGTGAACAGTGGTCTCATAAAAATGTATAAAGCTGAGGTAATTGAATTAAACAAACCATTACAAGATGTATAGATCATTTAAAAGTGATATCGTATTACAATTTACAGGTCCTAGCAAAGTTTCCAGTTATTCAACACGTGCTGTTTGGTTCATTATTATCCATAAAGGCTGCACCGATAGGAACAAATCTTAGAGCAACACGATTGAGTCATCCTCTTCCACCACCTACACCCGAGGCACATACGACATTATAATTTGCAAATATTTTCATATGTGTGGCTTTGATCAATGCTTTACCCTGGCGCATGTATGAGCATATTTCGCCATTGTAGTTTGTACAAGAAATTCTATCGTTTGTAATAAAGTTGTACATTAACCGTTGAAATACGTACATAAAAGTGCATTATGACTCGTGAATTATTACTGTGAGAATGAATCAATTGGCTTAAAGTTTGTTAAAAATAAAAACTCTTCGATACAGCTGACATTTGTGTAAATATGTTAGCAATTGCTTGTCCTGTTATTCATTCTATCTTTTGACAAGAGTTCATTGTTAAAGATATAAAATCAAAAGTAAGCAAAATTGACATGAGCCGCCCTCTTTATCAAGAAAAATTCGATTTATTTCTGCGCAATCAGTTCTGTCAGACTGGTTACACGTATACAGACTACTGCGTCAAGTCAGTTGCAAACGTGGCGGCGCTGTTGTAGGAAATTTGATTTTTTAGGTTATCCTGTAATTGTCACATCAGTTCTATAAAAAAAATGCGGTGGATTGTTACTTTGTGTATTTTATTAATAGGTTACAATAATCTTGCTACGGCATATTTTGTAACAATAGACGCTCACGCAGAAGAATGTTTCTTCGAAAAGGTCGAATATGGTACCAAGATGGGTGAGTAGCATCAGGCATCTTGACGGCAAGGATCCCATAAGACTTTTCTAAACCATAATTTAATTACAGGACTAACTTTTGAAGTGGATGAAGGTGGTTTCCTAGATATTGACTTAAGTATTGTTGGTCCTGATGGGAAAGTAATTCATCAGGGTGATCAGGAACGAGGTGGGAAGTATACCTTTGCTGCACATACCCCTGGTGTGTACACATATTGCTTTGGCAATCAAAAAAGTACAATGACTGTGAAAGTCGTAATGTTCAATATCGATATCGAAGAAAATTCTAAGGAAGGAGGAGATAAAAATACAGCAGTAGAAGGTCACGATGGTGATGCATCGAATCATGGCAAGCTAGATGATATGATCAAGGAACTGACCAACAGTCTTCGTGGAGTTAAAAATGAACAAGAGTACATGCAGGTGAATTGAGTGAAGCTGGTTTTCAATTTTTTTTTGTCATTTGGCTATATGATTTACGATGGTTTATGTTTTCCAGATGCGGGATAGAAATCATCGTGCTATCAATGAAAACACAAACTTCCGTGTAGTTGTGTGGTCGTTTTTTGAGGCCTCTGTTCTGGTCTGTATGACTTTGGGTCAAATCTATTATCTCACACGATTTTTCGAAGTCAGAAGAGTTGTCTAGTGTTCATACTATGAATCTTTATATTTATATCATTCATATAGTAAATAAAAAAAAATATTCAAATCTTGCATCACTTTTATTATGTGTTTAATGAATCGGCAATAGTGTATTATTTACAAAATAAGTCTAGTGTATTTGGATAACCTCAGAATGCTATATAATTTTTCAAAATTTGTAGTTTATTCTACTACTGCCCAAGGTTTCTCTGGTCTATCGGAAGACCAAGGTTGTGGATTATGGTAGCACTTATGCTCTTGTAAAGTGATACCATTCCTTTTTATTTCCTTAAGAAACAATTTAATTTTATCCCCATCAGATGATCTTATATCACATCTCATAAAATATATCCCACTTTCCAGACAACGTCTGGCCAATATTTGTCCAATATTTTGATAAGCAGAAGCATCTTTTAATCTATAATAAGAGAGAGATAAGGAATTTCAAAGCACCACTAACAATTATATTATTAAAAATGAACAAACCTATATAGCTGCTTCTTAATAGACCATTCTATGGTTGATGCAGAAACTACAGGACCATTTTGAAAGTGAATCACCTCAGCTGTAACGTGACGTCCTGTCTTTGACAATTGTAATCTACAAAAAAACATATCAAGTGTCTTCCCATGAATATAAAATTCCGCCAAGACTTACTTGTGCCAGTAGTTACGACCAGGTTTTTCCAGTTGATAACCGACAGGTTTCCTAGCAATTCTCAACAATTCCATATTTCTTGGATTCTTATTTTCCACCTTAGTGCAATTATTCAAAAGCTCAGCATTACTATGCACTTGTCGACCATATAGAAAGGATGACAAAGTATATCCAGTAATCCTAAGACTCTTGACACCCACATAACTGGCATACATCCTCCTTTGCTTTTAACAATTCTGCTAGAAGAAATTTTTTTATCCAGTATCAAATAACTTTTGGAGTCCCCGGTAACATAACCTTTAAAAAAAAAGTAGAAACCGTATTAAATCTTAAAACCATAAAATACGTAAATACAAGAGCTCTAACGTGCATTAAAAATATTCTGGTGCTCCAAAATTCTCTTCGCTAATCAAGAAACCTACCGCTGCAGCCGTATGTTTTCGATTGAAGTCAAATCCGATTGGATAAAAAGCAAGGCTTACCATCTAACATCTCCAGCATAAAAAGTTCCTAGGAAAAAGAGATGAAAGAAAGAAAGAAAGAAATATGGCGGTGGTGACGAGACGATGTGGGATGGGCGTCATGTCGAGTGAGTGAAGCTTTTTTGCCCCGACAGTGATAATGAACGGTGATATCGCTTCCGAGGAACATGGCGATCTAGCGATTTTCAAGTGAGCGTCGTATAAGCGTTTATCGCGCAAGCACTGAACGATTCATCGTTCGTCGCGGTCGCCGAATTTCTCGGCCCCCTTGGCGCTTGTTGCAGAGTTGCAATAAGAAACCAACTGTCGAATAAATCTGCACAAGAAACGGAAAATTCGAATAGTCTGACAGCACCCTGTCATTTCGTGTATCATATTTCGACTTGGATCTTCGACAACGCGAGACTCATCCGATAGCAAAAGAAAAAATGGCTCGGGAATACGACCACTTGTTCAAGCTGCTCATCATCGGGGATAGTGGTAAATATAATGTAATCATTTGTCGTTAGCGTAATTTGTAGTAACGGGGAGGCGTTATCAGTACTGATTGCAATCGTTGTACCCTCCCTTAGGACTTGTGATTCATCTATAAACATTGAGAGATTAATGATTTTGTGACAGTATCGTTGTGACCAATTGCTAGCTTGCGTTGTACACCTTATCAAATCATTTAAGAGCAATTGTGAGATTATTGTATCTAATGTTTTCAAATTGTGATGTTTCTCTTTGTTAAGAATATCTATACTGGACATGTCTTGATATTGTGATTGGTATTTTTTGTATATAGCTTGAGAAATATTTTGTACCTATAACAATGTAAATTGTACAGATGCAATGAACATATAAAGCATCATTTATAAATGATCATTGTAAAAAATCTAATAAGTAAATGGAAAGAAAAATATTAGTGCAGGGAACATTCAAAGTGTGTTTGGTATTAAAAATGCAAGTAATATGTTCATGTAAATAAATATATGCAAGAAGACATATTTCAAACGAAGGAATGTGATTATTCCATGAAAGGAATATTCACAAGAAAAATTATACCACAAAGCAATTAACAGTCCTCAGCAAAAAGGATTTAATGTATATGCCGAATCAACTAACGTAATAGATAGTCCATGCTGTTGCAGCACCCACTTGAGAGACATCAAAAACAATTGAGCCTTTAGTTAAAGAGTGAACACTATAAAATATACTGAAAAACATCATAGCTAGCAGTGCAGTTAGGAAATTTTGTATGGCATAGCAAACAGCCTGAAATACTCTTATCAAGAATATAAAATAATTATACCAATATTGTCACAAACAATTTCTTAACAATATTGAAATGGAAAAACATTGGGCAAACCTTACTATAATCATGAAAACACATTTGTACATCAATGTTCGGCTGTGCGATTTAACTTCTGTTTCTGCTTGGCTGTTGAAGGTGTAGGGAAAAGTTCGCTGCTAGTAAGATTTGCAGACAACACTTTTTCCGGCAGTTACATTACCACGATAGGGGTGGACTTTAAAATACGGACGGTGGAGGTAGACGGTGAGAGAGTGAAACTCCAGATATGGGACACGGCTGGTCAGGAACGTTTCCGGACAATAACTTCCACTTACTACAGGGGGACGCACGGCGTGATTGTCGTCTACGACGTCACCAGTGGCGATTCATTTGCCAATGTCAAGAGATGGTTGCACGAAATAGAGCACAATTGCGAGGTGGTCAACAGGGTCCTAGTAGGAAATAAAAACGACGCGCCCAACAGGAAGGTTGTCCTTACTGAGGACGCACAACGATTCGCCTCACAAAGTGGAATTCAGTTGTTCGAAACCTCCGCCAAGGACAACGTCAACGTTGAGGAGGTATCTCATCACTATTAAACCTTTAATTACTACCAGCAGTCTCCCCCTTCTAAATTTCCTGTCACTCTTTCATAGACCTTGAATTCGCGTATGATAACTCTCGTTATCCCTTTACTTGCAGATGTTCACAGCGATAACACGTCAAGTTCTACGCACAAAGAAAGAGCATAAAGAACGTCAGGCGATACAAACAAGCGAAACAGTGAACTTGAGAAAAGGGACGAAGCAACATAGAAAAAGGTTCTGTTAGCACAACATCCCACGTATACGAAACCGAGAAAGAAGAAATTAAAGAGAGAATTTATAATAATGAAGACACAAAAAGAAGAAGCCTAACTATCCTTGCGAGTATCATTATCGTTTAAAGGATAATAGGACAGAGCAAAGCAGAAAGTCATAAGGACGTTAAAGCTTTCTGTGATAATCCGTGATAGTAGTCGAAATACCAATATGGCTATTCCTATTATTCCTTCAATAATGACAAGTATTGTTATGTTACGTTTCGTTGTGTTACGTTAATTTTAATCTCATATCTCTCGCTCTCTTCTATCTTTTCGGCATTTTCTCTGTTTTACCCATCCCACTTCGTCCATCCCTTCGTCTATCATCGGATACTCCTCGCGTCAGGATCGAAAACTCGTGTCGACATACAAAATATGTACATACACAGTATTACGAGAAAAGAAAAGAAAATTAAAATAATAAAAAGGCTCCTCGATTGATTAAACCGAGAGAGCGCACTTTCGACAACCTACCGCAGTTATAAACAAATTGTATTGTAATAATAACGGTAATTATTATACATTTATATTATAAATACATAGGAATCTACGTAGTAGCCCGAAGTGTCTTTGTTTCTCTTATCATTTATATATATATATATACACCTTCATTCGTGTTATTAACCACAGAATCACGTTTCACAAATTGTCTTTCTTTTTTTTCGTTCTTTTTAGTCTTTTCTCTTGTTATCTCTCTTCGTTTTCTAGTGGCCTGCGAAAGCCTGCTCCACTGTACTGAATAGAAATGCTAAACAGCCAAACCTCAGTATAGAGCCATGAGATATAAGAGCACTACCCTCCCATCCTTCATCGAGTATTGTGTTTCTTTGCCTTTCACACTTACTTACTGAGCATTTACACGATATTTTCCTTATTCCATCGACCTCATTCTCATCCTCCACGTCTTGCCCGTGGTTTCTTCTCTGATTGGCTATGGACTTTATCATTTCTGTTGTTCCCTGATCTTTGCTCGATATATCCTTACTGGTTTCTTTACTGGTTACGTTTGTGAAGTCACAGGAATATAAGACACTGTCCACAGTTGTACCGTGCTCACTGTAGTTCAATAATTCGTACCTTTTGGTGGTCTGAAAGTATAAGAAATGATAGTTGAAATACATTTTTTTTAAATATTTGTACAGCGTGATTTTTTTACCTCGTCGAAAAATATCACTGCATGTTTCGGAGACGTGCAACTGCAGCTTCCATATTTACTGAGCAATAAGTCACTATCGGCACCTGTGCCGATAATCAATGTTTTTCGTGCCATAAAAGTTGGTGCAGCAGGTTTTCGACTTAGGGAGAATAGTGCCGCCCTGGCCTTCGCGTGACAATCGATAGTCTCGTAGTCATCGCCAGCTGGATTTAGTATTTGCTCCAGTCTTTGTTGAGCGAGCGCCTCGAGTACAGGTCTTTCTAAAAGTTGCACTCCTTCCTTGGGATTAAAATCCAAACGACCATTAGTGTAGGTAATTCTGTTCCTCAGATCCTTCTGTTCGTGATGCACTGGATCACTTCCATTCGTATGGAAACAATTAACTCTGCTTGTATCACAAGCATTTTTTATTCTCTCCTGGTCCATTTCACTAGGTTTGTCCTTATTGATTATGTCCTCTTCATCTTGACTTTCCATAGAGTTCACCACGTTTTCCTGAGGATCCTGAGCCTCCTCGTGAACTCGTCTAACTATCGCGTTCACATGACAATAATGTACTGAGTCGAATTCCAGGGGGTTTGCGTAATGGAATTTAACCGTTAACGGTACTCTTACTCGGGATCTACCGTCCAGTCGCACTTTTACTCTGAATGGGGGATTCGCGGCCCGAGCCTTACGTAGAAATTCTAATTTTACCGCATGCTGATCTATACGCTTTGTCGCATATTTATCCCAGAGCTTGAGGCGCTCTGTCGCACGACAAGATGGCAGGAGATTGTGGTCTATAAAATGATTTGGATGATTCGGACACATCCATCTTCCACTGGGAAAGGCCGTTAATGGAGGATCTAGACAATCTTGATGAAAGTATAGAGGACAATAGTCGCATGCTATCAATGGCGCGCGACGACAACTTCTACCGCATTCGAAGCATAGTCGTGCGGGTAGTGGAACTGTTGTACCATTATCTAAGCAATGGCTTTTTCCTGGGAAGATAAATTAATTTTTTAAATAACCAGCAGCATTTTGAAACTGTCGCAGACGAACAAAGCAATGATTACCATTGCCATTCGATGAACAATTAGTTTGTCTTCCACGTTTACTCGAAGGACCCATGTCTACTTTATCCGTCCGTGGAAACGTTATAGGCAACTGGAGTTCACGTGGCAATTCAAACTCTCGAGGATTAACTAGAGAGGCAGCCAGAGCCAATGTCTCTAATGCTGATTTCCTTTTCTTCTTTTTATTAATACCATTGTCATTTTTGTTAGCTTGTCTACATGCATGGCACATCCATTCCCCATTAGGAATGTCTTTAGGTTCCAATGGCGGATCACTGTACAATAAAAGTATTGCATATAATCCTTTCTTGTAACTTTTACACAGTAATAGCACTGACAAGTTAGGACTTACTGGCATTGTAAATGAAAGGATGCAGGACATTTGTCACAACATATAAGTTCTCCGCCATCACGACAAGCATCACAAGAGTCTCTGTTATGACCTCTGCCAGGTCTCTTAAAGTATGGATGTCTTTTTTCTTCACAGTCTTTCTTATTTTTGGCTGATTTTGATTCCTCAGAGACAGGTGGTGCAATCAGGGCTTGTATTTGCTAAAAAATTAAGAATTATACTGTGACATTATGAGCGTAGAATTTATATTTACTCCAAATATATTGGCTGAATTATCGATTGGTAAAAAGCCCGCAATAATGCATCTTTAATAGTTTATGTTTAAGTATCATAGGGTTATGTTTTACTCACAGGCATCAAACCACCAGTCACTCCAGCCAAATCGTACTCCACAGTTCCCATTTTATGGTTGAACAGTTTTCTTATAGAAGTATCTTAATTACTTGTAAAGAATTAATATAAAAATCAATTAAAGAACGACTTGAAGCCAATGTGAGAAAGCGGCGGCAGCGGCCATTTGTCCCTATTCTACTTTGCCAAGTGTTGGAATTGGTTGGAACTTGAAAGTCAAGGAATTCCCTAGAACATCACATTACCCTTTCATGAGAAGAGGTCGTTTACGTTAACCTCAAATTTTTAACAAAATCACGCATACATATGAACGATATAATAAAAAGAATATAACGAACACAGACAATAACATTTATATAAATAAATCTACTATTATTTAATTATTACCTGTTTACTGAATTTACAAGCGTAATGAGATACGGTCAGCTAGTAATGGGTCCAGCTGGTAGTGGCAAGGTATATTTTTTATGACACTTGTCAATATTCATTAAAGTATAGTTAATATTTCTCTCTTTTGATTTTTCTAGTCGACCTATTGTTCTACTATGCAAAGGCATGCAGCAGATGAGAATAAACTGTTGCACATAGTAAATTTAGATCCTGCTGCAGAATATTTTGATTACGAACCATTAGTTGATATAAGGGAACTTATACATGTTGACGATGCTATGGAGGATGATGAGTTAAAATTTGGTCCAAATGGAGGACTTATTTTTTGCATGGAGTAATTAAACTGTTATTCATGCACTCCAAAATTTTTTATGCACAAACTTGTTACAACTGACAAATTTTTTCATAGATACTTGGTGGAAAATTCGAAGTGGTTGGAAGAGAAACTTGGTGATACCGATGACGATTACATTCTCTTTGATTGCCCTGGTCAAATAGAATTGTATACACACATGACTGTCATACGCAAACTTATCGAAGTACTCCAAACTCTGGATTTCCGTTTATGCAGTGTCTTTCTCATTGATAGTCAATTTATGGTGGATGGAGCAAAATTCCTTTCTGGAACAATGGCTGCACTAGGTGCCATGATAAACTTAGAATTACCACACGTTAACGTCCTAAGTAAAATGGATCTACTGTCCAAGAGCGCCAGAAAACAATTGGATAATTACTTAGAGCCAGATCCACAAAGTTTAGTGACAGAGATTGGCAATGACCGATGGAGTAAAAAGTATCAAAAGCTTACAGAGGCTCTCGGAAGTATTGTAGAGGACTACAGTTTAGTACGCTTCTATCCGCTGAATATAAAAGACGAGGAAAACATTGGAGATATTCAGTTAACTATAGATAATATCATACAGTTTGGTGAAGAAGCAGATGTAAAAACTAGAGATTTTTGTGAAGAGGATGAAGAAGAGCATGATGATACGTAAAAAGTTGGATGATGAATAAACGCTATGAAATATTTTTTAGAAACGTGTATTTTCTTCGTCCCATTTCCATTTATCAATTCACGCTGGTTTGCTTGGCCCAGGCTGCTGATTTCGTTTTTCTCTTAGAGCAACTTGGTCTGCTAAAAATTTATTAAACGACTCTGCTTCCTTTTTGTCATCTTCATCCTCTTCAGGTACATCCTCCGTTCCTTCCTCGTCCTCACTCGACTCGTTTGCTGGATGTCGCAGATAAATGTCTGTTATCTCTCTGCCGGCATTAACTGAAGTTATCAAAGAGGAACTTTCGGCCGCATCCGCTTTCTTCGTCCGTTCTCTTTCTTTGGTTTGCTCTGTTTTCATTTTTTCACGATCTTTCCTATAATCTCTATAAAAAAAAACAATATTCTGAAATACCTTCTTTATACTTTTTTAAACTTTGAACGAACATGAAAGTAACTAACGTTTCATATTCCTTGGCAGCATCTTTTACGTGCTCAAAAAATTCTGGGATTCCGTCACCAGTGACTGCAGACACACCGCAGCATCTTAAATTATTATAAAACTCATCCAGTGCTAGAGCCATGCTGCGTGTTAAATTTCCGACATAACTAGTCTCAGCATCAAGAGCCTCTTGAAATGCTTCAAAATCCCTCATCCACTCTACTGCATAGCTATGTTCAATGACGTCAGTCTATAGTAGAAAAATTGATTGTATTATTACTAATTATTGCATACTATTGACTATTACCAAAAAACATACTTTATTCATGGCCACAATGAACGGGAGCTTAGTTTTATACAATATTGAACATGCATAAAGCATATTGGACATAAATGTCACAGGATTAACACTTCTGACTGTATCCATGACATAGACGATGACTGTTGGAAATTGAGAAGCTAGAGCTTCAGTAATAATTGTTCCACTAGCTGACCACGTAAATACTTCTATTTGACCAGGAGTATCTAGCACAACATATTCGTGATCCTTGCCTGCTCTGTCTATGAGTTCAATCACTTGATCAAATTTTGTAGAAAACAGATTCAGGGCTGTAACGATACCACCATTTGGACCAAGATTGTACCGCTTCATTACTTCCTTATAATTGACTGTATCCCTTATATCTGGAAAATCATAAAAATACTTCATATTTTCAATCACACATAAAATAATTATTATCTTACCAACGTTAGCAGGATATGGAACTTCTCTACACGCAGGATCTAAATTAATAACATAGGGTTTGCCAGTGTTGTAAAGTGTTGAAGTTATTCGTCGTACAAAAGTTGTTTTTCCAGAACCTGCCATTCCAAGCACAACAATACAACATGGTGATTTTTTAACATTGCTTTCAGTGTTACTTGCTGTTGACGGTTCCATATTTTCCATGTCTCTTTATATTATATTCTTGAATATTAGTTCACTTGACACGGTTATACCTACACCGTTTGATTGAACACGCAAAACATCCTTTGTGATCCTTTGCCGGTACTTACTTGCCTTTCTTACCTCTAGATGCCGTCAAAACGAAGCAGCAACTTGCGCAGGTGGTCAAATGATTTTCGCGGCAAAAATAGGCAAATGGTGAATGATTTCATCTGTGACCGTCAGCCAGTGAAGTATGAATGAAACTCATGATAGAAAAGTAAGAATATTTTATTTATATAATTTTATATTAATTATAATATATATTTCATTCATTAGTTCATAATTGGATGAATATTAAAAGCATTATCTTCACTGTAGGCTAGACCCAGCACACAAGATGGAGAACCTCAAAGAACATTTTCATCTTTTTTTGCAAAATCGACTTTATCCCAGAGATATACCAATGATATGAATAAAAATCCGAATCGTAAGAGAACTCCTGATGAAGATGATGATAAGATATTTAAGAAACAACGGACAGGATTGTTAAGTTTGGAAGAAAGGGATTCAAGGGATGATACGACTAAGGATTTCACTAACGATCACATTACAAAAACAATTAAATTAGAAAACAAACATAATACAAAAAATGATTCCTGCATGTTAAATGACAATGCTAACAGAGAAACGAGTAGCTCTCCAAAAAATATTTTATGTTTTAAAAACTCTCCATTGAAACAATCACCACCTCGAGGTATCACTTCAAAGTCTTTGACTCCAAAACGGTCAGCGATGAAAAATTTAAGTGAGAAAGAAAATATTGAAGCTAGCACTTCAGTTAACTACAGCAGTACAAAACATATTACATGCCCGTTAAAAGAGAAAATCAAAGAAGAAAATGACCAGCATGATGATTTTGATGATTTTTTTGATAATGAATGGTCTGACACGGACTTAGAGCTCGCAACCGAAGCTGATTTAAGTTCCTTGCGCCGTTATACAATTATCGATGCAAAACTAGATAATAAATCTACCATTGTTACTGTTCAAGATGAAGAGACTAAAGTAGTCTCAAATGTTTATTGCTCAGGATATTGGTATGTCTCTATTATTCTACAACAAATAAATTACTAGCATAAAAACTATATCTTAAATCTTACTAGGAGAGACATCAAGTATGAAACAGGTGAAATTATAACAATCCAAGCCATTAAGGAATCTAATAAATGGATCGTTGATAACAATAATGGATTCATTATAACGGAGCCAGACAAACTGGTTTCAGGTACTTCTGTTGTTGGAGCACTTTTCTGTACAAGACGTGGTGTATTGAATGAACGATTTCGAGGCATCGACTGTTTACCTTTCTGTGAGCCTGATGTGTCTCTTATGACAGTTGGAATTTTGGTCCATGAAATACTGCAAAAGGTATTGTCATGATCATTATCAGTGCCTAAAGACATGATTTTAATCTATAATTAAAAAAAAAAACAGGTCCTTACAGATAAAATTTATGATTTACCCGAAATTTCTCAACTCGCCAACGCGACATTACGATCCTGGCAAGTTGTAAATATGCTGTATTCATCCGGCATGTCTACAAATGAATGTAAAAAGCGCATAGCTGAATATATAACGCGTATAGACGAATTTATCCAACGTTACATAAAAGGTGAGCAAAATGCGAGGAACTGCCTTTATAAGAGTAATCATGTGATCATTTTTCAATTTCTGAATTTCTCATAGAAAAAAAACCAAAGAACCCAGACAATAATTTCGATGGGAAAATCGAGAAGGTTCACGAGATTGAAGAAAATATTTGGCTACCGAAATTAGGAATTAAAGGAAAGGTCGATGCTACTGTCGAGGTACGCATCAATGACAGACGTAGAATCGTTCCCTTGGAATTGAAAACTGGACGAGCTTCTTTCTCGGCTGAACATAAAGGTCAAATTATTTTGTACACTATGCTGATGAGATACACTGGACGAGATGTTGATAGCGGCCTGCTACTTTATCTGAAGTCAGAAATATATATTTTTACAATTCTCAAGTTATATTAAACAAGCATGTAGAATCGATTAAATATTAATTATCTTGCAGGGAGAATACAATGCGCGAGATGAAAAGTGGGCACCACGAAAAACGTGATTTAATTCTACTCAGAAATTCCTTGGCACATTATTTGACCAAAGAACCCGACGTAGTATTGCCTGAGCCTATTAATCACCACAGTGCCTGTTCAACCTGTCCCTACAATGCCATTTGCTCAGCGTATCTGACTAAGGAAAAGAATTATAAACTCTCCGATAACCATCCATTAAATTCTGTAAGTGCACGTGTGCTGAAGAACGTCACGGAGAAGCATATAGACTATGTACTGGAATGGATCAAATTCTTAGAAATAGAGGAAGATGCTCAGACTGAAGGAATTTCTTTAAGAGATATATGGACGAAAACTCCACAAGAAAGGTTCTTGTTTGTCAATGTTGAATTGTTGATTTTCGTTTCACTAATTTAATTGTTAATCTTCCCGTCATCTTGTTATCTCAGAGAAAAGAATAGCAAGTGTCTTGGAAACTTAAGCGTAGTCAATAAAGTCACTGAGGAATGCGGCAAGTACGAGCACAAGTTTTCACGAGCAACTAAAACCAATAAAAATAGTATTGATGACTTCAGACGTACAAATTTTACAGAATCAGAATATGTTATAATCAGTACAAATACTAGAATTAATATATCTTCTGGTTTTATCACAGATATTCAAGAAGACTTCATTGCTGTTCTATTGGACAGGTCTGTATCCCTTGTTGTAGAGATATAAACTCTCTTGTTCTAATTCTGTGTAGTGTAATGAACAATTGTTTCTTTTACAGAAACATTACTTCGCAGAATCACAATTCTACGTACCACATCGATAAATATATCTCGTCGAATTTGCTTTCATGCAGCCTTGTAAATCTCGGTGGACTTTTGAGCAACCATGACACATGTGATAAATTAAGAAAAATTATAATCGACAAGTAGGTCATTTATTATTATACAGAATTGTCCAAGTCGTGCCAATTTTGTATTAAATATTACAGTTCTTTCTCAGAACACCGGCAACTTTCAAGGCAAAGCTTCCTGCTGCAGTAGCAATGAATAGTGCGGATATACTGTACCGTTTAAATAAATTGCAAAAACGTGCAATTATAAAAACAATAGCTGCCAACGAATATATTTTAATAAAAGGAATGCCCGGTACAGGAAAAACACAAACACTCGTGGCATTAATTGAATTATTAGCAAAAACTGGAAAATCTGTTTTGGTTACAGCGCATACGAACAGCGCAGTCGATAATATATTATTGAAACTCCTGGAAAAAGACATTGATTTTCTCAGATTAGGATCATCAGCAAAAATTCATCCTGCTCTAAGAAATAACTCTGAAGCGTCCTTTGCCACTTATTGCACTACAGCTGAAGCTTTGGAAGCTGCATACAAAAAGAAGGTACTTCCGGAAATTATTATAATCTATAAACATAATTCACACATTATTTTTATATACTTTCTCTTAGAATGTCGTAGGAGTCACCTGCTTTGGTGCGAATCATCCACTTCTGAGAAGACGTAAATTTGATGTGTGCACAGTCGACGAAAGTACTCAAGTCTTACAGCCTACTTTACTGAGACCGCTGTATGCTGCTAATAAATTTGTTTTATTGGGAGATCCCGAACAATTGCCGCCTATTGTTAAGAGCGAAGTAGCTAGGTAATGTATCCTGCGAATACATACACAATCGGACATCTTGAAACTTATTTGACTCTTCAGGAAATGTGGCATGGGTGAATCCCTCTTTGTCAGATTAGACAATGAAAACAATACAATAGAGCTGGTCTTACAGTACAGGATGAACACTACAATAATGAATCTTGCAAATAGCTTGACGTATAAGGGTAAATTAAAAGCAGGCAACGATGCAGTGGCCGATGCGACTTTAAAAGTGAAGGACGAATCGGTACGTAATAACTCGCAGACCCCAAGAATTAGTGCTTTCTTTATAAATAACATTTTATTTTGAGATTTTTATTTCACAGATCTTGGAATCCAGAAGTCGTTGGATTGCGAAAATATTGTCTACAAAATTGAATGACTCTGTGGTTATTGTGAATACTGATAAGACCTATGACCTTCATTCTAAAACCAAATTGGAATCTGATAACTATGGAGAAGAACGTGGTTCTGTGAATGTAGGAGAAGCTGCCATAGTCGTAAAACTGATCCATACTTTATTAAAAGTAGATTAATTTCTTTTTTTTATGCTTGCCATATTTTTTTTCATTGACACTTTGTAATGTTGTCTAACGCACGCACACAGGCTGGAGTTAATCCTGATGATATTGGCGTTATAGCACCATACAGGGCGCAAGTAAGTTTATTAAAGAAACAGGTACATCCGCATGATATTGAAGTGAATACAGTGGACCAGTATCAAGGACGTGATAAGAGTGTCATATTGTATTCTTGCACGAAAAGCCTGCCGCAAGAGAAATGGGAGAAAAAATACGTTAGTACATACTCTTATCTATCACTCGTCATTAAGTGAGAATGATTCGAGCTGTAGTAAATATCTTTGGTACCGCAGGAATTTCAGATTTTGGATGATCATCAAAGACTGACTGTCGCAATAACACGTTCTAAACACAAACTGATTATAGTGTGTGACAAACCTACGATGGAAAATTTTCTACCATTTAAAAAACTTTTTGCACACTGCAGAGAAGAAGATTTTGTGAACTTGCGTGACAATCACAATGACTTTTCTTGGAAGGAACTTTTGGAGCTGTGAGAAATTATTATTCTAAGTATCTGTGTTACATGTATTTTCCACACGGTTTTCTTGTTTTCCATAGACCTAAATATTTGAAATACACTGCCATTTATTGAAAATTATATGTACCAGTCAATCGATAATTTAAATAAAATTGATTGGAGCAATTAAGGAAAGATTGGAAAATTAATATAAAAATACAAGGATTACAGTTTATACATTTTTTTTTATTACTTCATTTTATGATTTTACAGGGATATTGGTATTATCCCTAATATACGTCTTGCGATTCGCTTGTCTTCACGTTCACTGAAAGTTAAAGTGATTAACTGGGTAATGAGAATAAGAGTAAGACAAAAAAGAAAGTAGGAAAGAATGAATGAATGAATTAATGAATGAATAAATGGATTGAAGAACATCTTGTACCACAGACGACAGACGAAATCTAAAATAGCGTTATATAGAATTATTTATTACTTTAATTTATATCGTTCTTAAAAAGTTCGTTTTATCTTGCGGGTATATCTCGTAATTTGCTTGTCCTCGATCGTCAATACGATCGATACTGTACACGCCCAGTTTTATTCACCGGGTAGAATTGCGGTTGGAGTCGGTAGACGAGGCGACAGGCATCTCGGTGAGTAAAGGCTAAACGAAGCTATTCAGCTGAAGACGATGATTCTCGCCTCTTCTCCGCGTGCTTTTTTGTAAACTCCTCAGCATTCTTAAGAAACTTCTTCCTGTCTTTCAAGAACTCTTCTGCCAAATCAGCCCTCAGAGGGTGTTCAGGTTCGGGATCATTAACTAAAGCGATCAACGCTTGGATCACTGAAAATAATTATTGGACATTAGAGCAACAGTGCAAACTGATTGCTGCAAATTTAAAAGTAACCAGCTGTTTTACCTTGATCTGTCTTGGTTGCAGGTTTCCAATTCTCTGCACTGATGATTGGTAAACATACTTGACCCTTTTCATCGATATTAGGATGATATATCTTAGTCTTGAAGTTTATTCTTGGAGGCTTAAATGGATACTCTGCAGGGAAGTTTATTTCGATACGAAATGCTCCTTTGTTGTAAGGAGGATTGTCCTATAATTTTAACAACATATATATATGATCAAATGTAAGATCGGAAAGCATCAAGGTGAATGAATCTACAGCAAAACGTACAGGTAATATGAGACCTTGCCAAGTAAGAATATTAGCTTCGTCCACTTGGATATTTGTAAAATTCTTCATTCCAGAGGCCCTAAGGTCTCCAAGTTCCTAAAAGTATAAAGATCAAAAAGTCACTCAGTAAAACAGCAATCCTGAATAAAAGCAAGGTACAAGTATTGGAGCTCTCTCAAACAAAGAGTGTAAAATAAAGCATTAAAAACGTCAATACTGAATAAGAAATTTATTCCTGTGCTCAAGGGTATAACCAAACGAAAAGATCGAACGTCAACGCCACAATTAAATCCCAAGAAACAATAGGACGTAACAGAGAAAAAGAACTTGCACGAATCTCCAAAAATTATCTCAAAGTCAAGGCAACACCAAATTTCTAACTCCAAACACAATATTACTGATAAAAGCATCGCGTTACCTTCTGCAACCTTCGAGTAGGCGCCATTTTGAATATAATTTTTCGACAGAATCGACGAAAATGGTGAGAGCGCGCCAATTCGCAGAACGCTCCTCGCTTCGCTGATTCACTATTTATTGGTTACTTCTTCGCAAGAGTGTAGTACCTTATCGGTACTAGTTCAATGCCGGTGCCTTATTCTTCATACGTCACTAAACTCAGCCAGTGTTACTGACGAACATAAGAACGTCACCTGCACGCTCCAGGCCGACGGCCAAATGATTATCCTCACGTTTCCCAGCAGCTCTACGCTTATAGGTATATATTACTACGTGCAGCACATTTCTCGAGAAACTGGACGTTAGACGTCCCTGCCTTACACCTTAATTGATACCGATTTATCGAATTCACTCTTTTTCAGTGAATTCTATAATTCACTGCCAAATCTTCCCGTACAGAATTCCACGGCGCTGCACGGCATTAAGGATCATTCAGAATAGATATATATACCTAATCATCGAGTACTGGTCCAGCGTGTATGCGCGAGTTTTCCGTATAAAATTATTCATCCTTGTCAGAATATGGATCTGATAAAATTGTTTTCATTGTAAAAAGTAAAACTTTTGAATATAATACAATACTCCAATTCATGCTCCAAAATGTTTTTCACGTTCATTGAAATTCTCAATGACGTTTCTGTATCTGAATAATATAATTTCATTGAATTTGTCATAGGACGGATATAGGATAGCAGCTGAAAATTCACAGGGAAGAGTATAAGTTCTAATGATGTCACTAAGTCTTCGCCATTGGCACACTTAACTTGTGGAAGTAGCCAGTGGATCAGGGTATGATATTTTATTACATTAATAGAGAGATAACCCTTCTGATGTAGTCAAATAGAAAAATTCTCTTATTATTGTTACTTTACATCAGGATATTGTCTGTACAAATTAGGCACTCGTTTGTTATGAAAAAAAAATGTTTACCGCTCTGTAATTGGCACGTATAATGCAAATCGGAGCAATAATATACAATACGATATAGCAAAGTATATATATATTTTTTTAAATATAATATATATGTATACGGTAACGGTAATAATTGGTAACGAGAACCGACGCGTTTTAAAATGATCCGACGGACAATCTACATTCAAGATACAATAATAAAATGTTTGACTGATCAATTAAAAGAAATAACGAAAGAGTAAAAAGATTAATAAAAATAGAGAATAAAAGGAGCAGATAGATGTAAGAGATGAAGAGAAAAGGAAAATAAGAATTAGGCATTATATGATAAAAACGAGAGACGATGATTCTGGGATGCACAATAAATAATAAAAGAAAATAGGTAGGAAGCGACGAAACACGCAACTCGGCTAGTACCTAGTATTTACACAAATTGTCATATCAAAATATATAATACCGTCGTGTATATCTGCATTTTTTTTTGTTTCTTTGTTTCATTGCAAAGCGAATCGCACGCGATTTTTGTTCAGCACGTAAGAAAAAAAAACATTAACATTGCTCCCCAGCCCGAAGCAAGTTGGGGAGGGTTAGTTTCGCTCAAACCTCGTCGGAAGCGAAGACTTCCTTGGACGGCGACGACGGCTTCTCGTTTCTCTCTTGTTCCTTCATTTGAAGTGCTGCCGCAGCCTCAAGGACACGAATTCTACCTTCGTGCTTGACTATCATCGCCTTCAGCTTCCTTATCTCCTCGGCGAACTCCTTTATCACTTCGTCCTGTTAAGTAGTCAAGAAAAATAGATTTTTCTCTGATTGTGACTGAGGTTCTACACCACATCCGTATTAAGGAATTAGTACGCAGTTGTATAATGCACTATAATAGAATTTGCTTTTGCACCAGTATCAAATCTTACCGATACAGCAGCCGCAGGCGGCCCACTGACGTTTTGCGTGCTACCACCGGAGGCTACCTTTGCACCTTTGCTCAAAAGGTTGGCCTTTTTATGAACCTTTAATTCGTTCTTGGAGACTGCTGGTTGATAACCGTCCCTCAATGATATGAGAACAGGCTCAGCATCTGTGCCACTTTCCCATTCTTCGGCAGAGATTGCTGCAGTGTCGCCAGGAGTGTCAGGATATAGATCTTCTTGGAAGAGCTCCGACTGCATTGCGACAAGATAAAAGGAAACATATATTTTAAATCAAGATAGAAAACCTGGTGAATCACTGAAGGAATAATGTTAGCTGTACCTTTCTGGGCACGGTCATGGATATCACTTGGCAGAGACCCGAATTATTGAGACGGTAGAATCTGCTGATCTCGCAGCTGTTAACGTCGCAGCCACGTTTCGGCATCATACCAATACCTCTCTGGGGATCAGGCGTTTGGAAGGTGTTTATGTAGTGGACGAATGGCGGCTCGGGCGTTACTTCGAAGTAACGTATTACCGAGTCGCCCTTACCACATAGATATACTAAATTCGTGTCAGGATCGTAGAGCGGGAACATCACACCGTTGCTAGTGTCCAGCTCCACCATGACAATAGGTTCACCTAGCATATCAGGTGCACGTAGAGAATATTGCCTCTCGGACATTTTACTGAAGCCTGTCGTAAAGATTAGACCTCCTCTGAAAATGATTTAAGAGAAAACTTAGAAAATCATTGGGATTACTCATGAAAATATAGATATCATTTTAGCATCGGAGTGTCGTACGTGACGGTATTTTTAGCATGAGACTGTAATGCTATTAGGTATTCCGGACATTCGTGGAATACTCGCGACATACTTTTGATATAAGAATAGAAGATAGTCTGTTAGTATTGATTATAAGAAGAGAGTGAGAATTCGTTTGAAACTTTTAGATATCATAAAATAGTGCAAAGAACGATTGTGATTGTTATTATGACTGATGCGAGTATTTTGCTCGTATCTTGCCTTGTTCTCTGTATCTACGAGCGGAAATGAGGATATCAGAAGATATTATCGGAAGATTATTAGTCAGACTGATATATACGATGGAAGCGGCTTATGAGGATGGAAAATGTTAGTCTAGCTCACCTTAGGAAAATAGCGCGGGTAGCTTTGCTACCGTCGTGAGCAATAGCCTCTTCGATGATTTCCCCAGATCTGGGATCCAGGAGACGAATTTTTTTGTCCTTGCATGTAGTGACCAACCGGGACCCGTCCCAGTTCCAGCAGGCCGAGTACACGACATCAGGATGAGAGTCAATTCGTACGAGTGCTTCGCCCGTACCCACGTTCCAAATAATGACTAAGTTATCGGAACCAGCAGTGAGCAATACGTTTAGAGCTGTCGGATGCCAGAGGACCAAACCGACCCTTCGTTGATGCAGCTGAAGATCAACCACAGACTCTGTAAGAGTCCGTGAGATGCCGCCGTCCGGAATTTGCCATACTTTGACAACACAATCCTCCGAACCTGAGGCAATAACATTGTCGTTGTGTGGACACCATGCAATGTCCAGCACAGGGCCCTTGTGTCCACCTACCAATGGATGGTCAGCAGATATCCGACCCACCTACATGTGTTTATAAGTGTACGATTAGTCATCGAGTCTATCTATTTATAAATCAAGCATTGCACAGGTACTTTGAATACCGGTAAGTATAGAGGAAGTGCTATTGCAGTAAAGTATTAATGCAATCTATAAATACACAGTGTGTACAGTGAAGTCAGCTAAGGAATGAACAAGTAGTGGAAAGTATTAGAAAGTGTTATGAGAGCCTGTTCCAATATAGAATATAAAGAGTACAATGACAACTGGAAAATGTTAGTGACTAAGAAGAAGTTTTGGTAAGTAATGATACGCCAGATCTATAAATACATGAAGCAATGTTGAAGCACTTGGTGTATAGGCAAAAATCATGTTTAATCTCAGTAAACAGAAATGAGTACCTTATTATGTGGTAAGACTATGAAAGCACCACCTCCAGCAGACTCAACGATGATAGCAAGAAACTTAGGATTGACGGCACAGAATGTGGAGTCCCAGGAAGACTTAGATACCCTAATGTTGTCGTAGCATTGCTCACGCTTCAGGGCAGTTCCGTACACGTGACGGAACTTGCTGCTACGCACCACACGGAAAGACATTGCTGCACCAGCACTAGCACCTACACCTGCACCTGCACCTAGGATATAACAACAATAAATGATACTGAAAGCAGAGCTTAACCTAGGGCACCCAATAGAATACTAAAGGTATTAGATCAAATATTAATTATTGCAATAAATTACTGTTACGTGGCCACTCCGGGCGTGGACGTCGCGTGGATCATCCCCCAAATTTATAAATAGATACCCCACCCTCGATGCTCCTGACGAACACGAATAAAATGAGAATATTTTCGAATCACAGACTTTTTGATGGGCCGACTGCGACGTGCCTCTGCGTGTGCGTGAATGGGACACGTCTCCAAGCGCGCCAATGCCAAGAAAATTAATACAAAACCCACAAATACAAGTTAATCCAGGAGACAATCCCCCGACTTCGATTGATCCCAAACAAATCATCCAAAATCCTTCAACCATTTAATCCGAACACTTAAAAAAAAGTTGGTCCTCACAATAACCACAGCCTTGTGAAATTGAACACAAATGCTCCAAAGCACCGGACAGATTTTACCGTTTCCAAAATTCCCCGAGTTTGGTAGGACTGTCAGCCTGATTGAAACCGTAGCCACGGTGCGGCGCCACTAGTACGAAAAACCGGAAACCCCTGTACAACGCCTTATTTGGCAATGCGCACCCTCCCGCGTGCAGAAGCCGCGTGCGCTCTCACGTGTATGGCAACCCTTGTACCAGTTTTTCTAGCAGCTCCATAAAAGAATGAAGAAAAATAAGAATACAGGGTAATAAGCTCCCTTAGTAACAGCCTTCTTTATACTCTTTAGATACACTTGCCATACGCCTTCGGCAATTCCCTTGTTATCTTTCTCGTAGTGCTGCACGTCCCCACGATTATAGAAAAATTGGATAACACTATAAGTACGCGCACTACTAGAGTTCGTAGTAGGTGCTATCTAGGGTAATGGCTTACCGTGGTGGGTAAAATAGTTTTTTAGGTCGGATTTAACGGGGAGTCCTTTTCCACGATGACAGCCGGGCGACACACGCTTTTGGAAAAGAGCTCCCACATATCCCTACCCTGTAACCGATGCCGAGAATCGTCGCTTCTCAATGCGCTGGCGCGTACAGGAGATGAAGGCTCCGTTATACTCTTTTAGAGGGACTCATTCACTTTTTCATTCTACTTTCAGCTTTGCTTCTGACGCCAGGGCGTTCCTCAACCAATGGTCCACGTACTTATTACGAGCTTCTTTACTTGAGCACGTTGTAGGAACTCCACTCCAATTCAGTCACCAGGGTACTAATGAAGAGTATACTGTAGCATAGTACAAATCTACTTTAAAGATATATTTATTTATAGTACATCAAACAAATATAACGCGTTCGTTAAGTAATCATGTTTCAAGAGTTTTAAGTCTCGATAAAATACAATTAAAAGTCTGTTCGTGTCCGGGCGAATTAATTAATCCTTGTTTATATCCTATCCGCTTCCAGAATCACGAAGAATACTTGTGTAAGACAGACGTTAAAAAATATAAGTTTTAAATTTCGCTGAATCTTGCATCTTTCGCTTTAAGTACATCGTCTGCGAATTTAATCGTTCCATACATTAGTGGTATACTGCACAAAACCGAATCATAATTAACGAAACGAACGAAGTGAAATTCACAAGAAAAAATATATAGGAGAATATCAGTACTTCGGCGGAATGTCCAATACTCGTTCGTTTAAGTACATATTATTCGAATATGATCATAATGATCATGTAAAAGTACTATGTACGTATCACTAAAAGTTAAGATTACAAGGTCGCGGCAAAGGAAAGGCACTTTTGCTATCACGTGAGGAAAAATTACTTTTGGATAAAAATGAAGGGAAACAAAATATTATGGCACCGCGTTAATTGATATAGATAGGATAAGGTGAGAAAAGAAGAAAATAAGAGAAACGGTAAATATTGAAATTCCCATCAAATCACGATTACTCGTGTAGCGTTTCTGCACGTGACCCTTCACCTAAACCAATTTTTAAGCCAATATACATAAACGTATGTGTATATAATACCACCGTATAGCGTATAAAACTAATTGTAAGTCTGCGCTCGTTATGTACAATATGTACAAAATCGAACAAGAATCAATCGAACTTGTAAAATGGTGGTAAATTAGCTGCCGGCATTATTATAAGATGGTCTGCCAGCCAGTTCCAATAAGTAACGATCAGGATGGTCTAGCCAATCTGTTGTACTAAGTTTCACTACTCTTTGTCTTTCAGCTTCCTTAACTTGCCACTTTTTGATTTCCAATTGTCTTTCTCTGAAATTTATGAAGAGTTATATATATATATATATATATATACACATATTAAATAACAACCTATAAAGTATGTCATATGTAGAGTATAACGGTATTACCTTGATTTTCTGTCTCCACAGCCCCAAACCTCTAAGCTTGCAATACGGTAAGGTACACCAGCCAACTTAACAGAACCAAAGGATTGATCTATGTTGACACAGGGATTTCGAGGGTCAGAACCTGCTCGTATACCCTGTGGATAACCTCTAATACCAGTGTTTAAGTACAAAAGTTTTGGCCCTTTCTCCACGACCCTGTAGGTAGGTAAGAGCTCGATAACAATAGAATCCTCGTCGCCCCAGTAGAGATGAGACTCTCTCCACTCGACAGCAGAACAGACACAGTAGGTTGGACAGTCATCAGCTTCGTCAAGACTTACACCTCTTATGAATAAGAGCGTAGGTCCCCTGTACCCAAGGACATGATGCAAAAATCGATTGGCACCATTACCATGTTGTCCGCTGTTATACAGTAAAGTCCAATGACTTGGACAAGCATTTCCAACCATCTTCGCTATTAATGCATGGCTAGCTCCTCCTGATGCTTCCGAAGGAGGATCCTCTGCCTGAGGAATATTAATGGTTTTAAATGCCCAGAGATAGATACTTATTGATACAATTATTATTTCATATTAAGAAAAAGTATGTAATGCGTTTTCTTGCTTAGAGTTTCCTACGTACCTGTGTGTAAGATATAGGTAAAATGGTAGATAATAGCCATGCGTGACTAACAGGCAGCAGTGGTTTAAGTCCTTCAAATGTCGTTTTCTCCAGAACAGGTGTTCCTGGTTCTAAACGTAGCTGGGAGCGTTCTTGCGATAAGAGCGTTTCTCCATTACGGTAAGCTGTGGTTAATACGTGCACCACGTAACGGTGGAGTCCTTGCACGATGCGTGGACAATGTTGGGACAGCCAATTAGCCACGTAACTTACTGAGAGACTGTCCTTACCATGGAACTGTAATATATTAGATATATTTGTGATTCGTGTGTGCGATCTGCTGATCAACACGTCACTTTATCAACTCTCTTAATTAGTGATAAGCCGTTATCGCGGTAAAGCGCTAGGATCCTGGAAAGGATACACCATTGTTCTTTAGGCTTGGCTAACGTGGTTTACTAACGCAAGAGATAAGAACTGCATCAATGGTGCGGTGAATATGAAGGCACGTTTGCGATCCGCCACTGTAGTTCTCCATGGCGAGACGATAGGAAGTCATCAGTAAGGCTCTTAAAGAATCGGGCGTTACTTCGCAGCACTCTGAGCTGGAACTGCTGCGTGAGTACATCTTGATGTAGTTCTCAAGGATGGTACGGTCTTTCATTATACCCAGAAATCTCTCAGCTTGTTGTTTGAATGCAGCCAGACCCAAATGAGTAGTCGTAGCCTTGGATGATGTATGTAGATATGCGAATAAACGCTCAGCAAATTCACTGTACCGTGGGAACAGATATCTTTCAAATACACTACTCGTTACTCCATTAACTGATTCTTCTTTTTGAGCAAGACCAACCAATATCTGCAGAACACATTAATAAATGTTAGAATAACGATTATTACTTGTTGTCATAACTCATATTACATTAGTCTTGTCATATGATGTGTCACATGACAAATAGAATAATGTAACTATCAGAATAAAATATTAGTTACCTTAGCTAAGTTATCAAGGGGTAGGAACTGTGTGTGAGTAGAGTGTTCAATATCAGCTCCGGAAGCTGTACGAGACATAGCTTTCTTGTTGCTTTGACCATGCGATTTTTCTTGAGCATTATTTTGAGCTTCACTAGGAGAAAACGTCTTCTTCCCGGTGGTACCACCACTTCGTGACACCTGGTTACCCATCTTACTTATTATACCCTCTTTGACTCTTACACGACTCGACGACGTCGTCGACGTCTTCACCGCACCATTTGTCCTACCGTAAAATAACACAACAATGATAACGTATACGACACAAAGTCAACGACGACCACGACGACGACGACGACGACGGCGATGACGACGGCAACAACGGCGACAAGGATTAACCGATCTGACGATGGTCATATATCATGAATATAATATAGAGTAGCCTCTAATCTACTAGCAATAGATTGCGAAGGCGCCGACTAGAATAAGCATATGTTTCGGAGGCGCTGTAGTCGCATCTTTATTACTTTACATTGGTGACGTTTCTAGATGATTTATAAGAATTGTGCTTTTTCGTAAGTGGTACATACACTTTACGTAAGGAGGTGATCTGCAGAGAGGTAACTTTTTTGTGAAAAATTATATACTTATCGGCAACATGTAATTGAAGATTATATTTTTCAGATCAAAATGGGAGTGTCCACTTTACTGTACAATGCTGTTTTCAAACGGACGTCCACCTTCGCTGTTGCCATCTTAGCCAGTGCTTTCTTCTTTGAACGTGGATTAGACGTAGCCTGCGATTCAATCTTCGAGAACATCAACAAAGGAGTATGTTATATTATTTTTGGATTTTGTATGAGTTTCGCTGTTTATTGTCTGTAGTTTTGTACTTTTTTTTTCGAGTCTATGTACTGGTAATTCTCTTGCAGTGCGATCACCTCTGTGATCATTAGCTAGTACATGTAGCTTTTTGAAAATTCCAATAGAATTTTATATTTAGATTTTTTGATCAAGTATAGACTTTTTTCGATATCCTTTGTCTAATTAGATATTTCTCTTGTTTGTTTCAGAAACTATGGAAGGATATTAAACACAAATATGAACAGTAGAGATCAATTATCACCATCTAGTTTATAGAACTATTATTAAATTTAATCGTCAAGCCTGGCAAATAAGCGTACATGTTTATAGTATCCAAATAAAAGGACGATTATCGAAGGTCCGTGCTTTGCCATTTTCGTTGAAGATCTGCGAGATCGTTGCGCAATTGCCTCTGTGTTTGAAGTCTGCGTACACAAAAGTGTCCCTCATACTCTTCAAATGCCACTGACATGCCACACACTTCGCATGGAATGAGATTCTCGTTTTTGGATTCACGGGATGGAGATTTTCTACAAAATGTATGGTGTGCCTCGAACTCGGCGGATGCGATAGTTTTATAACAAGTGGTACATTCCATCGTAGAAATTTTTCTAAGCAAAGGTGTAACAGTACGCCATCCATGAAAACAAGATGTTTGATGCCGCAAAAGTTCGTTCATGGTAAATGTGCCATTGCAAAATTCACAAGGTAGCAGAACATCTTGACTACTGGCATTTGTTGATGAGGAAGGAACATTCTTCTTTTGTTTCCATGACGCCGATGGTCCTGGCTCTGAAACATAGCATGTAAAATAAATTAAAAATATTTAGACCCTTAAGAGGCACAATGAACTCACCGTCATCAAGTTTAACAAAGTTATGATTCGAATCCAAATGCAATTGCTTATATTTTAGCATTACAAATTCGCCACATTCCGTGCATCGTTCTGTACGTGTACCACAATATGCGCTATGTACATCCATATCCCGTGCTGGTAAATCCAATTCACAATGTGGACAAACTACTGAGCGTTCACAACACTCCTTCTGTAGGTGTTCTTGTAAAAGGCTTTTCCCCTGTACACCTGTTCCACAATCCTGACAGTTAGCCATGGTATGTTCCCTCTCCAGATGTTCACTTAATCTTTCCTTAGAAACAGGTTCATTGCACCTACTGCATCTTACAATCCGACGAGTACAATGTGGCAAATGTGTTGCAAAGTTTTGCACAGGAACATTTGCATTGCTGTAGCAGAAATAATACGCAAAACTTCATGGGAGAAATTTAACGTCAAAAGTACTATAAATACTAAAGCACTGAGAACAAAGAAATGAGTTAAGCAGTTATAAAAATTTAAGGAACAAAGGAAAGAGTCTTTCACAGCGTTTGGTCACGTTGGTCTTGACGATTTTTTTTAGTAGTTTATTTATAGGTATATGCTAAAGTTAGTTATTGTCTAATTGGAACAAGCAACTATAACAGAAAATCATTCAATTTCTATTCACTTACCAATTGGTACACAATTTCTCATCAGTATTCATGATCGGTTTAATTATCACAGAGATAATTCTCACGTTAATTGAAATTATATAAATATTCTTCCCGGCTTATGGTCGACCTGACACTTGATGTCGGGACGCAGGCGTCGTCTAAACTAATCCCAGTAGAGAAGCGCGTGGATCATTCCGTCGTTCGACTATCAGATCGGGCTGCTGCTTAGAATATACATATATAAATAGGAATACCTTTGCGGGGGATACGAATCGCATTTACGTCAGAAAACTAACAAACTCCGGGCCTTAAACAGTAAACAAATATTCATAAAAATCCATTCGTCGTGATAAACATAACAAACCAAATCTATAGATAGTATCTCTTACTATCAGTCAATTATCAATAGGTTCCACTTAATTATCAATAATATGTTCATTGATCCAAATACAAACCATAAATCCTATATTTCCTAACGGCTGTTTCCTCCTCAGAAAAGTAGTGGCAGACAAGCTAAAATATTTAACACTATAGAAAAATCCTACATCGGTACTTTCATTCAAAGAAATCTGGGAAACCCAGAATTCTTTGTGCGCAGTTCCCGTCACATAAATCCTTCGCAAAACTTGAAATTCGATTTTCTTGGAAAATTACCATTCGAGTTCTCAGCTTCACGTACCATGGGTATAAAAAATTATATAAATCCGATTGTTGAAGACTCTTCTTGTTAGTAAATCTTATCAAGCTTACATTGTGCGCTCGAACTTAAAATTCAAAAAAAAAATATATTTAGGCAATATCTAATGAGTGGCCTCGTTCTAAGGGTTGCTCTGGGGATCAGCGGTATGTTGCGGAGACCCTCTGCCCACCAAGCTACATGTTCCTGATCACGTTCAGTTCGGCTACGACGAGATATGCATTATCGACGGAGGCGATAATCACAAAATCCTACTCCTTGACTCGCTGCTACGATTTAGCACCATGCTTTTGGTATGGCCTAAAACCGTAGCGTTGCGCATCTCCCCACTCATCTCTGTATAGAGCATCGAATTTTCCATCTAGGTCCTTTACCTTCGAGGGTCGACAGGGTAACGTAAACGCTATCTGGGCATCCGCTTATTCACACTTACTACACATATATTCTGCAACTCGAGGTCTTTCCTCGCTGTTACGTTTTTGTGATGCTTCGAGGCTTCCTTCAATGAAGTAATTAACATAAAGTATAAAGTGATTTTTTGTGCGTTAGCCGAGTGTCGCGAAGAAGATCGTCCCCGTTGACTTCGCAGGAAATATGGCAGACGAACCGATGAACGTCGATATAGAGAATCCAGTCGATGATGTTCCAGATATAATGGACGAACCGTCGACGGAAGAGTAAGTGGATCCTGCACCAGGTTCTTTCACGAGAATTTTCATTGTCGCTTGGGATGACCCTTTGAGAATTCAGATCATCGGGTGACCTAGGGGTCATTCGAATGTGGACGTCTTTTTAATCCTTTGGTGATCTTATGTTATATGATATACTGACAACATTAAGATGTTATCATCTTTCACGTTATCTTCCTGTATAATAATATTTTGTTACTTATGTCTTTTTTTGGGACTTTTTTTCAACCACTTTCACAATTTTATTCAGCTTTTAAGCTCCTACGTTCGCTCGTTAGTCGTGATTTTACTTGGGATTTTTATTTGGTCCTTTGTTCGATGATTCTTTCTGTTTATTGCAGTGGTTATTGCTGAAGAGTCGGAGATACATGTTTGATTGTATGGTTTTCCGTTCTTTCCTTTGCCCAGTAATGCCTCTCCTGCGTTTTCCTAACAGTCTAATATCTTTAAACAGAATCGATAGGACTTTTAATTTATCGTAAGTCATTGGCTTATATTACCTGTTTATATGTTCTTGAGAATTTCAAATATTAGGATGTTGGATTTTTAGTTTGACTTTTTTTGTGGTTTCTTGCTTTTTGTTTATTTCTATTATATAAGATATTGTATCGTTAAAGTGACTTCCATTATAATTATTTCAATTTGCAGATTGGCTGAACTGAAGAAGGAATCTGCTAATCACTTTTATGCAACAAAAGAATATAAGAAAGCCTTGGCTATTTATAACGAAGTTATCGGTATTTACTTTTCTCTCATTTAGCATTACAGCATTTAAGTAACATTAGTATATCGCCTTATGGTTTTTTAGAGTTATGCCCTGACATTCCACGCTATTATGGCAACAGAGCTGCTTGTTACATGATGCTTAGCCAATACAGGGAAGCTCTAGCAGATGCCAAAAAATGTATTGAACTAGACCCAAAATTCACTAAGGTGAGTAACACAATCTACCACCTTTATCTTCATTCATTCCAAGAAATTCAAATAAATATATTTCCATGTAGGCATATTCGAGAATCATAAAATGCTGTCTGATCCTTGGTGACATAGTCGAGGCAGAGACCACCCTAACGAAATTAAAAGAACTAGAACCAGAAAACACCACAATTGCTACTGAACAAGCTCAACTCGAACACGTACAGAAATATATGAAAGAAGCAGATGTAGCATATGCAAAAAAAGATTTTCGCAAGGTAAGTCTATCATAATTTCTAGTTAAACTCACTTTTTGAGATACCAAACTTATTATGAAACATTTCATACAACAGGTTGTCTACTGTATGGATTGCTGTTGTAGTGTAAGCAAAGCATGTCCAAGATTTAAGTTGACGAAAGCAGAATGTCTGGCCATTTTGGGCAGATACCAAGAAGCCAAGGAAATTGCAAAGTTAGTATAATAAAAAAAATCATTTTCAAATACTTTACAGTGTTGTTTGCTTGATATTAAATTAATTTTTTTTCTTTATACTTTTCAGCGATATATTACATATGGATAAACAAAATGCAGATGCAATTTATGTACGAGGGATGTGTTTGTATTATCAAGATAACGTTGACAAAGCTTTTACGCATTTCCAACAAGTACTTCGCCTTGCACCTGACCACAGCAAGGCACTTGACATATACAAAGTAATTTGAATAAATACTAATGAAGGCAGCAAATGATTTTCTGTTATACGTTCGTTGATATGTATTTATTTTCTATTTTTCCTTCTATAGAGAGCTAAATCACTGAAGCAAAAAAAAGAGGAGGGTAATACCGTTTTTAAAATGGAACGCTATCAGGAGGCATACAATCTTTATACAGAAGCACTCAAAATTGATCCTCAGAATTTAATCACAAATGCAAAGTTGCACTTTAATAAGGCTAACGCAGCGGCAAAGGTAAACTGTTGATTTTACATTAAAATATTTACGACATATTTTTTTTGTTACCAACTGTTATAAACTTATCTCTTGTTCCTTTACAGTTAGGTAGACTGAACGAGTCAATAACAGAATGCACAGCAGCTTTGGGGCTTGATGAAAATTATTTGAAAGCTTTACGTAGAAGAGCTGCCTGTTATATGGAACTTCAACAGTACGAAGAGGCTGTCCGTGATCTTGAGAAAGCCTGTAAAATGGACAAGAGTCGTGGTTCGTTTAACAATACATTAATTTCGCTCTGGTCGATGTCTTTTGGAAAATTTTAATAACCATGATTTTTATAGATAATCGACGGCTTCTGTTGGAAGCGAAATCGGCACTGAAGAAATCCAAAAGAAAAGATTACTACAAAATTTTAGGAATCGACAAGAACGCATCCATAGACGACATAAAGAAAGCTTACAGAAAAAGAGCCATGGTTCATCATCCAGGTACAATAAGTCATTATTATTATTATTATTATCTTTATAATTTTGTCGTAAACTTATCTTAGTTTCTCACTCTTCACAGACCGTCATGCGAATGCCTCTGAAAGTGAGAGAAAAGAGCAAGAAAAGAAATTCAAAGAGGTTGGTGAAGCTTACAGCATCCTGTCTGATCCCAAGAAACGTTCAAGATATGACAATGGACACGATTTCGATGGTGGTGATAGCGGTATGAATGGTAATTAGAACATTATTCTTTATTTTATTGTAATATCCCCTTTTTTTTATTGATATCATTTTTTTCTTTACAGATATAGATCCAAACGCAATGTTCCAATCGTACTTCGGACAATTCGGCGGTGGCGGCGGCGGTTATCAATTTCAAACCGGCGGTTTCCCTGGCGGATTTTCATTTCAGTTCAGTTAAGTTAATGTTCGCGAAAAATTCACGAAGAGAAAGTAGCTTAGCGGAGTGCGTGACAAGATATCAATGCTTCACTCCATTATTTATATACTTGTACTCCGATATCATAAGTTCGACACTTGGTGAAACTTACAGAAATATTTGCAAACTAGTTTACCTATAGTTTTCTGTGGGACCGTGAATATTAAGAAAAAAATAATTGTTCTAATTAACTATGATATATTTGAATTCATACTGTTTAAACATATTTATTCGCTACATACATACGCACATAGCTAATAGCCTCTATAACGCAGTCTAATCTTTTTCGATGTTATCTCAAGCAACAAAACATTTTGTCAAATTATCGTGTTTGTCGAATGGTAATGATCCTGCGTTCGATAAATTTCACTTGCCATAAATAAACAGTATATAGGTATAATATAAAGAATTCAAAATAGACCTCTGAAAAATGTGTTATTTATTTTTTTGAAATTAGTTTTTGACTATTGATCTTTTGCTTTATAGTCATATTAAATATGGTTACCAGGGCACTGACTCACCAAAATGAATCATCGTGAGGTCAGTTAACCGTTCTCTTTTTCCTTTCTTTTTACAACTAGTATCAGAGATGAATATTGCCTACTCATCTCTGCTAGTATCATCTGGACAAAATTGGGTTGAGGTTATCTAGTACTTTTTTGTGAAGTTCTCTACTGATTGTACAACCTGCAGGAGGAATCTAGGGAATGTTGTGACCTTCAATAAAATGAAATTCTAGTTTCCCCTCTGGTGTTTCACTTACTATTGATTTATGTTGTATACCTAAAGGTAGTCTTGCTGGTACAAAGATATAAAAGAAAGGAAAGAAGGTTATAGAGATACTATAATTGTTTCCTTTTATTGTGCTTTATTTATTGAAATAAAGATATTTATAATTGGTGCAATAATAATTACTATAAAGAATGGCAGCTGAAGAAACCTCCTGGAGAACACAAGCCTTTCGGCAAAGTGTTGTTGCAAAAATGTAAGGGTACTTCATAATGAACAACTATAATCTGGGTATTTAATCATTTTTAGCTTTGTTTTATATGAATGAAATATTTAATGCAGAGACGAGGCCATTCAAAAGTCAGGAATGCCTTCTTCAAGGAACAGCACAGAAATGGAGAATCAAGTATTCCAGAAAGCTAAGTCAAAGGTAGATACATAATAAATCCATTAAATAACATATGCACTAATTTGCAACAACTTTCATTTACAGGAAGAATATTTGAGTTTCGTTGCCAGATTGATACTTCATGTCCGAGAAATGAGTAATAACTTATTACACTAACTTCCATTACCATACAAATATCAATGTGTTAATTAATATTTTATATAATTTGTATTGCATAGATTCGAAGAAAGGTGGTGGAGGAATTGCACCAGGTGCTGGTACTGCAGGAGGTCAAGGTATGCCAGATCCAATTGGTGCACTTCAAACTCTTGCTCGTCAAGGAACAGGAAATAATCAAATGATGGGAATGGCAGGACCTGGCGCTGGACCACAGGGAATGGTTCTTCAACCACCTTCAAACAGTGCTACCAACTGTAAGTTCATATTTATGATCATACATATCTTTTTCTGTATACTATAATCACATAATTATGTGCACAAAATTCATATGGCAATTTCAATCCTTCAATTTACAAATCACTTCCAACAATCTTTGCTCTTGTACATCTTCTGAGTTTCATTTTGATACTGCTCCTTTTAAACAATCTTCAACAATATTTTAAAATTGAATTTCACTTAGATTTCCGTTAACTTTCCATTAAAACGAACCATCCGCTCGATTGTTATCTTTTAATCAAAGTAAATACAGCACATTTCAAGCGATAGGTCATATGCAACAGAATTCGGCCATTCATGTAACCTTGAGCATAGCTCTACCATGCTATATATAAGAATAATAAGGACTCGTATAGTGCGTGTATTCGTGAATAGTGCGCAGTAAAAGGACTAAAAAAAGAGAAAGGAAGAATGAAGAAAGTAGACCAAATATATTACGCAGTGTATCCGAGTTCTTCAGAAAGCGAGCCTTATTATGAATCAGACAGTTCAGAAGCCAGAAGACGTTTACAACAATCGCCTACTCACGCAAAATTTTATAAATATCTTCGAGAAAGAGAAGAAATGATACGATTACACGAAGTATGGAAGGACACCATAACAGATCCTGGCTTTACAGAGAGCATTGAGGCTTCCTGTTTGATGGAGGTTCGTCTGAGAGATGAACGTGTAGAGTATAAATATACACCAGCCTATGAAAATGGTTTCTATTACTTTAGGATTACTTTGGTTTATATGAAACCGTTACGTAAATGGATTTTGAGTCCTGGACGATGTCGTCTCCCAGGTAGTATGAGCCTGCGAGGAAAAATGAAGGGTGGAACACTGAACCCTGTGAGTGAGAGAGTAATGAGATTGTTACACAAAGTTCGCCAGAATATTGACGTCTATATGAAGAGATTTATGTATATCCAAAGATTTGTTGACTATTTCATTGAAAACTACTTCAATGATGGTGAGATCGGAGAAGATTTGGAACTCAAAGAACTGACTATTGTTCTTAAAGAAAAAGCTTGGCCCATAGGAATTGATAAAACTTGCTGGCGTGACATTATTCATCTGTATATAACACTGGATGATGATTACATAGCGCAGGATGTCACTTACAAGTATACACATCAGAAGAAAGCAGATCCAGTTGTCATACATAATTGCAAGCTTCAATTAGAGAACAGAATCAGAGTTTTTTTTTCGTATGAAATCAATGAAGCTTTTAAGAAATTTATGGGTCAGGAGCAGGTGTCTCTGGATCAGGAATAAAATTGAAATTTGAAAGGAGCAAATGTATTGGGAGAATATATATAAGTTTTTGTATGAGTGTTTATTTAAAGGGAAAATATGTATATTTAATTTAATATTCAAAACTTTCATTGTTAAGTATTATAAATACTAATAGTTTTGATTAATTTAATGAAAATTAATGGATTTCTTGTTTGGTCAAGTGTTGCAAACATTGAATCAGCGTCCAGGACAGACAATGAATATGTCTGGCATGCAGAATAAGATGCCAGGAATGGGTATGATGCCAGGGCAAGCTAATGGACCCATGGGGCATATGGGTCCGATGCAGGGTATGCAAGGTGGTCCAGGAATGTTGAGTCAGATGAATCAAATGGGTCAGGGAAATATGAATCAGCAGATGAATCAAATGGGACCCAATCAAATGGGACAAATGGGTCCTGGTCAAATGGGACCAGCGCAGATGCAACAAAATATGCAGAACCAGATGCAGCCACAGATATCAGCACAAATGACAAATCAGATTGGGGGCCCTATGACTGGTAACATGCAATCTGGTATGCCACAGCAGATGAATCAAATACCACAACAAATGAATCAAATGGGCCCTGGACAAATGGGTCCTGGTCAAATGCCACAGCAGATCAATCACATGCAACGCAAGGTTTATATTTCATTGTCATTGAAAATTAATCTAATCCGTTACTTCTACAGTTTATTAATAAAAATTGTAAATTTAGCCTGGTGAAATGTTAAATACTGGATTTCCTGGACCCAGAAATGTAACACCCAATCAGTTCCTTCGGCAAAGTCCATCACCTTCGGTTCCAAGTCCCGCTGGTCTTGGTGCTCCTTCCAGGTGAATATGTTACATCCTCATCCATTCTGTGTAACTAACTGCATGATTTTTTTTTAATAATTGTAATTTCTTCTATTCTCAGCAATCAAATGGTAGCCTCACCAGCTCTGGTACCATCTCCAAGTCCACAGCACCCAATGATGGCGAGTCAGCAACGTTCTGTAGGCATGGCACCGTCTCCAAGTAGTTCTTTGAATACTCCAGGAGGTGTAGGTGCTACCCCAAGTCCTTTACAAGAAGACCAGGCGTATAGGGACAAAGTTCGTCAACTCAGTAAATACATAGAACCACTACGGAGGATGATAGCCAGGATGGCTAACGAAGGAAGTACGTGAATAATGAATATACCTCAGAAAGTAACTACATCTCATAATTCATATTTTTTTAAAACTTAGATGTAGACAAGCTCAGCAAGATGAAGAAGCTTCTAGAGATACTCTCGAGTCCAAGTAAGCGTATGCCTCTAGACACACTACTAAAGTGTGAAGTGGTTTTGGAGAAGCTGGACTTTAAACGAGCAGATGGCAGCGTTGGTCCACCAGTAACTACAGTTAAAGAGCACCATTTCTTCAGTCCACTTCTCGAAGCAGTCAGTACTCATCTTCAGAGTCCTGTAGCTAATCACACACTCCAAAGAACATTCGGACCCTGTCTCGAAGCCTTATTTGGTCCAGAAATAAAGTATGTACACTTTGAGTTCAAAAATCATACACATACCGCCCAAAATATTAGTGACAATTTCAATTATTAAACCAAATAGATGTCTACCGCCTCCGTTAAAGAAACAAAAATTGGAAGAACCACCAAACGAGATTCCTGACGTTCTCCAGGGTGAAATTGCCAGACTAGATCAGAGATTCAAAGTGAGTAACGTCTCTATTGAGCGTCACAGGAAACAATTGTTCCAGGACAAAGCGTTTTATTTATTTCTTTTTAATCAGGTAAGCGTAGATCCTGCTCAACAAACTGGTTCAAAGTGCATTCAACTAATATGCTGGCTAGATGATCGTCATCTGCCATGCGTTCCACCGGTTTCTGTGACTGTTCCTGCCGATTACCCTTTGACCCCACCTCGGTGCGTTATGGCACCGCACGAATACGCCACTGCCTTCCTCTGCGCGGTGCAAAAAGCCCTCAATGCCAGAATCACGAAACTACCTAGACGTTTCTCAGTATCACAATTATTGGATACTTGGGAAATGAGTGTACGACAAGCCAGTGCACCTACTCAGACACCTGTAACGGCAAGTACTGTGCTAATGGGACTGTAACACTCATGTACATGACGTTCTTGACATATCTACAAAATGATTGTATTACGTAAAAATCATTGTATAAGATAACACGTTGAAATATAATTTTACAAGTGATTCCACTTTTCTGCTTTACACTGAGAAATTTGTCTTTAAATTTCCTATAAAGAAGAGAAGTTAAAACTGTATTTGGATATTACAAAAATATACTCATTACAATATATAGTGCTAAGAGAAATACATTTATTATGGAATAACAAACACTATAAACATTACTCTTTATATTTATTATATACCAGACGAGGTACTCAGCAAGTTAATTGTATAATTCGAATATCTCGTCCACGGAAACCAGCGATTACAATTCGCCGTTCAGGAGTTTCTTGTCGTACAAGAACTCGCCCAGGGGTCCATGAGTGGCCATCATCTTGCCAAGAGTAGAGATCTTTCCGGCAAGATCACGCTGTCCCTTGTACTGTTCATCGAGGAAGTCAGCAGTAAGATAATCGACCAACTGTAACATAAATTTATCATTTAATTTTACAATCCCTCAGTCAAGTCATCTTCGGTAGTGCCAATATTGAGCGTTGCCAGGTACATCAATTAAGACTTACATGATAATCATTAAAGGTGCTGGTCTTAGGAGTTTCGCAAATCTGAATGATGTCACGAATATTTCCGGTCACCTGAGCTTCCAAATTAAGGGCAAAGCTAAGTGCGTCGACACCGTTGTTCCATTCCTCACGTTTAGGTCTCTGCAATGTTTCAATTAAATATGCGTATTAAGAAGTCTATTAATCATGCTTTTGTTATCACAGGTTATCGCACGCACCAGTGGGAACTTCAAGAGTTTGCTCACGTCACTGGTGAGCTGACCACGCATCAGTAAATATTCGATGATCTTAATGGCGTGTTCGCGCTCCTCGTTGGCGCTCTCGATGAAGAATTTGCTGAAGCCAGGACGATTAACAGAATCGCGGGCGAAATGAGCACCCTGTATAAAGGAGAACGAATGATTTACGTTCAAGAATATTAATTGGAGCACAAAGTAAAATTGTTATTCGTACCATAGCGAGGTAGGTCATTGAAGCTTCAATCTCATTCTTCACTTGGGACTCCATGGCCTTGATACAGGGATCCACCATATCCAACCATGCCGTTGGAATATCGGCGGGTTTCAGAGTACCTATAGATATTTTAGATTCATTGTATTAAAACGGTGTTAATTCCAGCAAACAAAAAAAGTGAAAGAGAAACGGGGATAGTATCAAGGAAAACATTTTGTGATTTATCATTTGTAACACATAGCAAGTCTGTAAATGAAGTCAAGGTTCATTGGATTGGTTCATTTGTTCAAGGCTAGTTACTCCGAAGTGATTGGTACTTTTAATTATTTTTTATTAAAATAAAAAGGTGGTGCAGAGCTTAGTAATAGCTATCACTGAACTCTTTAGTCTAATAAGATATTGCAACAAAGTGTAATGTGATAAGTAGGAGACTATATTAGAAATCTTTATTGTACTTGAGCCAAACGTGTTATCATTCATGTATTGATTATGTTTTACATGAATATCTCAAATCTCAAACGTTGCTAGCAACCGTAATCTATATTCCTGATATCTATTTAGAAGTAATTATTGATCAACATCAATTTACCAAGTGATCATGTGAAGACAAAATGGTATTTGTTAGATGAAATATCAATTTCAAGAGTAAAGATTAGAAAATAATATGAACTTTGGAATTTGTACTGAATCTACAGTCAGTCCTTTCTATGTGTATAATTTAATCAGTCTCTTATCGACTGTTGCTATGTAACGTGGGCAGTGTCTATCTGAAATGAATCATGCAGAACGTTATATTTTGAGGTCGCAATACACCCTATCACTGATTGAAAAATAATATTTACTGGAGAAAAAGTACAATTAATGATGACCTTGTGGTTACTGCAAATCAGGATATAATTTACAATAAGAAATATATTAAGACAACAAGGAAGATATTACTCTTAACTCCTGGAAAGTATCAAGCATTCTAAAAATTCCGTGTATGAGCAACAGTAAACTATCTATTAAAGATTATTCAAGTTTTAATTACAAGGCTAGTGATTCCTTTAAGCAATTGATAAGTAATGCTTTTAATGATTGCGATGGAGTGACAACTTCTTTTGTTCAAACAGCTAGACTTCATAAATTATTCTCGCAAGACAGAAATTAAAAGTAAACATTCTCTTGCTGAATGAAACCTGGCAAGGTGACAAGAATAATTCATTATATAGCCAATCACATTGTTTGTCGAAGATGGAAAGTACCCAACAATTCTATTCTATAAGTGTAGACTTATAGAATGTATATGTATAATGTATAAGCAATGTAAAATAGAAAAAAAAATAAGAAAACAATAAGCGTTCAATTCGATTTATGCAACCATTAATCATGTGATCAGTGCCACGAAAAACAATTTTGAAAAAATGCATAATCACGTTGTTGAATGTGCGCATTCTTATCGCACAGAATAAATGGATCATGTTCACGCGCCGTGATCCAATCCAAGGGTCATGCGGTTGTTAGATCAACAAAAGCTTAAAATTCATGAGACCAATGACGCTGCTAGGGATGTACAAGAAACGCTTACTATAAAATGCAACCTTAAAATGACGTCATACTTCTGCAACGATGACAATCGCATTTCACCATATTTCAACAATCGTTAAGGAGATATGCCGAGTAGATAACAGAGTTTAATGTAGAATATAAGCCGCAAAGCAAAATTTAAATACAAAATCTTATGAAAAAAAGGATCCTGAAACACCCACAATTAAATCGGATATATTAATTTTCAATATAAAGTAATCATTCTCTCCTAAAACATATTCCTTTAAAAATAATGGACTAAAGATTCACTTGACGTACGTGGTGATCCTACGCCATTGTACTAACATTACCATTCGAGTATTGCGTGTTTTAATTCTACAATTAAAAGATGCGTACGTCGTACAATTAACAATAAAGAACAACAATTACCAATACAATGCGTCCATACATTATATACATTAATATACTCACATTTCAGCTCTTCGGCAGTAACAAAGCTGACGCAGGCGAAAGCAAAGAGTGCGATACCACAGACTAGTTTCATGATGTCTCGTGAAATATAGCAAGGTTATGCTCGATGAGAAAAAGGTAAAGTAAACAGTTTATATCGATTAGATTCTTGACACGTCGATGGTTCTCTCAATCGTCTCGTATCGAAGCAACCTTTATACACACTGGCATAGAAGGCTGTCTTCTACAAAGCTCGATCAGATAGGTAATGTACGACTAAACACTCCAGCGAGCCATCGGCTACTTAAAAACAAAGTACACTGTTACTCGATATACACTCTGCGCTCATAATCCTCGCTTCTTGTTCACAGAAGGAGTGGTGGGGCCAAGTGGGCAGTTCTGTTCTTGTACTTCTTTATACATTCACAACAAAATGGGGATAGAAGATACGTGTGGATTGGTGTAGATAATCAGGAGAGACTCGAACTTTCTGCGTAATTTCTATTGCGCACGCGCACTGCTGCTACCAACTGACTTCTTCTTGACTCGTGGAATATCCGATCGTGGAACTTCATTGTTTGGCAGAGCGTCGAAGCGAGAGTATTCACGCTATTTGCTAAGCACCATCCCACACAAGAGGTACGTAGATTTATTGAAATTTTGTTAGTTTTATTACGATTGCTTTACTATACTTTATCTTTTGTCTGTTACCGACTTATAGTTCTGTATGACAAATGTAGTTTCGGATTTTGTACGAGTTGTTCGATAGATTTTCATGTTAAACGTAGAAAAGTTGTTTTCTGGTACGTTATGTCCTACGCCATTGTATCTTGATAACTGTAATGGCGGATCAGGGGTGTCACAAACAGTCTGACTATCTAATGTTTTTTGTTTCCCTGGACTGCTTATCGTGGGGACTGAATTGATTCCGTTTGATTTTTAAATTGATAGTTCGTGTGTTCATTAGCTGCTAATTTGGTACAGGATTTTATTATGATCTGTTATGAGGCTTTTATTCGTGCAATGGAGCGTAATAGATCATTGGATTGCACTGAGTCATTCTTGTCTTAAATTCAGTTTACTCAGATCATGTTAATCGATCTTTAGGTAACTAACTGAAAATGTGATAAAGGTTTTATTCTTGAAATGAGTTGTCAGCTGTCAGATGGCAACGTTTGAGTGGCGCCAATTGAGATCAATTTTTCAACTTGTATAAGCTTGTACTAAATGCTTATACTGGGCATTGTACTAATGAAATATTTCGTATTGTTTAATATTATTGCAATGAATATGTATAGGAAAGTCTGGGATGATTGTGCATAGAATTTAATCAATTACATTATATTTGTCTGGTTATATACATGAAGGAAGCCACTGTTAATAGCATAAAGACAAAGATATGCTAGGGGGAAGTACACTTGTCTCTTAATTAATTATTTACAAAATGTTATGTATCACATAATTTACGTAATTGCGTAAGTCATATTTTTAAAGGGAAAGTCCACCTCTTGAAACCAGATAACTTATTAATCTCTTACTCTGGATTAATAAAACTGCTATCAAAGTGATAAGAGACTTTAGATGTTATCTGACTGATGACTAAGACTTTTGATTTGTAGATAAATGTATGTGATATGCCATTCATTCTGTGATAAGCACATAGAAAGAGTTTCTACTTTTAGATGTGAAGAAAGTTGAAGATTTTTCTTATGCTACTGGTTTTTATCTTTGGTCTGTCGAATGTATATATTTCTTTGTCTGGAACATTCTTAAAATTTTATTTATAGAAGTAGCTCTGTCAATTGTCTTATGCAATTAATTGAGTATATTGGAAAATACTTTGTGAGCATGATAACAGTGTTATCATGGATTGCCAAGGAAATGAAATGATAATGAAAAATTATCAACGAGCAAAGTATTTAATTTAAACATGACAAGTAGCTGGTACTAGAAGGAAGCTTTTCATGTATGTGATAATATTTTATCTAATTTCTTTGTCTGTTAGCCTGATGACGAGCTCAACCTTTGTACATGTGCTGATTGCATGTTGATTATTTACTAGCTCACAATTATTTCAATGCATAGTGACTTCTCAAATATTTTGTGTAATATTAATATTATTACGAATTGTCATGTATCTGTGAAAGTAAACTAAGTGCCTGACAACAGTTTTGTCCCTGAATAGAGTTACACACTTTCACGTCTTCTTGATCATAAAGAATTGGAGAAATCAAACTGACATAGTTTTCAGATTTTATTAATTCTTGTTTATTGCTGACTGACTACCGAATATAAGATTGTAATGTATGATGTAATTCCAAGTCTGTTTTGTGAGATCTCAGAAATCGAAAGAACTTCAATTACTAAAATTCAATTAAGATCTATTATAGATCGCGTCAATAACGAGACATTTTTGTTTTGTTGCAGCAATCATGATTGCAATTGCGATTCTTTCTACTCTGTTGGTAGCGGCTTCAGCCGAATACTGTTACAATGATGTAGAAGCTGCCTGCAGCTCCAGGCCTCTCAACACCGGTACGTTCCAAAACTAAAAAGTCATGTTATAGTGTAATTTTATCTTTTACCTTGTTATAATATAACGTATTCTTAGATGCCCCACTCCTTGCAAATTGTAACGCTAAGTATGGCTCCTTCGAAAGTCTTCAGGCTGACATGCAAGCCTATGCCAATGCTAACATTGAAACAAGCTTCGAATACCTATTGATGTCAACACACTTTGGAAATTATGAGGTAAACCGAGAAGGTTTTAAAGGACTGTACAGAAAGTTATCAGACAAAGCTTGGGATGACGCCATTGACGTTATTAAATTCATTGCCAAGCGTGGTGGAAGAATGAACTTCAACCAGCTGCCACGATTCAAGAAGAATGTATGTATTCAAATAAAAAACAATTATTTAATTTACTTAAATGATGCGAAGGATTAGACTGAGATGACACTCATGGGTTTGCAGGGTAAGGAGAGCAGAATCCTCGAATTGACGGAATTGAACAGCCTAGCCAAGGCCCTGGACACTCAGAAACAGCTTGCCGACGAGGCCCTGCGTCTCCACGGACAAGCGACCCAGCACAGCAAGCAGGATGCTTCTGTGGCTCATTACCTAGAGGAACACTTCGTTGAGAAACAAGCCGACACCGTACGCGATCTTGCTGGTCACACGAACGATCTCAAGAGCCTCCTTGGGGATCGCGACGCCTCTGTGTCCGTATTCCTATTCGACGAGTACATCAAGAAGACTCTGTAAAATTATTAAAGTTCTATTGTGACGGTCGCCTATTATTGTTTGTAATTATCCACAGACTGCTACAAGAATTTAAGTGAATTATAATATATAATAAAAATATAATATCCTAATAAGGTGATTAGTACATTTGACACTGAGTATAAATAAACTAGAGATGCCCGTATAACCCATGCCTACCGATTTTAGTATGTAGAATATATATTGTATACCATTTCAAAGGGTAAAGTCTGGAGACGCTCGCCTGTCATTATATCGGCATCATTCTCATTCAGCATCATGCATCTCCTGACTTTATTCTTCTTCAATAATAAATCTGGGCCAATACTTACTAAAGAATTTGGATTAGTTCGAATTTTCGCCGATAAGGGGGCAGCATCTCCTGGGCATGATAAGTGGCGCCATCTCCGAAACAACCAGTGAACTTTGTACAATAAAATAATGCTGAATGTAATTTATAAATCATTTTGTCGTACAAGGTTCACTGATTACCTGAGAGATGGTGCCAAATATGCTTTATGACCATTTTTTCAATTGGGCCAAGAGAAAATCCAATTTTATTAGTTTTTGAAGACGCTTTAATAAAATAAGAAACTAATTGCGGAGCAACATGAAATAAATTGGGAGGAATTAATTCATTAAGAAAATCATATGAAAATCCGCTTAGTTATTTGAATATTTATTAACCATTGCATAATAGCAGCGGAGCAATTAGGAAAACATAAGGAGGATTTAAGGAGCAAATTTTAGATGGTAAATTTGTATCCTTTACCATTAACTTCCAAGTAATTAATCAGTATATCTCTACAACTAATAATTGGGAAAACTGCTATACCGACATACGATAATTAACATATTCAAATTACCGTCAAATTCAAGTATCTACAAAAAATCATTAACCCTGTGCTGCCATCTTTAAAAGATTCTCTCATCTTTTCAACTTCTGCCACAGATAGAAGAAAAAAGCATCAACCAAAAAAACAGAGCAGTTCATCCACCAAACCCACAAGGGGAAGAACAATGGTCAAACCCTACACCCATTGGAAAGTACAACAGTCTCTATACATAATACAACACCGAAGTCAATAGGTAAGAGAAAAAGGCATAGATAATGAAGCTACCCTAATAATCATTATCTTATGTCGATTAGTCGCACCTTCGTAAACAATGGCTTCCTTATACTCAACAGACAAAGAGCAGGAGATCGTTCGAGTCATTAAGGTCGTGCCGCGTCGAAGAATGATCTCGCATCGATCATTTTTCCGTGCTTGAAAGAGCGAGAAAATTCAGTCCTCTACTGACGATAACGAATGAACGCGTACATTATACATCTATATACATATAAAAAGATCCGTACATGAAATATAGCTAAGGAAAAGATGTATCTTATACACACGTAAAGACGAAGTTGGTCGCGCATGTAAAGAAAGACATTACGAGGCGATATTATCCGCTAGTATAATTTACGTCAGTCCCGAGCGATATCAGGGCCCGGAGGGCGCGTCATATTTTAATGCAACAAAAGGACAAAATATGTTGTTCCTCGTTTAGTGAACCGTGGAGAGATGTTATTAAATCATGTATTGTCATCTTTTGTGGGTCAGTGATATGACGTCATTAGAGGGTCACGTGAATAGGGGTAAAGCAAAATAGCGCCTTCCCATTGGCTGGTCGTTCAATCGCACCACCCATAACCTTAGTTATTTATTGCGATAGGAATTATTTACCATCGTGGTGAGAAATCGGAAAAATATCTGACGCATTGTTGTATTTGTTATGCTTTTTGTCTTGCGCGTAATTGCTCTCTGTTATTGTGACAGATAAGACGCGATATCTTTTGCGGATTGGTACAGGGAACCTATGTGATTCGTATTCCGCCATTTTGGAAAGGAAGAGAGGAAGGCGGATGAGAAAAAAAATGTCGGGAGTGAAAGGAGGACTCGAAGAGATTCCGTTTGGAAGATTGTTGTCTGCCTGAGGAGATAATGAGAGAAGTCATGTTAAAATAATTGGAAAAAGTAAATCGATAACTGGATGTTAATGCTATCGTGGGTCGTTTAGGTCGCCGGTGTCGCGTTCAAGATTCGATAAGTGAACAGAGCTAATCGCCTTTACGACCCTCTTGACTCCGCCTCGAGGTTTTCTTAGGAGATGACAGAGAAGAATGGAGGAATAAATCCGAAAAATAAAAGATTTAAAAAGAAAGGGGGGAAATGTATGAAGATTAAAACAATAGGGATCTTTGGTAATATTTGTTTTTATTGCTTTCTACTTCTTTAATCTTAATTCGTTATTACTGTCGTCAACCTCATTGATATCAATGGCGGTGGTCCTGCTCGTCCGATCAGCAGCTTCTGGTTAGCGTAGAAAACATGTTGTCGTGATTGGGGAAACGCGAATAAAAGTACATTTCTAGAGGCCATAAAACTGATTTTTATTATATTTGTCAAGTGCCTGTTATTGTCGTTTATGTTATATAAATATAATCAAGTCTTATTATGTTTTTGTAATAATGACTACTTTTATTCTGTTATTAGTTTACTGTTAGATTTTATTAACGTGCAAATACATTAATATTCATTGACCTTATTCATTGCCATTTTCAGATGTGACTTCAAAATTTGTCATCCTGTGGTCGCGTGTAAGTACTCAAGTATCTGATGATTCACCATGAAGTTCTTATTTAGGTATAGTATATAGATGCTTGTCTATTAAATATATATAAATTAATATGCGTATGTACACTAAGTAATTCTCATAAATTTCTGGAATTTTCTAAAATCCCTTATCGGCATACTCAATGAAGACTTACATGCATGATTATTTACAGAGTTGTGTGGGATTGTGAAGATAAGAATACATTATCATCGGTCAGTGGAGCAGAAGATGGGTAAGCACACAAGAAAATATAGAATGGAAAGATCAAGAGACGTGGGATCCTTACTAGTATTGGAATACTACAGAGAAGATAAGACATGACTATGTAGTCTACAAGAGGTGTTCCACAGCGATGAACTTATGCATGAATACAAAAAGGGTACGATGATAAATCATCCCCATGCTAATCTACTCCATTACTGTTACTCGAGTGCTTTCCACCACTTGTCAAAAAGTTGTTGAACCACAGCGAAGAATGAACTTGTGGACATTCAATAACACAAATGAGAACCAATGTGGTTAGTCACGCCAACAAGACATTTGCATCGTACGAAAAAGTTCCCTAAAGCTCTCTTATTGGCTTGAAAGGTTCTCACTCGATTGTTTACACTCTATTATTTAAGGGGAGTCGTTGCGTTAAGTAACAGCTAAGGTGAAGGTGATCATTACGTGGTAAACACGATTACGCTATCGGATCTGAAATAGGAAAGTTATGATAATCGAGAACGAGTCAAAGAAATTCACAGTTAAAGTGACGCCTAGTTTATCCTTTTATAAGATATTAATACCTCCTGACCTCTGAAACTTGTCATCGGAACTAGATGGACGTCCGATATAATGCATTGCGTTCACTTTGATTATTCATAACGCTCGATGGTCAAACTTTTGTAAGAGTTTTAACATGAAAGTTTATCTATTTATTGACTGTCCACGTAAGTACAGTAGCCCGGGACAATAGGGGTATGTAATGTACCTGGGAAAGTGGAGTTACTCGGCTCGTAGGCGGTTGTAATTCTTGGAAGATTGTCCTTGGCAGAATGCAAGAGTAAGAGGGATGGTATGTGTGTCTGAGCGAGTGAGAGAGCAATAGATAAAATGAGGAGGACTCGATTTGGTAGCCACATCAGGGAATACCTGAGGGTCGTGTCGAAATACTCTGCTGACTCGTCGCGGACGTGGCGAGTTGTATATTCGTACGTTTCATATATACATGCACGTATATATACGGATTTACAAGGAAACAACAAGCACCGTAACCCACTTAATGACGACGGATTAATCGCAGTGGGGGGTTCCCCGGAATTTGTGCAGTCATCGTTAAGTCGCTGGAAAAAAAATAATTGTTATACAGGGTGGATCCGAAGTTAGGGGCAGTAAAACCTGTTTGACCTGAATATTGCTGATTGTCGTTCGAGTTCGAATTTACATTCGACACGTATATAGGTAGAATAATTTAAAGCTCTTTGACTGGAAGCCAAGAACGTGTGACTTTTCTGAAGGATGTAATTAATAACGTCAATTTTGGTATCCCTTAGATTTTATATTTATCGTTCTGAATGTACTCCGATGAGCTGCTTCACCCTTCGTGACTGAGGCTGTTAAAACTAGTTCCACGATAAAGATGTTTGGGTTAGGTAGAATTGGAATTATCAGAAAAACGTATAAATAAAAAAATAAATAAATGTTGCGAGAAACGATTCCATTAATTAGTTGATAATTCTCAAAGGCAAATCTTCAAGGGTTATCTCAATACTTTACGCGGCAGCTGCTCTAATGTCTTTTCTCTCGCGCAGGCTTTCGTTTGAAAAAAAGGAAGACCGATTCAAATTAGTCTTTTTTATGAATTTACATTGCTAAATCGTTGTAATCGATATAGGTCAAATTTAAGTAATAACAAAATGGCGCAATTTCTCTGATACACAGTTAATCAAGCAATCGACTTTGCAGGGGTCGTTTTAATTACTTGTGACGTCAAGAAAGCGTGCCGATATTATGCTAATGCTCTTAGTCAGTTTTTTTCGTATTAATTAAATTCTCGAATTTGTCTATTAACGGAAAACGAAACAGACTATTTATACGGGCGAGTTGTCACGCAGACAAGACTCGAAGCGAGTCTTTCCCCGCGGATCCAAACCAAAAAGTTATATCTTAGAAAACGTATAGAATGTCATTGATGAAAATTTAAAACAAAAAATGGCACGCAGGGGAAATTTACCTTTATCAACATTACAACCATGTCACTGAAAATTGCTTTCGTACGGCCAATCACAAGATTTTCGGAGTGCGTAATTTCATTCTTTCAAGTCTCGTCCGTCCGACAAATAGCCTGTTAAATTACCCTTTAAAACGTGCTATCAAATGATAAACGCAATGTCTCCATGTTTTTGACTCAAGCCACTTTCATAATCAGCGACGCGAATAAGAGAAACGAAAAGTATCGGTGGAAGAAATATTTGTTACAAGACCCCCTGCGACGCGTAATCGCTTGTTTGTATTGCATCAGTACCCCCTAGTCAAGTCAACCCCAGGGTTATCGTGATTATTATTTATAATTTTTTAATAACGTTACAGCTCCATAATCAACGCCCGTTGATAATACATCGATGTGGTACGATCCGTTAAGTAGTAATTAACGAAGGCGTCGACATCATTTCCGTACTACGTTTTGATTTTCATGACCTCCCGTGGTCGCTCTTAATGGCTACGGATTTACGCAAGGGACACTGTCGCTACGTCAGACCAAAGATACCCTATGACTGCTACGGTTATAATGGTGTCTGTGGAGCTTGTGGAGTTTTTTTTAAAATTAAATTTCAAAAAAAAAAACAAAAAAAAAAGAGGAGTAAAGAATGGAAAAATAATGATAACAGCGAATAGTCAATCGAATACTTCACCTTAAGTGAAATTGTACGCTGCTTGTATACCCGGTTGTTCAACCCAAACGCACCACCTGAACATAGTTGCGTGACAAGTGTCAAACGAGCGCGCTAACTTCAGGCGAGTGGTGATCGTCGCGGGGAAAATATGGGATATATTATTTAACATAATATATTTTTGTTACAGAATCATCCTCTTGTTCATGGATTACGTCATTGCGCCATTTTATTTCGTTATCTCCCTGGTAACAAGTGCGCCACGTTTGCCCTTGCGCGGAAGCAATGTAATTAACAGATTTAATCTGGACTGTAATCGTCTGACCTGTTCTCCGACCTAGCAACGATTCCACTGATCTATGTACGCTTTGCGATTTTTTTTTTGTTTCAAGACCAAACCTCGTGACTACCCCATGCGGAGAGGTCATCATCGTCGTTCAAAGATTAATCGTATTATGTCAGAACATTGAACGTTTCCATAATGCTTCCTGATTGTATTATCTGAGACTTGACTTGGATGATCGTTCTTGGACTGTGATGATCTTGGTAATGATGTAAGTAATTTCCTATTTTAATGTCATTATTTTTATCCTTCCTCGATACAGGTACCGTGACGAGTATTACGAGAGGAGCAAAGAAATTTTCGAGCAGTTGAAGCTTGTAATGACGGATGACGACGAATCGTCATTGGTCGGTACGACAATAATGATTGTCAGCTGTTATGGTTGACGTCTTGGTCGACGCGGAGGATTCGCGAGAATACAGAGAAAGTATGTAAGCCGGAGGTCGTCGTCAGGAGAAACGTCAGCCGAATCTTCCCAGGCATCGATGATTCCCGCTGACGGAGCATTTTCGCGCGCATTCGACGATTGAAATTCGATGACGGTCTTGCATCATTTACCAAGAGCGAGAGAACGATTGTAGGAATCAAAATGCGTGCTCTTCAAAACAGTAAGGTTATGACTACTTAAATTAGTATTGATACCAGCTCGGTTGCAGTTCATCTTGAGGTTCGCTTCGATTCCTGTTCTTTATCACTTCTTTTTTTTATTATTTCAGTTCATCCTCCCTCCATTGAGAATCAAATCTCAGGCTACAAACTCATCGCACAATTTTCGTGAGAAACTTGGTACGTGGATCGATGACCCTTCGTTGTGCATCCGTTTTATATTGCGTCAAAGGGAATTGGATGATAGAAAAATTTAGCTGATCCCATCAAGACGTGGAGCCTTAAGGAGAAGCTGAAGAGAAAACAAAAGACACTCCGACTCCCACGTCTCTGTACCCACCGGTTGATTAATGTATCTCAATTAAGTGGTGGGGATGCTTATTGTACAGTGTATCTTGAAAAGGGATGCAGATGATGACGTGTGATCCAATGTGCACTCGGTCAGTCATAGCGGAGTGGACGCTAATATTAGCGCTGCAACATGGTAACCGCGCTTCGAGCTTATTCCTGGCTCAGCCAGCTGCTTGGCTAGCCAGAGTCAAGGTCACGGTATTATAGAGCAACTTGCTTCTGTCACATGTACAACCGCGACCCTATATACCGACACCTCCACCTAGACAACAAGACTGGTTAAAGCTCCTTGGCAAGATGATAATCTACGTCGAGCTCGGTGTGTAATGCGATTGGAGCTTTTTTTTATAAGCATATGATTATATTCACTGTAAGAATGAGTTATCGGTAAAGCATGCGGTTTGTCAACAAAGTTATTGAATTTTATAATTACACTGATAACTCTGACATAATTTCAGGTGTTCGCGTGAGAGGCGACCATTACGCAGCGACCAGAACTGACGTCGGTAGGAGAGAAAAGAGAAGAGAGGCGCTTAATGATGCTGGGGAAAGGAATTGAAAATGTCAGGAGTGGCCTAGGAGTTGATTTTCCTGTGGCTACGTGGGATCGGTTCTTCTACCCACTGGTACGAGTTCTCCGCATCCACAGTGTCCTTGGCCTATATCTAGAACGTAGGTGAGATTGAGACTCCACTCCTTCTCTCGTATCCCATGCTGTTGCTGCGCCGTATCCCTAGATTGGAGTAATGGATGATCGGCTTTGCTTCGTTTTTTTTTTTTTCACTTGATTGCGCAAGGCTTAGGTTATAGGAGAAGATTTTCTCGAAGCTCTTAGGTCACGGAAATACGGTCCCAACATGATTTCATCCTTCTGCCCGGTTACGCGGAGCCGTCTGGACTTATGTCAGCTGGTACTGGTCGATTCAGAAGCGAGAGACTCCGGAGTATTATCGGCGTGGGATTACTTAATCGAAAGTGAGCCGCTGCTAGGCTCGGCCGAGCAACTAGGTCGAGAGTGGCTTGTCGTTACTTACTTATTTGTTCACTTACTAGCTGCTTACCTGGTTAGCTGGTTACTTTACTTCGGAACCCGGGAAAGTCGTCTCCCTTGGTTCCTCAGACTGATACCAAGTACTGGATAGTATAGTGTTCAAGCAGAGGCCCTCCCCTCGCGCCCCCCGATACTTCTGACGAGAGAACAAAATGCTCCGGACTATAATAAACAGATCATTTACATGCTTCTAGATTGAGATCAACCAGCATCGGACATCAAGGAGAATGGCCAAGGAACGAAAACGGAAAGGAATCTGTGTGGTATATCTGGAGCGGAAGTACCTGACAAATTTGGCCTAACAAACTTTGATATTTCGCACAAGTAATTTCAGTCGAGCACCACAAGGAGCAGAGTCGTATATCGTGTGGAGTAGCTGAGTAGCTACGTCGTTCCGTGCTGGCAACAATCCCGCAATGTATAATTAAAAGAGTCCAAGGCATGCAGTAGTGGCTGTTACAGTAAGCGCGCGAGGATCGCGCCATGTTGCCCGAAAGATCGTCGAGACGTCGTGGATCATCCTCAGGGACCAATTAAGAGAGCGATCGATAAATGCATTGTAAGACGTTAGCACAGCGACGTCCACCGGTGGGAAACGGTACCCATACCGATGACGATATATGCCTTAAGGCTGACACGCATGTAACGACCGCTTGCGGAATGCCATGTAAATAGGGAAGAGGAACGAAATAATAAGAGGAGTATGATAGAAGGAGGCGATGCCGACCTTGGCCTTCACTAGCAGTCAGCAGCGTGCAACTGTCGCCTCGAGCGAATCGCATGTGCGAATGTTGTTACGCGAGCCAAGCCAGTGTGTCGAGCGACGGTGAACACGATGGGGAGTGTTAGAGCAGCAGGGCTGACTTCTATGTGGAGCAGCAAAAGTGACAGTCATATAGCGATAGTCGCGGTACTAGAAAGCTGTATGTTGTATATAATAGTTTTAGGCCTGACACCCGTGGAATCATTCTAGTCGTCTTGAATCCCTTTGTTCAAGCGGATATAAATGATAGTATGAGACTTATTATTTATATTTTATATCATGGCATTTTTATGGAGAGGCGCCTTAATATTTTTATGGGTCATTTACGACAGGGTTATAGATCTGTAAGGGTTATTGCTTAAATCTTGTTACGGATGAATTATTGAGGCTCGATCAGATACGATCGGTTTCCCATAGAGAGCCTTTTGTATTTTCGCAATGAATTTCACGAGGGTTCTACGTCGAGGGGCGTCGCGACGCCAACCTCAAAGCACGGTCTCGTGGATGGTGTCGCAAAGGCCCGGTTCATCCAACCCCGGTAATGGCTGTCGCTTTAATAACGATTAAACCCGCGACTCGGTTGCATCAGTACCGAGTGCAAGGATAGAATCGCGAATGCATTGTGTAACGGTTTACGATTTACGGTTTACATAGCCGTCCTATTCTGTATATTTAAGTCAAAGTCCAGTGGCTAATTAAGGTAGTTAATTGGGTGACTGGGTAGTAATAATTATTGGTTAAGTTAGAGTAATTAAATGAAATTGCCCGTAGCGTTATCGTAGTCCAACTACTTTATCTGATCTACTAAGTGTCTTAAAGGCGTTCTCTTACCGGATTTAATTTTCAAGGCTTTTCCCCAATAATTATGTCCTTTGGATTTTCAACTTTGAACTTTGAATCCGTCAGGTATTTTCTTTTGTTATGCCCGTATACAATTTTTGTTTTTTCTCGTTTCTTTTTTTTTTTGGCAGCTAGGGTCCCCAGGGTATAGGGAATAACGAGAATATTCAATAATCCAGGAATAACAGAGGTTTAAATGCTTAAGCTGTGTAGACGCCTAACTGTCTACAGTAACTACTCGAAGTATCGATTACATGCATGCGATCACGTAGTACACCGTAGTTAATTTCCTATTTCAGGTAAAATCAAACGGTGCGAAGGTGAAAAAAAAATGTGAAAGTCCTCAAATTCGCGTTATCCGTCCAGTTATTCGTACTCGAGTCTATATTGAAAATTCTTTTTTTTTAACTGAAAAAAATATACGACCGCGCGTAAAAGCAACGACGTTACTCGAAGCGTAAAGGCGGAAAAATACATTTGCACGAGGTGCGCTTTTAACGTCCCAGCAATTTAGCGGCGTCGTGAGCGTAAAGATAATGAGTAATTTAAATGCACGATTCAAACGACACGGCGGCTGTGAAGTAATTCAATTTTTCGTCTAAAGTCGGAGATAAGGTTTCCTAATAGACTTGACTGTAAACTATTTCTAAAAAAATCAGTTATCAGCAAGATGTTTCATGTCGAATGCCATAAGAGAACAATGTAAAAATCACACAAAAAATGTATCATGGATCCTGGTACCAGGTACCGAATCACTCGGTCAGCTGGTACCAAGATTTTTAGGTATATTTTAAATAGATAATGAATCTCATGAATAATTCCGTTTGATAAGGAGGTTCCTTGCAAGAAGTCTGCACGTAGCAAACGAGAGTGAATGAGAGTAAGTGAAGTGGTGGCCTCATAATGAAAGTGAAATCGAGGGCGCCAGTGCCGCAGCCCACAAGAGCGTCGACGGGTTCTTCAGAGTGGCGTGAAACGTACAAGACATTTATTCAGATATATATATATATATAAGCATAGATATAGTACACATGAAGCCCATTGCACTGTGAACGAGGCTTGAATCACCCACGTGGCGCTGCATCCTGCGGAAAGGTAACGGAAGAGGATCCTGTCGCGTAGTCTAGTGAAAAGCGGATTTATTCTAGTTACAAAGCTGAATATACATGTAAGCTATGGCTGTTTAACAGCAGTGACTATTCGTATGGTTTTATATTTCGACGGTTGGTTAACATGGAATTAGATTTTAAGAATGATTTATACAAGATGGAAGTAACTCTCATGATGCGCGGCATTCACGTATTTTTATCGTGGCATAGTTTTAGGTTATCTCGTCACAGGGACGCTAAGGGCCTACGGAGTTATCTTGCTGTTGATTTATCATCGTCTTGTTATCGTGGTGACATACATTCACTACACTACGGTGGAGAGCCGTCCGTAGGAGCATCTCTTAGGAAGCATCCCTAGAATTGTATAGAGAATTTATGAAGTTCCAGGAAGGTCCTATGAATATATAATATATATAGATTGACTGCCGGTGTATGACTTGATGAGAGCGATTGGAGTAATTGAAGAGCTAATAATATTAAGTATGGTAACGTCTGATAGATGTACTCCGAGAAATTGTGCGATTGGAGGTAAACCGAGAGAGACGAAAAATAAAAAAAGCGAGAAACGGATTCGTGTTACCGACGAGCGAATAGAAGATGGAGTTTAATGGGGATTTGCAAGGAGCGACAGAGACAGATATTTCTTCGACGCTCTTGGCTGCGCGAACTTTCACTTTTTTCACCTGGCTTCCCACCCCTCTCTCATCCTCTCCCGTGATTGGCTCCACCTTCTCCCACCACCTTCCTTTCTAACCCCCACCATACGTCTCAGCTACCAATGGCCCTTGTAATTTAGCTGTCTCTCTCGCACTCCCTGCCACTCAAATATGGCGGATGGTATTCTTTTCTTTATTGGCTTCGACTCCCTTATCCCTTCCACTTCTTCTTCGACACTTCTCTCTATCCGTCAGTAACTCCTTATGTAACTGACACCATTCCGCTAGAGTAACCGGGACAAAACACAACTGATACAATACCGAAAACTCACTTATCCCATACATTACATGTATGTATACAAGGAAGGCTCCTTCTCGTTAATTTTACAGGCGACTAATGCTCATCGGTAAATAACATATTTTAGGGCGATCTTCATGACGCTTAACGGCCTCCATTTTGGGTCACGTTATCAGAGTGTATACTGTACATAGAATTAAGTTGTTACTTTTTATCCCCATATATATATATATGAGATTCTGAATTTTTCATCATCCTAGGTTAAGTCAGGTCAAACTTCCTTAAGCACTCGTTAAACGTAGCTGCTTAATTGCGACAATTAGTCGCTCCCGTCGCGTTATGCAAACGTAGGAATCGTCCGTTGCGAATCTGGAGCGGAATCGACGAGCGTTTATTGCGAACGCGGGATAAAAATCAATTTTGCAATTTTCCCAGGTCGTGTACGACAACGAGGACGCCTTCTGTCCCCACGTCGACCTCCTCCACCCGTTAGATTTCCATAGCGAAACAAAAGACGCCATGCTAATAAAGTTCGGAAATTAGGTAAGACTATTATCATCGGTGGGGTCTTTCGAATCTACTAGAAAGACACTTCAATCGATATACTGATAATTGACAAAGTTAACGTGTCTTTAATCAAATTTATAGATCGTGCCGTTACATAATCTTGTTTTAGGGATGAATTTTGATGGTAAGCTCTCGTTTGTCTCTTCGTAATGAAATTTATTCGTTATTTCTATTTCCGCTAGAGGCGCTGTTCCTCATGCATCCACTTGTCCCAGACTGACACAATCCTATTGTGCTTTATAATGCACAATGAATATTAACAGATAAAAGGTTAATGCTATTGGCTATTAATTGCGCATCACTTGCAAATTTACTTTCGTGCTATCTTTCACGCGAGACTCACAATCAGTACGATCTAGTAGTAACGAGGAGGGGGACCTTTTATTACGGGCCTGACTTCACACTTGTATATTCGTACAATGATATCCTATGAATAAGCCATAACGATATCGCGTCGATGTGAATAAGCCTTGCGTCGCTAAATCACGACGCATTTAATTCGCTTAACAGAATTACACTAGGGAAGCGAATCGCGCGTTGTGTATGGAGCCTAATCGCGTGCGAGTCTATTATGTCAGTGGCGATTAAAATCATACTGACCCAATTTTCAAGCCCTAGTGTCAGCTCTACCGGGTGTCTTGGGCAATTAATAATAATCACACGATAAAGCTGTCGGTAAAGTGCAACGATGAGGTTGTGAAAAAAATGTTTTTTTAATATTGCCAAAATTTTTTTTATTATTTCAAAACTTCAACTTTTCTTTTTAACGACGAGTTTGGATTTAACTTTCGATCTTTCATAGTCGATCGTTTTTTCTCGCCTGGTGACTGAAGTTATTGACACACCGCGTACGTTTTTGTGGGACAACAGATTCTGTTTTGTTTCGAATATACTGATCACTACTAGTCAAGAGGCACACTGACTCCTGCCGATTAGTCAAATATACGCATTATAATCCTAATAAGATCAGAGCTTAAGGCTTATACTTTGGAGATTTATCGATACGGATCTGACGTTCAATCTAGGTTAAGTCTTATTACTAGTGTTGTTATCGACATCTAGCATTCAAATGACACTGTCACAACGGCAAGTCCCAAACAACAAAAATGTGGGCATGGAGGAGCATCTGTAAGTAGTTCGTATTCGTATCTAATTCGTATCTCGTACAGCACAAAACATTGAAATGCATTTTAGAAAGATTTCGGTGATCTAACAAGCAGGTTTATAATATGTATGTTTTAGCCATGTTTCTAAACCGTGTCTGAATATTTTTTGCTGCAAGTTTACGGTATACCCAGGTTATTAAGCCCAGACACACCACCTGAATATATGGTTTTACCATAGGACTCAAATGGGCGCGCTAACTTTAGGTGATGCGTTTCTATTGAATAACCCTGTATATTTCGAATTTCATCTACCGAATGACATATGATTTAATATGTTAAATATCTAGAGCCTCGAATCGCGATGACATTTTGGCAATCCTGTCAACTATTTTGATACGGGCCCAAACGAAGATCGTGACGTTGAAAAATCCTTCCCAGGACCCATTTCATTGACCCCAATGGTGCTATGCTTGTGAGACCCAAAAGGTTGTACTTCATTAAACGAATAGCCTAGTGATATTAACCTCTGGAAGATGGGGATTTTTCAGCTATACATCACTTTCATTTTTCTCGTACAGTAGCACTTTACTATATGTTAAATTCTTTTATTTGACGTTTTAATTCATATTACGTATTACTTATTATGTATTGAACCATATCAATGCATATTCTAAGCTCCAAGTCAAAAACTGTAGAAGTTAAAAAATCTGTCCGTTCTCTGAAGGTTAACAGAAGACCCGACTGCATCAAGCGTAATAACTCGATAAAGATTCGATACAAGACCCTTGGGGAACTTTCTCGTCAAGATGAGAAGCGAATCAATTCACATGGTAAGACCCAATTATCCGAAGCGCGTTCATCGTATCAACGGGGACTTATGCAATGTAAAAGAAAAAAATAACGAAACTTTTTTTTTCAGGAACAAGTTAATGGTAAAAATCCGAGAAGAGAAGTCTTTTAGATGAGAAAGAATGATAAGACGATAAGGCCCACTAGGTGCTTTGGGGGGGCCTTAAAAAACACGAGGTTAGAATAATAATAATATATATAAACTAACTCGTAGGTGTTGGAACAACCATGATGAGTTTTTCTATACACGTATCCATCTAACAAGGCCCAAAACCAGAACCGGCGTACTCATACACTTACGCTTCTCTTAGTGTTCAAAGGGGCCTTACTGTAGGTGTACCAGGACTTACTATACGTTCCAACAGTGCACATTCGAGCGTATGCATTTATCATTCGTGGAGGAGCAAACCTTCTATGTTGGTACTCTTGCTTTGTGTGATACCGCTCGTGTAAACGTGTATATATATATAATACGTATATACAGAGAGGACTGGAGTACCAAGTGGTGGGGACGAAGTGAAAGTGAGTCAAGCATTGTTTAGGAAGCCTCAGCAAAGTCAGTGGTTCTCAGTTCCTAGATTGATCCTAGATAAACATAAATATAGTAGAGAGAGAGTGGAACTCGTAGTAAGAAACGAATTCTAGAGTCTCTTTACGTTTAAAAGAATTCCCAAGTATTTTCAAAACAAACGGAAGCTTCGAATTTAACGCCAAAACGTCGTTTAGCATTGTAATTCCATGAACGACTGCTAGATGGCAGTGCGACGGGTTTGAACGAAAAATCTGAACAAGTCTCCTTTTTCTTTTTGACGTTTTATGACTTTCTATTAATATTGTACTAGACTAGATGCACGGGGACCTTGTTTGACTGTTACGTACGTTTATAGGTTATACCAAGGAGCCGGAGGATCGTAGTATTCCGTGCAGGCAGCGTTTCTCAACGTTTTTCGTTATTTCTATTCGTTCTAGGTTATAATGCCGTGTGGCATTAACGAGGAAAATTTTTCGTGGACGTACTTTTGCCTTTTATTTTCCTCTTTGTATCATGGGCCTTCCCGAAGTGTTTCCCATTGGAGATTATGGGTACGTGGGAAGGAGACGCCTTTTGCTTCTTGTTTTTATTATGCATTAATTGTATGTATGTATATATGTACAGGTTGTGGCCTTTATGTTGCATGTGCGTCAATGGTTTGCCAGGACTCGTCAGTGCTATGGTATTTCGATCGTTTTACTTGGTTCAACTTGTGCGCAATCCTCTACGTATCCTTTGCCTTCGTCTTCTTCCACCTTTCTGGATTTTACGCAATAGACGATTCACCGCAGACTGGATATAACTCCAAGCTTGACATCATCCGGAGAACAATTTTTCTTGACGTCTTTGCGGCACAGGAGAAACAACAGGTTTTTTGGTACTATGCATATGTGCAACAATGAGTTTAACTAGTTGAAGGATATTTTTAAGAATGATAATGATAATAATAATATCGTTTCTATTAAAAGGTTTTTGGGGTTCGTTCACCCTCGAGTAACGGACTCGAAAAATGCCGTCGCGAACTTAATCCTCGGCTGTATGCGCATAACGGTTCTACAAGGTGAGAGGGCCAGCAGTAGTCATCTCGATGAGGTGGATGGACCAGGACGGAGGATGGGATGATCGTGAAGATAGAGGATGAAGAGGACGAGGAAGGCGTCACTCTCGAAAAGCCCTTTCTCCAATTCTCAGAACGAAGAGAGCGTGGAGTCGATGAAGAAGAAGAATGAAACCGGAAGCGAGATGACATACGTGCGTGCACCAATGCGGTCATTTTTTAATCTTTTTTTTCCGTGTATATATGTATATATATATATATATATATATATATATATATATATATATATATATACGAAATGTTATTCAGCTCAGACGCACCACCTCAAGTTAGCACCCCCATTTGATTTTTATAGTAAAAGCATGTTTAACCGGTGCGTTTGGACTGAATTTGGACTGAATAATTATTTGATACGAAAAATGGTAATTTTTATAATGGATTGTAGTAACTTGATGAGGGTAGTATTTTGTAGGTTGGATTTTTCGATTGAATTGAAATTTCACCTTGGTCTGTTATTTATTGTTATACAATCGTTTACAGGAATGACGCGTTCATCTTACGGAACACTTACGGGCTTTCCTGATAAATTTTCCTTGATATTTTCTGGAATAACCTTACGACGTCGCCTACGACGCTTTTGTTTCGTTGACATTTCTTCTTGCTGTTTGTTATTGGAATCTTATGATTCATGCTGTAATTGTTAACGTGTTATCCTTAGATGAGTGAAATCGCGAAAGAGAGGGAGAGCGAGAGAGATTAACTATTGATGTTACACCCTTTGTATTTCTGCAGGATTATCTTCTGCGACTGTGTGATAACCTCGAGTGATCGTTGTCATTAAAAGGGAACGTGAGTCATTATTGAACAGGAACATGGTTACTGAGTGACTGACTGACTCATTGACTAGCTCAGAATAATCCCTATAAAGTATCGGTAGGTCAGATCATGAAGTTAGAAGAAAAAAGGGAAATTAATAAAAATGTTTTATTTCTCAAATTTTAGTGAACAACAAGGGAAATTGAGGAACACGAAAGAAATGGATGATCAGGAAGGACGCACGGAGGGGATGAAACAAACTGATGATTCGACAGTGAAAACTTGTTGCATGGGTACAAGAGGATGAGGTGGAGAAGGTGGAATCATTTGCCACGACCTCGAACCGGTCCCTCCACGTGTTCGGACAATTCAAGGACACTCACCCTGGTTTTCTACCAGGTAGCGCGCACCGGGTACCTGGTACCGGGTATCTTGGTACCGGCCTGGTCTCCTCCATCCGGATGATGCAGGGAGACCCATCCAAACGCAGAGTCTTCTGCGTGGGTCAATGGCCGCGCTTGGCCAGCTAGGAATTTGGTGCAGGTGAGGCCCAAAGGGAAACGCCTCTCGTTCCATAGTGGGCCCTAAAAGGGGGACTCTGCCATGTTCTTGCCGGGCAACGACCCGCCACAAACGTCAACCACTTGCTTGTCTTTCTGGGTTTCTTTTTTCTTCTTGGCACAGCAGCATCTGTTTCAAATTGTCTACGAATCCCCATGAATTTTTCGATTTCATTTTCTACTTTTATTCCGAATACGACTATGTATCCACGTACCAGTTCACTGACTTCGATGCTATAGATTCTATCAAGATAGTCGCAAAGGTATACGTAGTTATCGTCGAGTGGTATTGTTTTTGACTGCTCACCTTGGATCTAGGAAACGATTGAATTTCAAATAGTCTTTTCATTGTACGTCGCAATACGTCTTTTGAGACTTGCCTTATCTAAGAAAAATGAGAGTGTTATACCTTGTCTTTTTATTTTTCATTATTCTGCTCCAGGACGAATCCTCAGGATGCAGTGATCATCTTCAGTGGGTCTCACAGTCTCTGCACAGTCTGACTATGAGGATACTTTGACCATTTCTACTGCTGACCTGAGGGTACTGGTCTCTTCTTCTTGATACCTGAACGAGGACCCATGGTTCTGTTACCAATTACTCTTCCTCGCAGGCACTTCTTGCCTCGCTATTATTTTCGTATCTCGTTCATCCATTTTTTTGTCCATCCTTTGTTAGACCATGCACGGAGAGCATCCACCGGGACGAACCTAAAACCTAGAGCAGAAGGTCGACGGCCCATCTAGCCCGGAGGCAAAGACTGGCACGCGGGCTCTTAAACACGCCTACCTAACTCGCAAAGGAGCAACGGATTCGGATGATTCGAAATTGCGATTTAAAAAAGGAATTAATAGTGATAGACGCCACCATAATTTTTATTTTTATTTTTTTTTTCAAAATCTTATGGATCCGTCGTAATTCCGTTGGGATTTGTATTTAAAAACATGGAGAAAGAAACGACCTAATCGAACAGGTATAAATAAATTGCAACTGTCTTCAGGGCTTTGAGTGGATTTAATTATTGATAATTATTAGAATCTCCGTGTTATTTGTGTTCCGTATATTTTATTAGCTATATTTTTCTTTCTATCTCGGGGCTTATAATTTTACTGCAATTTATCAATTTCATGCAACGATTTCAGGGACGGTGAAAAATTTCATGGTGGTTCTATGGCGGTGCCTAAGCGGCCGTACGGTACTTCACCTCCGAGTGTTTGTTTAGGAGTGCATTCACCTTCATTCACGTACGCCGAACTCGGGGACCTACAAACAACCATACAGGAGGGACTAGTCGATGGGATTCTCAAGGTTTCCAGTAAAGATCTTACAGCGACAACGTTTATTTATTGCTTGGATAAGTTATTAGCCTCCGTCTGCGAATCTGACCGATTCTAGTCGATTTTACAGGTAATATTTTTATTTTTTTTCTAATATCACTTTACACGCTAATCAATACTTTATTTATGCAATAGGTACACGTGCTAGAATAGGAGAAAGAAACAAGAATTGACATACAAAAAACTTGTCTGCTCTCAGCTGTTAAAAAACATTATTATCAGTTTGCTATCTAAGAATCTAATCGATTCTAATCATATCCAGTAGCTTTCAATGCTATGTATATCCATAAGACTCAGTGGTCTATGGTAGAATTTTTATGCTAGTTCTAAAGTATCTCCTGTACATACCGTACCCACTATTCATCATACACAAAGTCTCATAAGACTCTTTACTAGTATCTCCTAGGTGATGTAATGTGATGCAAAGTGGCACAGTGCGAGACTTACAATTAGAAGAATAGTCCGATGTCAAGTTATAAGTTTAAAGAAGATAATTTGACGGTAAGATGGAACAATTTGTTTTTCTCAGATCGTCGTATCTCAGATAGTAATTGGTAAATAATATATTTGATTAGTGGAACTGGTATTCCCTACTACTGTTACTGGTTCTGTGGATCATTGGATGCCAGCCAAGATAAATGCAGCATAAATAAATAGAAACTGCGTCCCATCGCATGCTGTTACATACGTAGATAATGACAAGCGCATAATCATTCGCATACGTTAGTTGTTCTGATATTTATGAATCATTATGCATCTCTTTTTTTTATTCGTCACACACAAAGATCTCAGCAGCTAGATATCATGCGATAATCCAAAGAGGTGGGAAAGATCTTTTTCTTCTTCCTCCAGACTGCTAGAACACTAAGGTCTATACTAAACAGAAAGAAATCATAAAAGCGAAACAGTTTATATTTTGACTACCGATGTGTTTTTCATCGTGAAATGCGAGTTGCGACTTTACTAAGAAATTTCCAGTAAACCCTGTACAAAGGAAGGTCGAAAGTACGCTAGATAGGAACTTTCGGTACAGTGAAGGTGAGAAAGCGCAAAAATAAATTGTATTGCGTAAGCGGGTCGTCTAGTTCGTAAGAAAATATGTACATAGAATTTATTTCAAAGTTAACACAGGGATCTTAGAGCATAAGATTACAAATAAGAGATCGATGATCTGTATGGTACAGAGTGTATACTTATGGATCTATGGATCCTTTTAACCAATGTCTCGGAAAATTTTCTCCACCCGTCGTGACAGTTCATGACTATGGCCTCTATGTATCCGCGTACGTGTGCTTCGTAGTGCACGTGCACGGCCAAGGATCATCAGTTATGATCTTGAGGGATATTTTTATGTGCTACGGAGACGATCTCTCTCTATCTCTCCTTTCTCTCCGTATCTCTGCCTTTCTCTCTTGTTCTCATCACTGACGAGAATTTCTAATGAGGGATCTACCAGCGGGAATCAGCACTGAGTTTAGATTGCCTATAGCACTCTGAGAGAAAGATCGTGTAGGAGAAGGAAGATTGAGAGCGAAAGAGAGAGAATAGGACAGCGGGTATGCAAAGTCACGTTCCTGGACCCATGAATGTCCAGGTGATCGAGGTATATCTATTGTTTCCAGGAAATTCATTAACGATCCTATTGATTTTATTAAATTATTAATTAACATACACACCGTACACAATAGTATTTCATGCTTGTCGACGCGATGAAGATAACTATTGAAATCTTTGATAAATCAAAATTATATCCTTTGTAAAAATAACTATTGTCTCCACGTGGTGAGATCCAATAGCTTGCGGCTCCTCCAGGAACTACTGTAACTCAGCTGTGTATTCTCAGCCTATCAAAGACTATCCGTGTCCAAACAGTAGCCAATAGCAATCAAAGACCATTCCCGCAAGGAAAACTTGTCCTTTCGAGAAAACTCTTCGTTTCGCATGTTTCGTGTTAATTTACACAGAAAATATTGACAAGTTTACGTCCGACCATGTAATCCCGTCCCGAGGAATTTCTCCACTGTATAATTTCCAGTGTTTGACAAAAAAAATTTGTTTCCTTCCTTAATTCATTCAAATCCACAGGAGATACACGAACCAGCCAATAGGTAAGAATGAGAAGATATTTAATTTGAAGCAACAGATCGTTGATAATTTTAAAACAAAAATTCGAATCGATCGGACTTTATAAAATTATATAAAATAATAACCAAGTGTAGCTACCGTGAAAATTGTACGCAGTATAGAAAGCAAAGTTATTTGCGTTCTTCGCGAGCTTCGTTTCCCGCGACTCGCTGTATTTTTACCGCGTATCAGTCGTGAACCGCGTGTAAAAATAAAGGTGTAACGCGGGCACGCACGCGTCGCGACGACGGGGACCAGGCGTCGGTTCGCTGTTTGTCAAACTGCAGGCGAAGATACAAGATCCGATAATGGCCGGAGATACCGGATCCTGATAAAGAGTGCATACAGGCACTGAGTCAAACGGTCAATAAAGGAGCGGTGCTGCCAGGCATCGTCGTTGAGAGGAAAGTCGTCGAAGGACTTCAGAATTTCTCCGTTACATATATATCCGCCATGAGCTATATATACATATATGACGTACAGTAGATTCCAAAAATATTGCAGAGTTCCAAAAACAAAAAGATTTCTTTTGCACACTTTTTCTTTCTTAAATTTTATCACCAACTATCATTAACACTGTCAACGTTATTGTTTGAATGCATTTCTCTTTGTACATTTACCACACCTGAAAGCGTGACGGTACTTCTAGTACGTAAAGGTGAAGTCAAAGATAAGATGGAAGTGATAAACAGATAAAGCATTGTACCTTGTCTCGCTATATGCTATTTCAAGTTCACATATAATATATACATAGATATAGTATAATTATTATAATTCTAATTACCGGCGTTATCGTCAAAACAGATTTTTCTCATTACTCGGTATCTCTGATACATTTTTATATTCTCCAAGCTCTTCCACGCGATTAACGGGAATTCCCTGGTCAATTTGTCCAATTGGGATTTACCAGATTTACGTCTGTACTTCAGGGTCATTCACGCGCTTGGCTTTTATTCTTATACATACATCGATACCAACATATATGTTCATAGGCATCGACAGGCAGTCTGGTAAATTGTAATAAAAAAAATAATTATACTCAATAACAGTAACTAAAATCTAATCGTAACTCAGGCACGTATACGTATCGATACATTAATAATTTATTAGAGTATTACGTAAAAGTTCAAAATAATCGAGAAAACATCCAGATTTTATGAACAATGTATATGTGTGTATAGCTTAATATACAATGCCCAGCCTAGGCAACTCTACGAACTGAAAATGTGGTCAGTTCTCTTTTTTCGCGATTACTTGACATTGGTTATTTCCGAGGTGTCGGATTCCCGACCTACGTTAACTGGAGGATGATCGGACCGCCCCCGTGACTGCGTGAAATTCGCGAGCGCGACTGTTGCCCGGTAGTCAGTTTGAGCGAGCAGGATCTGCGCGTAGAAGAGAGAGCGAGCGAGAAAAAAGAAGAGTATGACGTAGTAGGAGAAGAGGAAAAAAAAGAAACCCGCAAAAATAAACGCTCGCAGACCCACAGACGCCGTCTTCCGCTGCTAAATATAGAGAACAACGTTGGGATGTTGCGAAAGAACAATTGTGTATATATGTACGGCTGATATGAAATAAATGATATTTCATGAAAAATCATTTATCGAGTTTATAGTGTCAGTCACACGTGAGAGGTACAAAGTCAGTAAGTCAGTAAGTCGCACAGGTCAGTGACGTCGATTGCGAAAAAGTTTACTACCTTAACTGTGCTCTTGTTGCGCACGTTGTATATATATATATATATATATTGTCTATACGTCGTACCCAGAATCATAAGGTCGATACACAAGTCTACTGCAAGAGCGCGGTATTATGACTCGTCTAATATCGTGCCGACTATTCTCCGCTTACGACACTCTTATTGGCTGGCTGATCGTGGGACGTGTTCTGATTGGCTAACTGGGTTTGGCAGCGTAGGCCGTCAGTACAGACTCCGTGACACGTACTCTGCTCACTACGAGAGACAAGGTCAGGGTTTCGCGAAACAGCTGCTAAAACTACGTGGATGCATACATAGCGGTGTACTATTTGCTCGGAGGTTTAACAATAATTTTATTTAAGTTATCATTGTCAATTATGCCGGTACATGTGGTGTGGATATACGGATATGGTTACAAGACCTGAAACTATATTGTGAATACGATCTGATAAGAATTGTATACTCTTGTACGTATAGACAGTGCTAGGTTTAGGTTAGGTTATACATCGTAGGATAGATTTGGTATTTTTGTGATTTGTCACGTGTTTTTTGGTGCTTGTATAGATTAATTAATTGATAGGTTTTTTTTGTAGCAAAAACTTAAAAATAAGGTTTGTTTGCTCAGATGTACGGAAATACGTCTGACGAGTCTTGTACCTTACTGCATAGGCTTTACGGCCTTTGTTTCTCAGTGACTGTGACTTTGCCGTGTGGTGACAATGTGTAGTGACAATGTGTGGTGACCAAGTGTGGTGTTAAGTGCGGGAATATTTTCTTCGAACGTGGAACATCTTGGGGTAAGTCATTTTAAATATAGATACTTTAAATTCAGATTAAATAGAGTTATCGCGGTAGGTATAAAATAATCATACGATTCTGGGAAGCATCAAGGAATTATTCCCGACCGAGTACGCAGTCAGTCGTTATAATGCTCGACAGATAGTCGATAATACGATAATACAATCGAGTGTAAATATGTGGATATGAGAGTGCAGAAGCTCGGTAAAATAATCAAAAGCTCATTTGGCGTCTCGGCCAAAGCGAAAATATACATAATTTCTGAAGGAATAAAGCAAAGGGTCAGTGAGAAGACTGAATGAAGGTTAGAAAAAGAAAAGATAGACAAAACGTGTATATCAAAGACGCATAGAAATACATAATGAAACGACGCCATTTTATTGCAGCAAGAATCAGTCAGAATGTTACATTAATAAACTCTTAAAGCGATAAAGTCGCACGAGCACGACGCCAATTTTTAACGTTATCAAGTCTTATCGAGGATGCTGAACTAATGACTGGATAGAATCATTAAACTCTTTAATTAACGTCATGATTAATGATATCAGTGCGGATTGACCGACGTCTCAACCAGCTCTAATCTTATAATATTTGGAATAAAAAAACCGTAATTATAACGTTCCGAACGCTTAACGCGACGAGCGAGTGGAAATTTGTTAAAGATTAAATTTTGCCATTTTTTTTAACACGAAAGTGATCGGTACTTTGCTGATCGTGACCTTTAGACGAGAAATTTATACGTCACGCGCGTAATCGACACGCATTGCGTGCCTCGTCACGCGGCGAGTATTCGAGGAGTAAATTCGATTGCGTAAGAATTGCTGCGCCGTGGAAGTAACGTGCTTTAGGTTAGCGTTATACGCTGGTGTGTCCTATAGAGTATAGTGTGCTGAGTAGAGGTTAAAGAGGAGGAGTGAGAGAGAGAGAGAGAAAAGAAAGACGGTTGATAGTTAGCAGCGTCCAGAAGTAACAGCTCCTGCGATTCTCAATCAGTTCCAGCGTTTCGCAAAATAAATGGCGTTACGAACGTGTCGCGCCTGCACGGTAGTCGCCATGCGATTGGACGACGGTGAGAACGAGCCCACGCGTTCTGGACGCGTCACGTCTGCAAGTTGAGCAGAGTCAATGACACGACGAAAATTCTCGGCTTTATCAGTCGCCGATCGGCAACGATTCAGTCGTTCGGGTAATACGATGAGATAGGGAAATAAATTTTAAAAATTTCTACCGATAATTCCCTTCTCCCGAAATTTCCCAATTAAAAGGCGTTTCTGGGGTCTTGTCCGGGGATTTTAGTTTCAAGGGAATTTTTTTACCGCGATTCTTTCTACTATCGCGTGACTTTAATTTGAAGCTTCAATGGTGTTTTTAATAAAACGATTAACCTAACCCAACCATAGCCTGACGATTAAGGCTTCTTACACCTTCTGGCGATTCCAGAACTGAAATTCGAGAATTTTGTCAGTAGTGCAATAAACGACTGGAAAAACTTTCGAAAGTTTCACTATTTGCCAATGAGCTGGTAACTATGGTTATCACGAAATGCTTATAGTAAATTCGTGAACGGTTATATTTGATAACGGAATAGATGGCATTTTTTTTTTATCGATACTATCATCCATTTAAGTGCGTTGTTTAAAGTTTCCAAGATTTTTCGTTTCTTAAATATATTATCGACTTTCTTTTGAAACTGAAATTCCAATATAATGTACTACGCCAGGATACAGTTACGGCGGCATAAAGAATCTTGGAATTATCTTTTAACCGGAGAACGCATCCGACGCGCGTGGGCAGCTAAAAGTAACAATTGCCAAGTCCCTAGGAGGGACATTTCTCAAGGGCTCTGATAATTGGCCCGATCGGCATAATTAGAGGCCGTTAGCGTCTAGCATTTCTTATGAATACCGAAGGCGCGCCTTTTCTTTAGTCGTATCGCTCGTGGGCCCTTGCTATGAAAAAAATAACCGTACAGTTCGGCATTATGGTTGCGACATCGACTAGCGGTCCGGCGATGTACGAGAGAGACAGTGATAACGTGAAGGGCAATGGAATGGATAATGGTGGTGTTAGAAAGAGTAGGAGAGAAAAAAATAACGGAGAAAACTAGAGGAGATATATATATATATATATATATGAATATATATGTACATACACTGTAGGACGGACAAGCTGCAGTTCTTTTTTTCATACCACTAAAGAACATTCCAGAAGCCATTTGAAATACTCGTAGAAGCATTGCGGACGGTAGACTCGAACGGAAGATAGAAAATTGAGTACAAGGATTATGTGGTGAATAAAATTATTAAATTTTGATAATTTACAATTTTAAGTTATATATATTGTATGCCAAGGTATCTATTCACAATTTTGAGAATCCTTGAGGCTCCTCCGACGTGGCACTTGGTCCGGTTCCTGGGTAAAACCGGTGTTCCCGGAGGTGAAAAGTTTACACCGAAACGAGCGACTCGATGACCTCGAGATGATTTAAGGGACAATTTGAACACGAAGTTGTTAGCAGTTCAGCGAGAGGAGAGAGAGAGAGAGAGAGAGAGAGAGAGAGAGAGAGAGAGAGTCGACGTCGTACAACCTCGTTAAACTTGTCGACTTGAATATGACAGGTTATGTTACGACGTTAAATTGTCGGAGATGTTTTTCTTGAGTTTTTAATTAAAAACAAAGAAAAAATTAGAACAGAGTCCACTACGTGGAGTACACGTAGTGGACTGGTAAACGTATAATTAACGGTGCGAAGGATGAAAATGATTTGGCTGTTTTAGAAAATTTCCGTATTTCTGGTGGATTAAGGAAAGTGGCAATGTTAAGCACGAACTATGGGAAGAGCGGTTACTGTAATAGGCTACGGGGTTTATCGTATGTATCACGTAGTTGTATAAGCGGCCGGCCTTGATCCTTGGCGCTGCAGTCGCCCGGAGCCGTACTACGAGCCAACTGCTCAACGTTACTCGCTACTTTCACTAAGTACCCTATCCTATCCTGTCCTATCCTATCCTATCCCGAACACTCGTATCTCGCATTATACTCGGTTAGCTAGACCGTGCTTAAAAGAGGTTCTCATATTGAAAGATACAAAAGGTCTGTAAGAACGTTACCAGGGAGTAATTCCATTTACGGTGGCATCCATATGCAATTTTTGATTTGTCCACGTGGCGTCTTTGGGATTAAAATATAATTCGGACGGTTGAGACTGGTTAGAAATTCTTGTGCGACATGAATCCTGTGATCTGAAGAAACAAATTATTTCGTCAAAAATCATTTCTACCCATTCGCAGTATTTTTTTTCTCTGTCTTTTGTCGAGACCAAGGGCTTTTGCCGTAGACTCGGGTTTTTCGGTTGCTAACGCTAGGTTGAGAGCCACTTTATCATTTCTAGGTTACACGCGCAGCGAGCCGAGTTTCACTTTTTCAACGTTCGACGTAGCCGCGCTACCACCAGGAGCCAGCTTAGAATCCAAGCCGTGGCAATAGCGACGCTCCAGCGTCGCTCCGTTGACGCCGCGAGGACGGTAACAGTATTCAACGTAGCGTTTCTGTCGCTTCCATAAAGACAAGCCATAACGATTACCGGAGCGTCTTCTGTGTTACTGGGAGTCAACTGTGTCTTGTATCGCCACGCGGCCAACATCACACACTATAAATCTTAATGAAGATTGGAATAGAATGTCCTTTTGACGTCCCGGGCATGTCCCACGATGGTCTAGATGAAAAATTCTCTTCCTTTATTATTTTTTTTAAGTAAAATAATGACAACCTACGGTCGTTCTTCTTGGTGGTAGTGCTCGCTGTCTCTTCGTGGGAATCACAAAGCGCCACTCTCGCGGCTTCGGCTACGCTCGGTTGTATAATCGGACGGAATTACGGCACAGAATCGGTCACACTTTTGCCTCGCTACTTTTCTTTTTTTTTTCCCCCCTCCCTTGTCGTTTAATTCTCTTTTTTCTTTTTTTTTTCCTAACTCTCTTTCTCTTTCATTCTCCATTGTCTTTCCACCTCGGCTATCCGATCTGCCCCGTTCTCCTCTAACCCAATCACCACCCACTGTCTCGGCGGTCTTCGATTATTTTCGGCAAAGACCTACAGGGGAAATTGCTGAACCGCGAAATTGAACCAGTACAACCAGATTTTCTTGGCGTTTCTCCCTGTCGTTCTTTTGTCCTACGAGTCAAGCTATGGTAAAAGAAAAACAAATTTTTGTACAAGGAATATACGCAGGTAACATAAAAACCGTACACGGTTCGGTCACAATATTCATTTTTTATTCTCTACTCTATTTCTTATCTTTTCTGCATGAACTACGTTCACCAATTTTTTTTTTTTTTTTAATACATCACTTTCGGTCATTGTACCAGTGTAGACATATTACCTTGTTTTTTTTTTATTGTCTGGCTAATACGATCAAATCTCGATATCGATTCTGATAATATCGATAGTCCTGCTTGGTACACCTGTCTCGCCGGTGCTGGTGAACGGAAGTAAATGAAGGCTTAGGATTTGTTTTTTCTATTTAGGTAATACTGACTTTGCACGTGCATATGACAGCTGGTCTATTTCCTGAACGTTTTTTTTTTTTTTTCGTTTCAAAGACCACAAAATTTTTTTAAGACTTTCCACAAAGACGTGATCCATGCTTCGTGCCTCATTACGGCCTCCTTCTGTTTTCTCGTCTTGTTCCAAAAACGGTAGCGCGACGCAACGACTCACGTAGTCGCAAATGTTCAGTGAAACTCGGCGACACGAGTCTGGAGTACGCGAGGAGGATGATGATGAACTTTCGTTTTTCAAAGGAGACACACAGAGTCCTACGTACGCGCATCGTCGATTTTAACGTGACTCCATAATGGCTCTGCCCAGGACTATTGTAGACTAGATGGCGCTGGGACGCGGTACTAGCTACGGTGCTGCCACGGTGGCGGAACGAAGCAACTAGACCGTGGACTACGAACTAGACGGCTACGATATAGAAACGACGAAAAGTCTTTAG